GGAAAAGGGGGGGGGGGAGGGGGGGAGGGAAAAAAGGAGAAAAAAAAAGGGGGGAAGAAGGGGGAAAGGGGGAAGGGGGGGGGGGGGGGGGGGGGGGGGGGGCGTACTCTTATGTTTTGCATGCCTTAGCGGTTAGACCATTGAGAGGACGGAGCATTGTTCCCACAGGACCGATCACCGATGGCCAATCGTTCCTTCCTACTTTGCCAAAGGTGGCTCAAAAATGTCTTCCCTAGTTTGTCTATCCTAACGATGTCCCTTCCCGCCTTTTCAAACCACTTTCTACTCCCCAGTACCGCTACCGTCCTCTCCTCCCTATTCCATGCCTCAAACATCTCCCTGTACGTCCCTTGTATTTTTTCCAGCTCAGTCATGTACACTTCCCTCTCCTTTTCGTACCACGGACATTCCGCGACTACATGAACACTGTCTTCGCATTCGAAGCCGCAATCACATTTCAACTTGTCGTCTTCGTCGTCTACCGTCCTATGTCTTCGTCGACGTTCGCGAAGGCCTATGTCCCCGGTCCTGAATTTGACCTTAAGCTTTGTCCCTGCATCCATTGGTCCATGTAGGTAATCCTTGAACCCTATTCCTTCTTTCAACATTCCGTACACTTCTAGACCCTCCTTATCCTTGGATTCTTTCCTTAGATTCTGTTCGCCGGGGGGCGGGGGGGGGCAAAAGCGTGCCCAGGAAACACTTTCCACATGGGACCGAAGAGAAAGCACTGGCGACTGGCGACGCAATGCGGTCGATATACATCAACAAAATATTGTGTTAACGCGGGCAAGATGAGGGCCCTGCACGTGAGATGCACGTGTTGAACCGGTTACAGTAGAAAGTTCATGTGATACAACGGGTTGCCAAAAAAATGGAAATTGTTGGGCAAATCCCTCCCCTCCGCCACGACATCAACCCGATATCCGAAGAATAGGCCGCCTCGGTGGGCGGGTGGGGTGATCGGTGGGTTCGTTGGTTCGTTTCCGGGGTCGTTCACGGTTGGCTGATTATTGGAAGACTTTTCGGAAGTCCTGACGGTGCTGTTATCTTCAGGTTCGAGAGTGTATTAGGGAGAGAGATGCCAGCAAGCAAGCGGCAATACGACAACACTCTTTCGGATGCAAGCTACATACTCGTATTCATGAAACTCATTAAGACTATTTTCACTCACTCGAGTGCAACTGGTGTACGTGTATTTCTTTACCTTTTGACGGCGTCCTTGAGCAACTCCTCTCGATCCACTTCATCTCCCGTGGTCTCGTCTAGCTGTGTCTCAATGTCTACCACGAGCTCGGCGCACTTGAGCATCCCTTCACCCACCAGAGTCAAGTCTGACAGAGCCCTGCCACACCCGTTCAGTGAGAGAACGAGTGATGGGAAAGGGGAAGAAGGCATCCCGTGGTACCCCAGATTTATTCGTGGGGGAGGGGGGGGGTGTACTCATAATCGTGCATGCCGCAGTCGTTAGACCATTGACCTCACCGGACCACGCTCTCACATCACCAACCGCGAAGCACCGTGAGATATTCGGTGAGTCGCATGAAGGGTGCGCTGCATCCTGCCAAGGGCGTTCGGCATCTTGTGCTTACTTCCTTGTGTACGGATGACAGCTGCGTATGACTTACTATATTTTCTGGTGCTTGCACTTCCAGAGACAGCAATACGAACTGCGTAACTGCTTGACCAACATTACACAACGTGGTGCGAATACCCCTATTGCGCGGAGTGAGGGTTCTCGACCGTGCAGAACATAATCTACTCGATCATCATTCATGGTTACCGCAAAAAGAAACCAGAGGCAAAAAAAGCCGTAACCTGGTTGCCGAGCTCACGACATGATCGGCTTGTTTTTCAACATCGCTGCCAAGCGACGAAAACCCAACACCGAAGGCGAACACTGGGGGCAGCGGCTTGCTTTACAACGTCGTTGCCAACCGACGAAATCCCATACCCCGATGGCGAACACCGGGGGGGGGGGTGTACTCATAGTCATGCATGCCGTAATCGTTACACCATTGACCTCACACCCCTACAAAGCCGGGACGGAGCACGCCGGGTTCTCACCGGACCAGGCTCTCACATAACCAAGCGCGAAGCGCCATGAGGTATTCGGCGAGTCGCATGAAGGGTGCGCTGCATCCCGCTAAGGGTGTTCGGCATCTTGTGTTTACTTCCTTGCGTACGGATGGCAGCTGCGTATGACGTAGTATATTTTCTGGTGCGTTCACTTCCAGAGACAGTTGTAAGCTCTGTGTAACTGCCTCGAGGGTGTTTGACCAATTTAACACAACGTGCGATCATCCCCTTTGCACGGAGTGAGGGTTCTCCACCCTGCACAACATAATATACTCGACCACCATTCATGGTTACCGCAATAAAAAAAACAAAGGAAAATAAAAAAGCGGTAACCTGGTCGCCGAGCCCACGAAGTGAATCGGCTTGTTTCACAACATCGCCGCCAAGCGACGAAAACCCAACCCCGATGGCAAACACCGGGGGGGGCGGCTTGTTTTACAACGTCGTTGCCAAGCGATGAAAACCCAACCCCGATGGCAAACACCCAGGGGGGGGCGAACACCGGAGGGGGGGGGGTAGATTCATTCGTGGGGAGCGGGCATTATCGGTGCTCTAGGATGTGAGAGGAAAGTATTGCTAGTGCGCAAATTAAGTTTTCGGCGCAAGAACGAGCTTGCACCAAGGGTTCAGCGACTGAGGCGAGATCCGGTCTGACCGTATAGGGTGGGAGTGAGTTCAACCAACGTTAGGGGTGCTCTTCACGCGGGCACTGTCTTTCCAAGTGCCCGTTTCTGGTGATCGAACCGCCCACTAGTAATTCGCTTTCGGTGTTCGCTGTAGTAGTAGTTGTTATTGTCGGTGTTGTAGATGTTAAATTATGTCGTCGCCCTCGCCGTCGGAATGATGGTATGCTTATGGCTTCTTGCACATTCAACCGGGTTCCTCCGCGAAACCCAAAATACTGGAACTGCCACTTTTTTCACCGTAGGTTGAATATCTTCGGATCGGTGCATACACGTGGATCACGACGACAAACTTACGTGTCTAGGGCTTCGACTACTCCGGGCGATGCCCACCCTTCGCTCTGTTCGGACCCTTCCGTCGCTGCTGCGGCGGCGGCGGCATCAGTAGAAGCAACCGCTTTCGCAGCATCAGTCAGTCTGATGTCGGAGATGACCTTGCGCCAGCGATCGACCTGGCAATATTCAGACCCATCGAGCCGGCCGAGAAGAATATAATGACGCGAGAGGGCACGCAAATTATGTATGTCGGTGCTGGGTGAGGATGAGTGAATTGGCGGCGATACGGTGAACCTCATTGCTTGCCAGGCTTTGCTTGCGCATCGCGGAGGACATTGTGGAGTCAGTCAGCCCCTCTTTCGGGCTACAAGCAGGGATTGGCACCGATTGTCGCAGTATGTTCTACACGTAGAGGATTTGGGTGCTCATCTAGCAAGCGAAGTCAAGCGGAAGCCCGTTGGCTTACGCATCTGCAACAACGCACACGAACACCGCGCACAACCGCACCTGCCCGAGTATTCTCTTGAGGTGGTCCTCGTCGATCCTCTCAACCACAACGCCCGATTGCTTCCCTTCCTCTGCCGCCCCTGCAGCCCCTCTTCCATTTTTTCCTTCTGGTTCAACGTCGGCGGCGGGGCTCTTCTTTTCGACACCGGCACCATCTTCACCGTCGCCGGAGCCCTTTACGAGCGATATCCGCAGCACTGCCTCTTCACTGACGAAGCGGTCAACCTCGGCCGTGCTCGTCTCCAGAGCATGCTCCGCGTCGGCGTCACTGTTCAGCATGTTAAAAATGATCATTTGTGTGGTCGACGTAACTTCACAAATCGTTTGGTGATGAGATCTTCCTACATGTTCAGGTTGTTTGGATTGACGTGATCGCAACCATAGGTTTGTTGATTTGCAGAGGTTTGAGGAGCAAAGAACGTAAGGATACCGTAGCAATACTCACACCCACGTCTTGAACGCGCGAAGAACAGCCCCGGCTCTGCCATTGATGGACAGCAATGGAGCCGAGAGTACTCGTTCTTCACCAAGGCCAATGTTAGTATGTAATATCGCAGGAAGATGTACTCACTCTGACAAACGAAGGATCGCGTCGGCCTTGGTGTCCGTCAACACGTCGAGCTCGTTCAGTTGTTGCAAGGTCGTGGGATGTTCCACGCTCACCGTCACCCCCGCCAAGGCTGAAATCTACGAACGTTGCGTTGCAGACGATAGGGTTGTGTTCGCTCACTCCGTCATTAATGTTCGTTTCGGGAGGTGTTCGGGGACGACACGGAACGCGGACATAGTGATTCTACCATGCAGCGTTCAGGGTGGACTGCTGGCGGTCTCACGTGCACAAAACAAACCGCTTGCCTTCGATTGCGCACGTATGGCACGCTTCTTCGCTCGGCACAGCACATTGTGTGTTGCTGCGCACTGAAACCTCGTGTGCGGTAGACCAAAAGATCACACCAAACCGCTACTGTTCAACACACAACAATCATGCCCAACGTTTCTGCGGTTGTCACCGAGGTGCGCAGCGGAACGGCGAGAGCCTTTATGACCGAGACACGTCCACCTAGACCCTCTGGAGCCTCAGAGAGCCTTTAACCCTCCTGCACTGCCCTGGAGGTACGCGCATGCCTACCTGCCACCAGTGGCGGTCCTTGAGGTGGGGGTTGGTGAGAGCCTTCAAGATCGGGATATCCTTCTCCAGGGCAGCCAGGAGGCGCAGCGACTCTTGCGCGGCTTTGGTCGGGTTCGCGTGGGACTTCGCCTCCATGATCTTAATCAGGGCTTCCAATCTGAACGAAAGATTGAACCAGTGAAGAAACAGTACGCGTTTGACCAGGGCTTGTGTTCACAAGAGATGAGAACTTCGACTACCAGCGACAAATCGGCTTGTACAGGGAAAGGCAAATGTCGATTGTGTGGGGACTCGACTCTAAGTGAGATTGGAATAGGATATCCCAAAGCGATAGCACAAGTGCGTGCGTACACGAGCGTGCGTAAAGACCAAACCTCCGGCTACGTAGATGCACAGTCCGGTGTATGTCGTTCAACGGTTTGGAACACTCTGTGTCGTTGCACGATTGTTCCGCCCGAGAAGTGCGTACGGCAGAGACAGTTCACGTTAGCTGTGCTGTCTTGTAGTACCCCCATTCTCTCGCGGAGCTCTGAACTGCACTCTTCTCGGGCATTGTCCTCTCAGCCCCCCACACGCCCCCTGTTTCGTGCTCTACGCCTCGCGTAGGCCCAGCGCATCCTGTTTCAACCTCGACCCAACCTGCCTTCCTTCTTTCTGCATCGCGCAGACACCCAACATGTCACCGTCTCTTCACCAGCAAGAGGTGTGACACAATCGTCCTGCTTGCGGAAGCATCACCACTGCCGCCGGCGCCGCCACCACCGCCACCACCACCACCAATAGCAACAACAACAACCAAAAATGACTGAAACGCTGAAGTGTGTTGCCATACCTCTGCTTGATTGAGGCGTGCTCCGCCGTAATCTCTTCTGGGTTCAGCGTCGTCACTGGAGCCCGCATGATGGTTGTGATGAACGGACCGACCGACCCCACCAAACTCCAGAGGTCAGCATAAGGCTGAAACGAAACGATCACCTTCTCCGCCTGGGGCGCGTCGCAGCGGAGAAGAGAGGCGGCGTGGCGTTAGGAGAAGCGAAGAGTAACGGGGCCCATGTAGGCATTTCGGGCACCCAAGCCAAGATCGGAATCGTCCCTGTGGAAGGTCTTATGTATTTGACGGTAAACACACGTCACATCTTCTCGTCGGAGACCATGTGCAACGTAGGTTGAGGAATTCGTAGGTGAAGGAGAAGATCCTCTGGCAACGCCTCAGCCTAGTTGGGCGAGCCAACCTGCCGAAGTAAACCTACAACGAGGGCACACTTGACTGACGGTAGCCAAAGCTCGTTGCATATCTGATACCCTCCGATTACCCCAACACATGAGGTGAAATCGGCCTCATCAGCTACCGCCATTTCCACTGGCACCATGTCCTGAACTACGCGTGGCATGTGTGTTATTTGTGTTGGTACGTCTTGCACCTGCTTGAGTTGGCTTTCCCGTAGTGTTGTGACTTGAGTTCGGACTATGCTGTGCAGAACGAGAATATAGGATCATTGCGAATTCATCGAATGAATACCGAGGCAGCGGGGTTTACGCACACGTCGGGGCGCCCACCCCAGCGGGAAATACGATTGTCATTGTTCTTTCTCACCAAAGCGACGAGAGTCCCGCTCGTGTGCCCGTCTACCTTGGCTTCCTCCTCTCCGATGTCCACGGCTTGTGCCTTGAGTCCGGCAAGCTCCTGTTGTTTCAGTCAATCGTGGGTAGCCTTATGGGTTTTGGGCGGGGGGGTCCATTACATGGACGATTATTTTATCCCCGAGAAGTCAACCAAAGTCGAGAACATGAGCTGTAACATCCCAGAGTATCCAAGTACTTCATTGTAACATTATTCACTCACAAGCCCTGCAGCATGAGGTGAGAATGCGCAGCGTCAGCCACCTCAGGCGCAAGAAGGTGAAAAAAACATCCGGGAGGACAGACGAGTACAAATACTCTGAAAGTTTGCCACTTTTCAACACGACAGGCTGGATATATGTATAATATGTTGTTGGGATGTAGATCGCAGATATCATAGCCGAGAGAAAAACAAGGTCTACATGACCGCGATGGTTAGAGACTTCCCCACCACTGGAGTTTGCGCGGGTTCAAATACCCCGGTTTCCCTCGCTACGGCATGAAGAACTCGACGAAATACCGGCAAGCACAAGACACGCCTCTTGCAAAAGAAATTTCATCGTGCAAAAGCATGACGGGACGCGAACAATCCAATCCATGGCGAAAGCAGAAAGCCTTGAGGGGAGGGCAGTTTATTAGGAGCTACTACTGCAGCGTAGATCTTCGAGTTTGTTCGATTTTCGTCGGACGAGCGGTCACGCCTCTCACATCACCGAAGCTTCTTGGAAGTGGGATATCATCATCATGGTTCGTTGTTGGAATATGCTGTTAACATCGTTGGCGTGGTTGTCAGCGCAGCACAGTCTCTAGGGCAAGCCCGAAGTCATCAGCACCGATGCCTCGAGAAGAGTGTTCCATGAGAGAAACACTACGTGTACACGGTGCAATGTAGATTGGGTGAGGGTGGACGTCATATCGATCTGGAATGTATGAGCTATTGAGAGCATCGTGGTTCTTGTCTTCGAACGTTCTGCTCTATTCTATACCTCAAAGATCAAAGGAGAAGACGAAAATCAATGATTAAGGGGAAACGTGCCTTTAGCAGCGACCGCAATAAGCAACTGCCACGGTGCCAAAACAATATTCACGGAAGATGACGAGAAGGAAACTACCTTCGATATTGACGCAGCGTTTTCGGACATCTCGCGCGGACGGGCGTCGCTGTCGATGAACTCGGCGATCCTCATCTTCGTCGAATCCACGTTCCCCTCCACCCTCCGCTTCGCCTGAACATCACGAAACAACAGCAGGCAAGTCGGGACATATGACGCCATGTCAGATGAAGTCTGGCCCGAAAAAATGATTGAAGAATGCCATGGGGAGAGCGGGGCGGGTTTGTTTCATCAAGCAGGCTTTCCTTCGATCAACTGGAAACGCTCCCCTTGTTCTCTCTCTCTCTGTCAATGGCGCCGGGCATCCTGCGACGTGGAACGTCTGAAACCACGATTGAACTCTACCACGTTTCCCAACCCCCGAAAGCAGTGAACATTTCTTCCGTTTGGCAGTTGCGGGGTACCCAGGGGTGCACACAGCGGCAGCATCGTCACCTTTTCTACGTTCTTCTGCAGCTGCGCTTTCCCCTCTGCGATGGCTTTCTCGGCCTTGTCCGTGGCTGTGGACAGTTCGCTCATGACTCGGTGAACCCCGGTAACCGCGATGATCACCTTCGAAGTGACGCATTGAGTCAAGTCAAGATTGGTTGCTTCATCGCGCGTAGCCCCGAATAACCCGAGACATAAAAGTAAGAATGTCGGCAACAATTTGCGAGTTGGTGTGAAGAAGGAATGCATGTAGTGAAGGTGGAGGCTTCCTTGGGCTTCAATGCTTTTAGAAGTAGGGTCAGTTTGTAGATATTGGTGTGCTGTATGCCGTGGTTGCAGCGGCATACAGTTGTACACGAAATGGGACGAACTCTGAGCACTTACAAACATGGCACAGGGCTGTGGTCAAGTACGCACACCACGTCACGTGTCCCGCAAGGGATTTGAAATAAAACACGGACGGTGTCCTTCAGACAGAACAGCACGGCAGTCTGGATAGGTAGAACTGAGAGCGACCGAAGTAAACGAGGCGACGAAAGCTCCAGAAACACCCTCTCGGGTGACTGTCTCACGTCATGATGCAACCCGCCATGCTCAAACACGAAGTCCAGCAGCTGTCCCATCCATATCTGCTCCTGCCTAAGCTTGATCTACAAAGGGCGAGGTTTGGGCGATGGGCGGGCGCACTGATACGTTTGCTCGACATTTCCGCATATTCATAGACCATGACATACGTTGGAGACAAAACAATACCTTTCGTTCCGTGGTCTACTCGAGATTCCGGCAAAGTCTACGTACTCGTTAAGCAGATTAGTTTCCGAACGACGTCAGCTGTGGCGAATTGTCAATTCGATGTCTCGACTGGAGTGACTTGCCTTGAGCTTTACCAGGCGATACCATGCCCCAAGCGACCACGTATACTGCGGGGAAGACCAGAAACAATCGACCCCCTCCGTTTCTGTGCAGGGGTGGCCCCTCAAATTTCTCGTGTGTTTGGAAATCCACAGTGGTTATAACGTCGTGGCTGCCGTTACGGCACCCGGTTCGTCAGCTCTTCTTGCTCCCAGGCCAGCAATACGTGTTTCAAAATATGTCGTGATCACTCGTTTGGTTTCGGTGTTGAGCATGTGGGGAACGGGTGTGTTCTACCCAAGTAGTATTTGTCCAGCTTTCAACGCTAGTAGGCCAACCTGCTCTTCCGCTCGCATCGTTCGCAGGCACTCAATGGCCTCCACCATTTCCTCCGTGGACCTGGGCCTTTTGCCGAGTCTGAGGATGGCCGATCGAGCCTGCTTCGTCACACCACCTGCCCCATCAAACAGAAGCAAACTAGAAGATTCAGCTGCTGATGAACTTCTTGTTCATACCACCATAAACAAGGGTTTGTGCTCTAACTTGCTGGTAGCATCTTCTCGCTGTGGTTGCACCTCATGTTGTTCTTTTCGTCTGTGGACGACACGCATGTTGTCATAGCTTGTTGTTTCTGCTTGTCAGCCGGACGATAACCGATTTAATCTGCTTCAATCACTCTGTACGCCCCGTAAGTTCAATGAAGAACGAGGGGCACCACCGAAGTTAAATCCGCGCACAACGTCGCCCTTGTTCTCACTCGAGCCTCCCAATAAACAGTCACATTCCACAGTCCGTCACATGCAATGCCACTTACTCGTTAGCTTGTTCAGTGTGGAAGTTACACGCTGAAGCACGCCCTTGCAAAGATCACCGGCGACCTGAAGTAGCTTCTCGGAAGTTTTTTGACAGTCCACGACAACGATACCCCCCTGGAGTTCCACCGGTGCGGCATCGCCGCCAGTTCTTAGCACCGCCGCCGTGCTTTTATATCTGTCAGCAGGAGATTTGGCAGCAGCACACCAACAGAAGCGCAAGGACAAGCAGGGATTGATAATCAACAAGCTTGGAGAAGGCTAGGCTGGGTCCCGCAATGTCTTGGCGACGATACATCGTACGGTTGCTGTGATGCGCGCGTGAGACAGATAGTTGGTGATGAAGTTTCGGCCCACGCCACCAGACTGGGGAGATCCAGTAGAATATCCTCTCATGAGGACATTTGAAAGTGAGAGAACGCCTGGCACCGGGAACTCCTCTCCAGCACATGCCACCTTCGGCAGAATGACATACATACGCGGTCCCGCTCATGTTTCTGTGAAGAAAACGGTTGAACGTTGGAGGACTGAGAAATCGAGGTGGAAATGTGAGGAGTACCTGGGATATGCTGACTGCGCGTCTACAACTTTGCCCTCTTCGGTTCCTACTTCGAAGGGGACTGGATATCGACGACAAGAACGCAGAATCAACCAGAGCGACACCAAACAAAACCAAGACCACAATTGTGTTCTTACAAGGCTAGGAATAAGAGGTCTGAGTTTCGTTTGAAGCGAAGCTCGGAGGGTCGGGGCTCTCTGTTCGGGTAGAAAAGATGTGCCGAAAGCTTCAAAGTTTCGAGAGATGCGGAGAGTGCTACCTTCTCAAGGCGGACGCCAAGCCCGACAGGTCCTTTTCCGATACGCCAGTTGCCTCCGCCGCTGTCTTGGGGGCAAGCGCAGTAGCGGCCTCTTGCAGCAGGCTCTCGAACGGTCGGTATATCCGGCAGGCAGCCCTGGCCTCAGAGGATGCCTTCCTGTCCGCATGAAACCATAGACACACAGTTGCAGCCGCATCGTCACGTGCAGGAACAAGCAGTCGCGGATTGCCTAAGGGAGAGAGGGTTTGAGGGGGTCGTGTTTTGATGCATGGCTGCAGACATTAGAGCGTTCACACTCCTGACCTCTTAAGTCAGTAGACGGTGGAGCACGACGGCCAAGGCGTGAAGAGGAAGTTATTGGGTGTCGGGCGAGGAATACGGGGGAGAGTGATGCGACCGCGTTGACCAGGTTATGCGCACGTTCGGTATGCACGTATCAACAGAAAACATGAAAGTTGCACAGATCTGAGGCTATCCCGCGTCGACGACAACAGAGCTTCCGCGACAATATCAAAGAGACGTCGTGCCAGCACGTTTCGATCCAATGCGTTTCTCCTTGCGCCACGCACCGTCTGTGGTCCAAACTAGTCCGTTTCGGCAGAACCACAGCAACCAATAGGGGGTACAAAATTTCAGACGAGTTCTCTCGGGTAAAGATGCGATTTGATCATCACACACACACATCGGACACAACAATGATAGTGCCCCTAACCACCAGCACACGCAGCTGCACACACCAACGACACGTGCTTGAACAAACCTCAGTACAGACAAAATTTCCTTGACAGCGTTCTCGACCATGGGCTTTGACGGGGACAGCACCGGTAACCTGGACGGTTCCCCTGCAGGATACCGTTAGTGACAGCAGCGGCAAATTTAGGACGTAGAAACCGAAACCAAAGTCCACATCGGCAACTTCAAGGGATCGGAACATTCCAACTGCCGGAACAAGGGATCGCTGCTACGATTTGTTTTGTTGTCTCTCCCCCGGCTCGAGATGCTTTCGAAAGAAAGGAAACGCGTAAGCAAGAGAGTAAGGTAGAGGACGGTGCGGGTGGGAAACAAAGATGGAAACATACTAGCAACAAGTACGTCATATTCGAGGTGGTGTATGTAGGTGAAGTTGGAATCATATTCGAGGTGGTGTATGTAGGTGAACGTTGTTCCAACGAGAGCTCGTGAGGGCAGCGATGCCGTATATGCATACCTCAAGTGCCAGATTCCTTTCGTCGAGCGATAACGAATATAGGGCGAGTCGAATACGATACGGCTTCAATCAAAGTCGCAGCCGAACAGGTGCAGATCACCAGGTTGGGAATATTGGACTTCGACTAAAGCAAGGGAAACTAATTGACAGCCATAGAGGGTCCAGCCCCAATATGGCGAAAGGCCCCAACCGTCGCGGATCATGAACACCAACCTTTGGCGTACCCCACAGAACGTTTCTGTGAGGCTGGTGACTCGGACTGCAACGGAATGAGAAAGTGCAGGCTGCTGCCGTTCTCAAGAGTTACGATGATACGCTGACAAGCACACCTGCGCTGTCGATGGCCTCTGTCAACTTGCCGGCACCGCCGCTGCGTGGTCCAGCGCCTTTTTCCAACGTGGAAAGCTTGATCGTCAATTCCCTCCGGAAACCTCTTAGCGGCCCCACGGAATCGGCGTCCGAGTCAGTGCCCGACGAATCGTCGCCGGATTTCGAACTATTGCCTTCATCGCCGTCGTCGCTTGTGGGGTCACAAGATGACAGTCCGTCGGAAGGGTTAGAATCGGGCTCCGAGTACAGAGATACTCGCTTCAATGGAGCGGCCACTCCGAAGATAGAAGACCTCGCGGATATGGTTGTCGACGACTGTTTTGGTGTCTTGTTGTTGTTGGAGCCGTTCGCGAGGTTGACGAAATGGTCGGTATTCCTATCCGATGCACCAGAGGCAGGACCAAGGGTATCTCTTGCTCCAGCCATATTTCCAGCGATGCCAGCGCCCGCAGCAGCACCCCCGCATGTGTCCGACTTCGCGACCGCGCCGTTGGGGTTGGAGCAAGCACAGGAAGCGGTATGTTCGCCTCGTGATCACAAGCTGTACGATGTCGGCTGTCGAACGTCTTCGCACTAATGACCAGACAATGACTAAGATGAATGTGATGGGGCGTTAAACTGATTCATTGATCAGTTGGATTGTTTTCCGAAACTGCTTGGCAAATCCTTACTCGCGGCGCGTACCTCATGAACGCCGGCACTCACCCCTGCCGGGGTTGATGGGTCCACGAGGTGGTACCCGCCAGACGCTTGATCGCCGGCCGTTCGACAGTCGTAGACCACCCGCGGGACGTCGGCGAAGCACAATACCACCTCTCGAACCACCTGTTATAGTGAAGGTGCAATGGTTGTCCATGCGGAGTGAACTAATCCCGAGGGCCATCGCAGTGCAATATTGACATAGCTCGACACCAGAAACCTCACCCCCACCAACATCACCATCAGCAACAAGAACAGTAACACTAGCATCACCCACGTCACCACCTCTTGGGCTGAGATCATGCGAGGAAAATTGGTCATTTTAGTGATACGTTCAGTCAGACTCCTACACACGCTACAAGATGATGAGAGGCTGTTAGGCATCGTTGGTTAGCTGCACTCGGGGTGGGCACGAAGAACAAGTCGCGACTTGTCAACTCTAGCTGTGCTAACATCGACGGCGGCACTTGACCCATTCAAAAATCACCCCCACCGCCGCGCCCACCACTAGAATGGAACGACGACAGCAACCACAGACGACATCGATGACTACGCACATCCATGACCGCCTCCTTCAGGTCTCGCAGTGACTTCCTGCACGTCAATGTTGACCCCCGGTCCGAATTTGGCGACGAGCAACGGTCTTCCAGGAAAATCTGGGCAGGTACACATCCAAACGAGCCACAGCGACGTATCCCCCAACGAATTATTGACTTTTAAACACTTGAACAATTCGGGTCAATACAGAACAAGCACGGCCCGTCTTTGATGCCAGTTCTGGAACTAGATGCCTTAGTTCTTCCAAGAATTAGGCAGGAAGACACGTGCTTGTGGGTTGCTGCGGTGTCACATCAGCGCGATCTCTCGCGCCGTCTCCCATGAATCCTCACGTACTTTGTGGTGCATTCGCAGCCTTGCAGCTTGGTACTGAAACTTTGTCTCTTATTGCAATGCTATTGGGTGCATGTGCTACGTTTGGTTGCACAGGCGGTCTTCCACAGTCTAGCTCCAGACACACTACACACGAGTTTACACCGTATGCAACACGATCCCTGGATGAAAGCAAAACCAGCATATTTCTGTGAAACTATTTATCTAACAGATAATCAGGCCAGCGATACCTTAAAAATTGGCGGACAGTAACACGCCTCGCCCCTGCCGCGGTCGCCCCCGCCAGACCCCTCCAGGTATAGGGATGGTCGATTCGACAAAGAAGCATCAACCCCCGTGGCATCGCTGCTGCCGTTTCTGTTGTTGTTCTCGTCGTTGCCATCGTCGTCGTCGTCGTTGTTGTTGGCATCGACGGCAGCGTGGATACGAAAGAAGGCCTGAAGGTCCGAGATGGCCGTCTCTACCATGCCTCGGAGGATGCTGGCCGTCATCACGTTCACGGCCGCGAGATACCTGACGAAAGGCAGTCCAGAAGTCACACGCGGGGAGGGGGCGCTTGCTTGACCTTTCACTTCACATAAGCACACCACATCTGCCACCATATGTAGCTCGTAACCACACATAGGTCGTTTCGCGTTGACCGAGAGCACGCCTGACTGGTGTGATGTTCGATATATATCGAAAACAAGTGCAATGCTTTGATACCACAGATTGAGGCCATCGCACATGGCAGTGCGACACCTGCTAGCGCGCGCTCCATTTGTCGCTCGTTCACGATGTGCACATCTACCACTAAGCTTTGACATGATACGGTCGAACCACATGTCTGAAGTGTAGTCAAGAGTATGTCCTTTGCTCGACCGTGCGACGTTGCGAGCCTTGTCGACATGTTCAGCCGACAACGCACCACAACGTGTTCCACCTGACGGAACTACGGTACCGTACCTTCGAACGTGTCCGTCCGGCGGTGAAGACTTCGTGCGTGTTGCCAGCTCTGCAGTTGTTGCCCTTGTTCCTTTCGAGCCGACGCCGAGCTGAGCCTTGAGGGCCTCCGACAAGCCCGGGTACAACAGCCGCCGAACCCGTCTGGCTTTCCTGCTGAGGTGACTCAGCTGCGATGAGCGGAACTCTTCCGCGGTCATTGCCGACCAGCTGTCACCATACCGACGGATTTTTTTTCATTTACCGAGGGGAAGCGGGGGTATATTCGTGCCGTTCATCAGCGACCAAGTGAAAGTTGACTTTTTGTGTGGAGTTCGTTCGAGTGAACCTAAAAAGCACGGATGACGCGCGGAATACGGCTACGCTCAGGGTCGTGACAAATTGTCAGCCGTCACAGAAGAGGTCAAGGTTTCGTTCCCCGAAAAGAGAGCAAGTCCTGAACTAGAGACAGGTCGACTGTTCTACAGTAGTTGTATTGACAGCGCTTACTTCGCCGAACAACTGAATTTCTTCCTTCTCGCGCCTGGACTGGGCGAGGATACCATGGACTGGTGCACTCGAACGTTAGCTGTGTAGTGTGGAACGATGTTTCTTATGAGTACCTACGGAGAGGATGAATCAGCAACAGATAACTCGTTTTCGACATTGTCATAAACCAGCTAATCTATGTAGAAGATAGTTACCTCGAAGCCTGGATTTCCGCAGCTGATTTCGGAAGCCTCAGCAGCCGAGTCCCGCGGCACTTGGCCAACAACGCCTGGGCGGCGACCAGCGCCGGGGACCCCGTGATCTGTCCCATGTTCAGGGCCTCCCTCGCCCGCACAAAGCGCCTCTGCCATTCGGGAGGGCTCTTCTGGATACCCCTCCCTTTGCCCCAGCCCCACCCTTGGCTAGCAAACCCTGGAGGCACGGCTGATATGCCTTTTTTTTATGGGGCAGGAACAAATTCGAGGAAGAGACGACAGCGATTACTGACACGTTGGTGGACACTGAAGGAGGAACGGAAGGCGAAGATAGTAGGGCTGAAAAAACTAAGGTGTCGGACCCCTCCCCCCCCCCCTCCTGTTCTTGAATCCGGGGTTTGTTGTTGGGTCCGCATCCGCTGGGGCGCGTACATGCTTCGTCGACCTCATGGTTTGGTACTGAGCAAGACGAGCGTATATTGATCCGATTAAACGCCACACCAAGGCAAGAGCCGGACGTATCATACTCGCGCTCCTCCCGCAGGCGCATTTCCTGTTCCGTCGAGAGAACGTATCCCGAAGTCAAACGCGACGAAGAATGTGATTGTGAGCCTGCAACGAGTAGCCAATGCCCCAAGACCAGCCGAACTCTCAAGAAAACAAGGTCTACGTGTTCGCACCTAGGCGATCTCGTTGGCCCGCGTCTAAGACGACGTAGTTCAGCACCGCCCTCCGGATGCTCGCTCGGAATGCTTCGCATGTCTCTTCCAGGCAAGCCTCCACTCCTGCCTTCCAGCCATCGGGAACTTCCGGCATCCTGGCCTCCCCCGGCCCCGGCCCAGCCACTCCCCTCGGCGTTCGAGCCCTCGGCCGTTTGGCGGTGTTAGCGGCACGGTTGAATGCCGTCGCTCTAGGCGTACCGTCGACCCTGCTGGTGAAGACAGAACCCCCGCCGACAACGCCCCGTCCACCGCCGCTGTTTGTTGTCGGGCTTTGTGGGGGTTGATCACCGCCGCTTGTCACGGCGAGGTACGGGACTTTGTGCTGAGCAGTCTTGGCGACGGGGGCAGGGCCCTCGACGTGAACCTCGAACACATCTCCTTCCTCTCCCTCTTCTTCTTCTCCTTCTCCACCTTCTTGGGCGTCCTTCGCGGGAATGTTCTCCGTTCCCGTTCCTCCTACGTCTTTGCAGCCTGGCCTGCTGTACCTCCCACCCCCGATGCCCCTGACACCGACACCACCATTGTCGCTCTCCGAGCTAGTATCTTCCTCGTCGTTGCTTTTTTCTAAGTCCCACCCTCTGGGTGTGCCGCTGTGACGGCCGCTCGTGTTGCAACCACCACCACCACACCCACCACCACCGCCACCACCGCGCCCTGATAAGCCGTGTACTACTTTCCTGACGATGCCGGCCTGCCAAGGGGGCTGCAGCACCGTTACACTCTCCGCAAGCGTGGAGTCGCACTGGAGATAGTGGTGATATCTGTGAGGATTTGGTGACGAACGTGGCACCCCGTGTGAGGGGTCAACCTTCGAGATGTTCGCGAAGAGTCGACGCGGAACAGGTGTCATGGATGGTAGAGAGCGAACTGGTGTTTCTGGCTCAGCCGCTCTAACATCGTTTGCGTGATTGAACGCGAGGTAACATCGTTTGCGTGATTGAACGTGAGGCGAACATGTTGTGTGTTGTGCTCTTGGGGGGATTTTCCCATCTACGAACAGCACGCCTCCTGAGCTGGCCGCCAGTCCTCTCTTCCAAAATTGAAGCTACGATGCCAACGCTGAATTACACACGCACACCAGCGATGTTTAACTGCATTCATGCTAAACATACAGAGGATACAATAACTCCTCGGTACCTTGCGAATCCAGCCTGTCGCCTCCCGGCGGCGTCAGAAACCTCCAACTCAGGGTTGGCCGCCTGCACGGCACCAGCAGAAGCAGCCCAACCGCCGCGGTCGCCGTTCCCGCCAGACCGCTGCCCCATCCACAACTCTGCCCGCTCTCCTTCCATACTTCCGCGACCCTCTCCCGGACACGGTAGCCGGTCGTCGTCTCGCTGGCCCGTCTCGTCGTCTGGGCGTCGACGGATTTTGGATAGAACAGCCGGCGGTGTCTGGTTGCGTTTGACGGGCGGCGATGACGACCGGGGTGGATAAGTTACCTCGCACCCCGCCAGCGCCCCTACCTGGCCCGCTCTTGGTGGGCAGTTACGGTCCGACGTCCTTTCTCGCCCAGGAGACGATTCGGGCACCAGCGGCCCAACCGTATTGTTGTTGCCGTCCGATGGTAGTTCCGGAGACTGTACTCCCGCCTTTGCGGGTGTCGCGTCGGGTGGCGAGGACGACATCCATGTTTCGCTTCGTCCTTCTTGGCCGTCGTTTCGACTGCTGTGGCTGCTGTCGTGCGGCCGTGACATCTGGCGCGCTTCGCTTGAGCTCGGGACGCCTGGGCCGCCGCCACCGCCACCACCGCCAGCGTAGGCCGGTCGATTGTGGCACTCCGATTCCATGTGAGGCGTGCGCAACCCCAGCTTATGGCCGTCCTTCTCACTCGAGCCTGTCCCGGTGACAACCGTGGCGTTGACACCGTTCGGCCCGCCCTGAGACGCAACACGCGTAACGTTCGCCACCATTCCAACGTAAACTTGTGGGTTTGCGCTGTCAGTGGGGCTAGTTTGCCCCCTTGCTGCATCCCTTCTCGCCAGTTTGGGGGTAGCGGGTGCCAGAATCCTCGAACCTAACCCTCCGCCTACGCCTCTGGTATTGCTTCCTCCCTCGTTACACGTGAACCCGCCGGTGTTGGCGTTCTCTCGCCAAGCGAGACACCCGCGGTTGACATCGAGGTACAGGAGCTGCGCCGCCGGGCTGTAGTAGCTCCCCAGTCGCTCCACCCCTGTGGGCTCAAGCCACAAAGAAAGGTGGCCGGTTGGACGAGTTCCGGGTTCGACGGCCGCTGCTCTGCTTTGTTTTCGTTCGGGCAAGACACTGTTCGCGATGCCACGGTCCCCGTTGGGTGATGATGGTGACGGCGCCGTTGTTGCGTCAAGCAAGCGGGCCATGGGTGACGGCGAGGCCGAGAGCACGGATCCTCGGAGTCGGGCATGGACGTCCATAAGCGGCGGCGGCGGAGGCGGGGATACGACCGTGGCAGCCGTGGCAGCGGCGCTTTCCCCTGTTGCTATTCCGACGGGCGTTCTTCCTCGATCCCGGAACCCCCTCAGTGGCAGCGTCATCCTCCCGAGGCCGATCCTTGCTCTCACCGTGCTGCCGGCGATCTCGCCCGCCGTGATTTTCGCCGCGCCCGTTGCATTCTTCCCCAACAAGCCATTCTTGGTACGAATATCGCCGTCGTTGCCGTCGCCTGAGAATGCGAGGCTCCCGCTCACCCCTGTCCCCGCTGATGATGCTGATGATGCTGATGACCTTCCGGGGTTCCACGCTCTCATTGCCGCGACCACGCCATTGTCAGTGGGCATGCCCTCTTCGCCCTCCACGCCGTCCGGGGGAAGGAATCGGTCGGCCTGCACTTCCCGCAGGGAGCGGAGGAGAGAGGTCGTCTCCCGAGCCCGAGCTAGCGCGAGCTGGACACCGGAGTCGGTTCCCATTTATTTACCGGGTGTACGGGAGGAAGGAAAGGGAGAAGCGCGGAATGCGAGGGCAGGATTGACAAGGTGGCTTTGGAGCGGGTCCGTGTGGTACGCCTAAGGTTTTTCAGAGAACGGCCACCGCCCGGCGTAATCTCGACAAAGAAAAACATGATGCGGTACCTTTCAGCGCTCAGGAAATCATACTCCAGCGTGGTGACTGCTTCTCTTGGAGGTGTGTGTATTTCTTGTGTGCGCAAGATTGCCAGGGTATCGAGGTTGTATCAACTACATAAATCCATGGCCGCTATCATTGCCTAGTTGTTCTGTTGTGTGAAGGCGTCGAAGGAGACCGGCAGAATATCTGCCACAGAGAGCCATGCGCCACGTCATCGAGTTTACAAAGCAATTTTCCACTTCAGCACAAGAATAAATCGTAATCGTCTAGTTGGTGCGTTCCAAGCCGTTGTAGAACAGCGATAGGAAAGAAATCACCGCGGCCACACCACACAGACCTCCTTGTTCCCGCGTGACGTGTACGGAATGTAACACTTCCCGAACGCGTGAATTCCCCCGCGGTTTCTGTTGCTATTGCTGGTGCCCGTGCCGGACGCGCCGCCGGGAGCATTTCCTCCTGGTTGGGTGTTCTGGAGGGTGTGCCCCGGTTTCGGCTCCCGGTGGACCACCTCAAGGCTGTCTGCTCCCTGGGTGGGCAAACGCACGCACGCAAGGCGGGAATACGGGAAGGGATAGTCGCCGACCAAAACTGTACCCCTTCGGAGACCCGAATGTTTTAGAACCTGCTTTGTTGTTAGTTTTCGTGGAAGCCTCAATTGTTGTCGTCGATAAATTCTCCCGAGAAAACACGAGCTCCGATGACGCAGCAAAATGCGGCGGGGGGGTGGGTGACTTTCCCGGCGTGCCCTGCGGGTGTGCGGAGGAAAAGAGTACCTGAACGAAGGTGAACTTTGTCACTCTTCCCCGGGCGGCGAGAACGCCCACCCCGCAGTCCACCAACAGCGTCGCACCCAGCCCGGCTTCCTTTCCCACGGCGCAAAGCAACCCCTCGAGGGCGTAGGATGCCCGAGCAGACGGCAACCCCGCCCCCTTGCCGAGGGCTTCACGCGAGAACTCCACCTGTAACGAATGAGCGCAGCGGAAGCGTTTTGTAGGTAGCAAGTGGCGTTACCACCGTGGTTCGAAGCTCTCAGTCGACATGGAAGTGTTTGCAGGCCGTCGAAAATATGTGTTCCTCGTCACGGGAAAGCATACACACATGTACATGGTCAAAAAATGTGGTCCCGCGTCGGGAAAAGCGCTCGATATTGGAACGGTAGGGCGGTTTCAACATGAACATACCCCAACGAGAGCTTTCTCTCGTTGCACGCTTGGTGGTTTCGTTCATCGCCAAAAGAGGACGAAAAAATTCATGAGACCATCAAGCAGCAAACACCGCCGTGGCGTTCGGACTCGGACCTGTTTGGGCGCCCGCGGAGACAATGAGCTCTTGGAAGACAGGCTCTGTTCTTGGGAAATACCGTATCTGTGGTGGTCACGGTGCGAAGGAGGAAGAGGAAGGCACACATCGCCCAGTAGGGGCGCGATAGGAGGGAAATGCAACCAGGAAGAAAGGGTCAACGTGGAACGGAGAAGGACTACTGCCGGCAACACATTATCGTATTTTCGACCCTCGTGATCAACGTTCGCGTTCCTGTTGTGTATCGATACACCCTTGGGCCCACGTGCTTGAGGGTTTCCTTCCACCCACCTGGAAAAGTTGTGCGATCGCGATCAGTTACTTCATATCTTCCACAAGTTATTCAGTGTCGGGGTTCTGAGATGCGTAAAATTTGCTCGAGGGTGGGGTGGGTTTGGAGGACTGAATTGATTGATTGACCGTGTTTCCTCCGTATGGTAAAAGAACCCAAGGGTTTAGGGTGGTTTCGGAGAGACTCGGTGAACTATAATAGTCAAGAGGAAAACCGTTGAACAAGGCACCATGTCTCAGACGTGCAAGTAACCTTCCCAACCAACGCGCTTTGCGATGTGGACGAAAACAGGCGGCAGGACGTGAGTCGTAGTGCTAATGTGAACGGAAAGCGCTCACGCGAATTTCTTCTCGCAATGAAGTCAGCGAGGCCGTGACCATACTGCGGGTGGGAAATGCCAAACACGCACGCACCCAGTTCGTCGGACTCTTGCTCTCGGTTGATGGAGAGGTATGCGTCAAATACCCACCTGTTGAGGAAGCTTTCATCGAACTCCAGCGTGGGAATACAGATGCCAAGGTTGAACACGCGGTAGCTCAAGGAAAAGAACCTTGGAACGCAAGCTCGGAGCTTGGCGGATACCGCGGAGCATAGCCAGTGTTTGAAAACCTGCATTTTCATGTGATTTGTACTAAGTGGGTGAGAGGAAAATTGAGTTACTCCAGGTGTCGAGACCCATTTGATGCTCCGCGGAATTTGACGGCGGAGCTAGGGGGGGCTGAAGAGCACAACCCAAAGACTAGTCTAGAGTTACAACACCAGGTTGGTGTGTCTTTCGCTGTTCGTTGTGCGATGCGCCTGCGTGAGTTCAGTCGGTTGCCATATTTTGGTTATCCAGGTGCAGCAATGGGTCTGCATGCAATGCTAATCTACAAGAAACTCGCTGGCTGGCCTCTAGACTACTACGTACAGTTTTTGTGTCACAAAAGCAACTGCTGTTGGTTAACCAAAGGTGGCCCATGTTGCATTCAAGCAATTCTGTACCACACGCAACACCTACATGCCACGCTCAACCACATCAACATTTGAACAACCGGACAACATGTTGTGGCCACGACACGCCAACTCCAATATGGGGGAAAGGGACAACAGCATTGTGGGAGTTGTGTTTGTCTCCATTGTTTGATTCGATTCCTCCCTCTCTTGCCTGTTCCATGCTGGAAACGAAAACTCAGCAGCTCCCATCCATCGAACTCCCAGCACACACGCACCTGCCACACACGGCGGTACTCGGCCTCCGATGTCAAGAAATCCATCGGCGCGCTCACTGCGGACGGCTCAATCAGGCTCCGGCCGCACTTGTGCATGATCATTTCGATGGTCAGCACCCCCTCTCCTCCCCTGCGGACGTCCCCCACATGATCACCATCACCGGGGCGGCTTGTGTGTCTTTCGTCTCTTCCCTCACTTTTTGCACCCTGCTGCTGTTGCCGTTGCTGCTGCTGTCGAAAGCGTGTTCTCCATTGCCGCTTTCCTCGCCCGCTGCTGCTCCGATACGTCGCGTTGTGATTTTTCGTCGCGGGACGAGTTGGCTTTCGCTGGTCGTGTTGTTGGGTATCATGGTGGTACTGCTCGAGTACCTCCATCGCTGCCCGGCGGTTGCCAGCGGGCTGTCTCACGAGCTTCTATCGTATAAAAGAGAGCACATCGATGCGCTACTACTTTTGGTGCCGTGGGCTCGAATCATGAAACCGAAAACGAAAAGAATCTTCGGATCTTTGTTCGATATCTCCGTATCCAAGTGGAAGGTGATCTCCGAAATCTCCGGCGGGGGTCTCGGTACGCTGTTCATACTATCTGTTGAGCCCCCCTCGAAGCACCGCCCGCCACGTCCTGCGTCGCTCTCAGTCGTCGCTGTTGCTGCATTTCTGAACCATGGTGTTGAATTGCATGGCTTCGCGAAGGTTGTATGCCGAGAAAAAAGGACAAAGCAGCCACCAAGACTCTGAGGCGTTGCGGTTAGCTAGTACCGGGCGGAATATGAGGAAACGCGGTAGGTCACATGGCGGCAGACACAGTCTTGCGCTGTCAATAGCCGTCGGATTGCTGCGCTCTTCAACTTCACCCGCGCCGGCCTGCGCCTTCTTGCTGCCCGGTGCCGTTTCTCGGAGTAGCAGCATGGGCCTAGGAAGTGGCAGTGCGATCGGGATATCGTCTGGGCGGTCGTCGTTTGCTGGGTCGTCATCTTGTGTCGTTGGAGCAGCTCAGTCGAGCATCCGCCGTGGTCGCAGCAGGGCGGCAGGTGGGGCGGGCGAACCTCTAAGGATGGGCATCCCTAAGCTGTTCCGGTGGCTCACGGACCAGTACCCGGTGATAAGTCAACGGCTCGACCAGGGGCTCAACGAGGTAAGGCCGAGCTTTGTTACGGAGCTTGCTCCTGGTTTGTGCGCCTCAACTGCTGTTGAGACGCGCGCGCGCCGCGGGAACATGATCCAGTCCCCTGAAGTTTGCTGGGTGGGTATTGTAGCTCACGGGCAACCGGCAACCGGCGCGCAACAGCAGTAGGCGGTCTCCTCAAGCCAATTGCCGTAGGCGCCTCCTCAAGCTAGTCGTGGTGAATCGTACGTTGCTTTTCTGGAACATGATCAACATATATGCATATGACCGGACACATCACCCACCGCCGCACAGACCTCACTGGACGTACGTAAGCTCCGACGCTAGACACGTGTTTGTAAGGCCAAGGCCAGTTGTTCTGGGAAAAAAATCCGATTTGGATCCGGGGGATCGACCAAAAAATGCGTAACTACCCCCGAAAAGCAGGAGCTCTGCGTACTGGATAGATAGCTAGCAGAGCGCACCAAGGCACTTCGTCCTCGCCTCACACACCGCTGCTTATCAAACCGTCAAGTGCTGTGGATTGTATGCATAGTAGCACTGCTGTGATCTTCTCGGAGCCAAATTTGGGCAGCTAGATTGGCATGTGTGCGCAGAGTATGCCTCGGATATGAAAGCAAATTCACCATTTCCAGTTTTGAATTTCAACCAAATCCAGTTTGGAATTCATGGGGAATTCCAACCAGGATCGTCCAACATTTGCAAGTTGGAATTCTGTTGTACCAAGCATGATGAACACACACTCGGACCCCAGCTCCACAAACCTGTCTCGAAGAGGCTCACAGCATTGCACTGCCGTGCAGCCTCGAAGGTTTTGATTGCAAACGGGTGTCTGTGAGGCGAGTACTAGTGCCAAAGCGCGTTTGTGTGCTTTTCCAACGAAGTGCGCAGAACTCCTGCGGCCTCATGTGGGTATGGACGTAGAAGGCGTAAAATCGGGATCCCAATTCGGAAAAACGATCCAAGCAACTGGCGTAAAGTAGTTTGCAAGACCTGCGCCTTGGCCGTTGGGTGGTTCAGATGCGTTGTCTGCATTCTCGCACTTGTGAGGTCCAGCGGATCTTGCGTCGTTGCAAACGGTGCTGCCTGGTATCAAGGTCAGGACTTGCTTGTCATGGCTTTCCCGCCCGCTGGTGTTGTGTCTCACATAACTGCCGTACATGTATGGACCGAGAATCCATGTTCGAGAGAGCTGTTGGCCATCTTCCGAGAATTTCAGCAGCACCAACCATGTGTCCGTGCCCGCATGGACACACCGGCCAGCAGCGGTCTCGGAAGGAGAGCTTCTAGATGTTCTTGGAGTGAACAAAAGCCGACGACGCCAAATAAAGCGCGCTTCCAATCTCCACAGCAGTATTGGCAGTGCCATATTTGAATTTGCACTACAGGAAATTACCCTCTCGCTTTAGGTCTCCCGCGCGTGACCATGCTCAACCCGCCGTTCCTCGAGAGCATTCCTGTCTCTTTTCCCGGGCAATTCACCTCAACCAGGTCTCTAGCAGCAAAGCACTAACATTTTGGGGAACACTCGTAGTCGCCCCCCTTTCGATAACAGAATGAGGGAAAACTGGGATACCTTCAGAGTATTGTATGTAGACCGGGTCGGGTCGGGGCGAACCCAAATTTTCTTTGTGAACCAGCAAGTTTAAACTTGGCTGAATTGTTTTCGGCGTTTTACAATCGTCCTCGTATGCTACCGTCTGCTCGTCTATTGGCGCACGGGCAATGCAGCACACCGCGCCGATCGACAACCTGTACCTGGACATGAACGGCGTCATCCACATGTGTACACACCACAACGATGACGAGTTCATCGAGCTCAACGAGAAGGAGATGTTCCGACGGATTTTCATCTTCACGGACCGCATGTTCAAGCTCGTCAGGCCTCGAAGGTATGCATGTGGTCGGTGTACACGAGTATGCCCTCATGTTTGGGCCACGCCCCTGTCCTTTTTGCTTTTTTTTTGTGTCTTTTGTTCCTCGTGTGTCTCTGTTACTGCTGTGCGCTCGCTTTACGGGCGTACCTCTTGCTCTTTGGAGGGCAGAGAGGGACGAGGGTCTTGTTTGCTGGTGGATCGCTGTACGTGTTTCGCTCTACTCGTCCGGTCTGGTTTGTGGGCATCGCTTTGCTCGTATTCACCCCCCTCGATACCCTCAGGCTTATCTTGCTTGCGCACAGAGACAGCGATCGTTGTAGAGGTACACGATCGAGAGTCAATCGAGCTCTTTGCATCGCGAAAGTATGTCAGTACCCGCCCCCCTCCCCACCGCGCCCTTTCCGTGTCCTTTTCTCCTCGTCTGTAAGGCTATTGTATCTGGCTGTTGACGGCACGGCGCCCCGCGCCAAGATGAACCAGCAGAGATCCCGCCGGTAAGTAAGAACTGCCGCGTTGCATGGTACAGGATACGCATGCCGTTGTTCGGAAAATGCACATTAATTCGCTGAAAGACGAAACTCGTTCGATTTTGTACTACAGTCGAAGGTGTTTCGAGATGTTCTTAACAACGTGATTGGATCTGCAGTCCGGCCAGCATTAGACTGATGTGTGTGGAGAGAAGAGCAGAGATGCGGCAGCACGTTTGTAGTGGCTCTGTGGGCGAGAGCAAAGCGGGTAGAGTGATTGATCGCAGGACGGCCACTCGAACAACACACTTTGCCTAGCGTTTCTCGTGGCCGTCAAGCGGAGCGTTATAACCCCGCTGGCCTGTGAGCGTGCAACAATGGAGACGAGCGAAGTGTTGAACACTCGCAAGGCACCCGCCGGCAGGAGAGCTGTAGCCATCACTTCGGCCTTCTGCACCTTGCCAGCGTTCTCTCTCTTTCACCAATGCGCTGCGGGTGCGCCGACTGCAGTATTGTCCTGTATTCGGACTAAACTTCGCTGCCCTGCGTGTAGCCCGACACATAATGTTGTCCAAAATGCTCGTTTTCTCAAAGCGCATCGTGGTCGCTATTCCAGCATGCTCCTTCTGCTGCGAGTGGTATGTTGGTGCTTGCTTCGCCGCACTTGAAATCATTCTTCCTCCCCCGCATTCTGCGTCGCTACTGACGTCTGTACTCCAATAATTGTCACCGTTGGTTGCTATGATAGGTTCCGATCGAGCAAGGAGGCCGAGGTGAACATGGCGGAGATGGTAATGAGGGATGGAAAACTGCCTGAAGTCACCAGGTACAGCAGTACACACGGAATAACTTGGTCTCATGATTGTTGCGACTAGGTGTGCGGTATTTTGCACGTCTTGCCAATTTTGATGGTGGTTTTGCAGCCCTCCTTCCCGCAAATATCAGTCTCTCGGTTCGACGGCCTTCAAAAGTCCGAACCACCAGAATTTCGTCTCGAGCACAGACTTCGCTCGATGGCGACTTGAGTTTTCTCTCGAACTGGCTCAACCGTCAACCTTGGGTGTTCTTTGGCCGTAGAAAGAAGGGTCTGGCGTGGTCGGCGTCAATCCCTGTCCGACCTTTCGTGGGTTTCATGAAACACACCCGATGCATGGATACCGGGCACAAGTTTGCGGAACGCTGGTGGCTGAAAAACAGCGCGTTTCGTGACCCAACCTCCCCTTACAGTGCTGGTTATTAACCGTCCCGTGTCTACAATAATCAGGTTTGACTCCAACTGCATCACCCCGGGCACGGACTTCATGTTCAAGCTCACCAAGGCCTTCCAGGCGTGGATCGAGTACAAGATGGACACGGACCCCTTTTGGCAGCAGAATGCCAGGGTGGTGTTCTCTGGACCAGACGTACCAGGGGAGGGCGAGCACAAGGTGTACATCTGTTTGCTTTCTTGATGGTGTTGTGTCAGCTGCTGGCTTTGGTGTCGTGGTTGTTGGTGGCGGTGGTTTTGTTGTGTTTTCTTTATTTATTTGTTTTGCATTCTTGATGCGGACCACGTGGCCATGTTCTTCATGTTCTTGTCACCATGAACACCCGTCAATCCGCTCCCCGAGAGGGCGCGCGGAGCCGGATTATGGACGTACTGCCACAAACTGGATAAGGACCAGATCCGGGGGGGGGCTGTTATCTACCGTACACGGTGTTTCAACTAGGATTTAGTGTGGTATAGTATAACCTATACATCGTCTGTTGTAGAGGATTTAGTATGGGTATGCATAGGCATCAACTAAGGTACGAAGGGTAGTACGTAGTGGGCCTTGTATAGTACCGGTTGAATAGCGCCACAGTCCGTCCGCGGGCGGTATTATATAATGTGCCGGTCAAATCTCAGGACACGATCATGAGTGTGTCCACTCCTCCTTTATTACTAACACCTACTTCTAACAATATCTCTGTTCTGAATAGTGCCGGTGGCCCGGTAAGTGCCGTAAAACCCCTGGACACATATGTACATACATACCGGCACTGAACAGGGCCCACTGACTATATACTGCATGCATGAGACACAGCAAGCAGCAGTTACAAATAGTGTGATACTTTTTTGTATTCTAATTGGTACACAAACGCATCAAAGTATTTGGTTTTTGCAATACGATTCTAAAGCCTATACGATAAGGAATGTGTAGACTTTTGCTATACCTACTAAATCCTATGCAATAAGCGCGTTGAACAAATTGGATTAGCGCCCGAAAAAATGGGGGGGGGGGGGGGAGGTATTATTCGGCTCCGCGAGCCCTCTTGCGTTCCCTGGGAAATCACCGTCCTGTATTTTGCGCCGAGGCTGCAGTTCTGGTTGCGCCGCCGCCGACGGTGATTCAGTTCCGGTCGAACCACATGGCTTCACACCTCTCACGCGTGCTGTCGTTCATGTACATGGTACAGGTGATGGATTACATCCGGGAGGCGAGGGAGACGGAGCCGGACTGGAGGGACGACCTGAGACATTGCCTCTACGGCCTCGACGCCGACCTCATCATGCTAAGCCTCGTCACCCACGAGAAGCACTTCAGCCTGCTCAGGGAGAAGATGAGCGTGAGACATTCTCGCCGGAAGAAGTGAGTCTGTTGTGTGTGTGTGTGGTGTGTGACATGGTCTTGCCCCCATATCTCTCTCCTGTCCTGCCATGCCTTAACCGGTTTTGTGAAGCAGCCCTGAGGACCCCCATCACATGTGCGTCCACCCTTTCACCCCGAATGGTCTTTCCTGTGCTGATGTCTCGTTGCGTTTCTCCTCTATATCGTTGTGTTTCTCCTCTATAGACCCAAGGACCCCATCACGTACACGCGGAACGACTTCGAGCTGATGGAGGTGTCGCTCCTCCGAGAGATGCTCCGGCTGCAGTTCCAGTCTCAGGCGAACGACCCCAAGGTGACCTAGCGAATGGCACCGACGTGCCCCGTTGTACATTTGGAAATGCGGTGCCCCCGTTTCGAACATGTGCTGTAGGCACCTCAGCAGGGCTTGGGGGCTGGAAGACTGCGTCGCATCACCGCTGCTTGTGTGTGGTTCTCATTTTCGGATCGTTGCCCCTGTGTGTGTGTGTGTGTTTGTTGATGGTTTTTTGTGTTTGTGTTGCCGAATCGTGTATTGTGGGTGCGCATCCGCACCCACGGCTCCTCTCCCCCACTCGTAGCGGCCCACTTTGCTTTTTTTTTCCTCTCCAAACTTAGACACCTAACCCCAATTGTTTCGTTCGTGCTGCGAAGACCCCCAGTCGCCCTTTTCACTACTCAAAGTACTTGAGTGGAACTCGGAAGGCTTGAATAACCCCGACACGCCTTTAGGCATGTCGCCTGTGGAATTCAACCCTAAGCTTGATGTCGTGGTACTCTCTCCCTTGAGTGGTGTCTCTCTCAGTGGAGTGGTGTTTTTTTCGCTGCTGGTCGCTGCCTCGAGGAACACGCAACGCCCTGTTGGCCCCGTTCCTCCTAGATATGAATCAACACACCACCTTCGATACGGCGTCGCTTTTGCAAGGAGCATGAAACGAACGCTTTCAGATTTTGAAGCGCTGTTAAATGATCACGGACGCGTTCGCGTTCACACTTTGATGCAGCCAGACCGGTTCTTAGAGCTGTGGTTCGCGCACCATTTTTTTCACCTAGCCTTGCGTTCATCTCGTCAGTCATCTCACAATTGAAGCAGGACCTTGTTTGTCCGGGGTAGTGACATTATCGCACCACGTCCATCCCCCTTCCTTCCCCTGTCCCCGTTGCTTGCTTCGCTGCTGCTGCCGCTGCAGCTGCCGTTCAAGTTCGAGCTGGAGCGCGTGATCGATGACTTCGTGTTCATGTGCATCCTCGTGGGGAACGACTTCTTGCCCAATGTCCCGCACCTCGACATCTCGGACGGGGCCCTCAACCACATGATGAACATGTACAAGGTGGGGGGAAAGAGTGGATGAGGTTTTTCGTGGTTCTGGGCGGTATGCCGCGCTCGCCACGCGCATGCGCGTGTTCCGCATGTTCGAGCCCCCCTGAGGGATCGGAGAGAATCCTTGCATTGAAATCATTTTGCGTCCCATCCGTGGCGTTGTGCCCATGTCGCTGTCGGTTTCAATGTGTACGCTTCCATCGCCACCTGGCTGTCCTCTTCCCCCTCCTCCTGCTGCTGCTGCTTCGAGTTCTGCGCGTGGGTGCTGCTGTCTATCTTCCCTTTGACTGCCACCCGGGTGTTGCTCAACTGGAACTGTCGGATTGTTACGGCGCTCTGGTGTGTTTGGTTGGCTGTTTATGTTTTGCAGCTGTTGCTGCCGAAGATGGGCGGCTACCTGACGAAGAAGGATCAGATTCACCACGGCCGACTGGAGATGTTCATGCACGAGGTATGTCGAGGTACACGATGGAAATTTACGGTACGCGTGGCGGCATGGCAGATGGTATGGGCTCCGTCACCAACACCACCATAATGTAGCATCGGTATCAGTAGGTTCGATGGCATGAGCGACCCCGAGCACGCATCCACATACATGAACACACACACGCCCAACTCTAAATCCCAGGTTTCTCGGAGAGAGGCGATGTACTTCCGACGAAGAGGGGTAGAGGAGAGCGACCTCGTCCTGCAGGACCCTGGGAAGTACACGTGAGAACTGCCTAAGGGGGGGTGTAGATGGCATAAGGTTTGGGTGTTATTGTTGGAGTGTGCTTAAATAGCTGGGATATTTGGAAGCACATTCTTTTGGTTCGGTGTTGCAATGGTTTGGTGTCGCGGACGCAAGCATTTCTAATCCCCGCAAAGAACCGTTGGTTGTCCCTGGGAGGTAGCGGATTCGTTTCGTTGTCCTTGTTTTTTTTCTCTTCCAGTTGGTGTTGGTGGCGGCAAGAACATGAGTTCGGGATCGCCGAGAAAGTGTTTTGAGCCGATTGCGAGGTATGCCGCGTTTTCGTAGTGTTTCACTACGTATGTTTGTCCACAGCGATGTTCCTTTGGGTATTACGTTTTGCCACACACGTCCCGTGACCTCGGCATTTTCGCCGGTCCGGGAACCTGTTCTGTTGAAACTATTTTGCCTCCATACACGTCATCTGTCTCCCTCCCATCCTCGTTGTTTGTCCCTCCTTGTGATGCCGAATGATGCGCGTTTGGTTTGATCAGGGATCGCTATTACAAGACCAAGCTGGATCTTGATCCGGAACAGGAAGAAGAGAAGCGGGCTGTCGTCAAGCATTACCTCGAGGTGGCTAGCGTGGTGTTATTATTGTTGCCGTTGTTGTTGCGTCCTCGCTGTTGGCGGCCTCTGCTGTTGTGTTTCAGTTGAAAGAGTTCGTAACTCTTCTGCGGGGTAATGATAACCATACGCTTGTGAACGTTCGGACGTGGCAGTTTTCCACGTGGCTATGAACTACGTGCGAGGGCAAGACGTTGGAAGTTTTATATCCGTCACGTTGATGACCACACCGCCGAGGCGATTCCTTCCACGCCGACCCCCGCCTCCGAGAAACTCTCGTCGCTATATGCAAGTTCCCTTTGTCCAGAATCCACCGAACGTTGGAGCGCCACGCGCTGTAGACCGTTCATGAAACCTCCCCACAATCACAATCGCCGTTAAATCGATGTTTTTCTCTACCGTAGTATCCCCCCCGCATCTTGGGGGACTATTTCGGAATATCACGTTGCTGGCTGCGTGTTTTTGTGTTCATCTCAGGGCCTGTACTGGGTGCTCAAGTACTACCACGTGGGCGTCGACGCGGGGGGCTCATGGAGCTGGTACTACCCGCACTTATACGCGCCCCTGGCCAGCTCCATGAAGAACCTCATGGATATAGACATCTCTTTCGAAAAGGGCAGGTACGGGTGTGCTGTCGAGATAACGTATTGCGTCTCCCCTTTTTGTCGGATGGGGCCATGTCGTGCTCGTGGTACTATTGTCCCGAACGATTGAAGAGGCAGGTCGCTAGCACGGAGATTAAGTGCGTTTCACCGGGGAGAAACGAGTCTTGGCGAGCGGCAACCGCCTCTTTGTACTGGTTATCCCAACTTTTATGCCCGAGTTGTCTTCAGAAATACCAACTCGAGCGGCAGACTGGAAACCGCCAAGAGCCCCGAGGGCTTCCACGTTTATGATCCACGCCTCACCCTCTCGCGTTCCCTCTTCGCTATTACTTTTATTCTTTGTTTGGTTGTTTTTTTCGGTCTTGTCGTCAATTGTCGTTTTTGTCAGGCCCTTCCCCAACCTCCTGCAGCTGCTAAGTGTGCTGCCACCGCAGAGCGCAGACTTTCTTCCCGAGCCGTACAAGGCCCTCATGGTCGAGCCAACCTCTCCCATCCTTGAATACTACCCCACCGAGTTCGAGGTACTGTTGGGTTTAGTTTTGGCTTTGTTGTTGTTGTTGTTGCAGGTGCTGGTGCTGGTGCTGGTGGTGTTGTTGCTGCTTGGTAGCAGCCTGCGCCACGAAAACAAGCTTCCGCGTATGTGACATGGGACATGCTTTGCAGTTCTTGCCTGAAGATGACAAGTCAGGATTGCTTAGAATTGCTTTCGCGTGCGCTGGTGTCGTTGCTGGCGGTGGTGGTGCCTTTCCAGCACAACGTTAACCTGGGCCACAACTGATTGCGCATTCATACGGTGGACTTGACATGAGTTTATGGCTCTTGCGTGAGACACAGGGAATTCCGCGATTGGGTCAGAGGCGACTGCCACAACACCAACCAGTCATACGTCTTGCGCGTTTAGTTGTTTGTTCTCGGTGGGTTGTCAGACGCGAACTTGCAGATAAAGTCGTAAGTTATTTTCCTGCTAATATTCCGTCGGCAGTGCGACGCTAACGGGAAGACGGCCTCCTGGGAGACGGTGGTAAAGATTCCCTTCATCGACGAGAAGGATGTTTTTGGCGGTGAGTGACTCACGGTGTAGTTCTGCCCGCGTGCAGTTGTTTTCTTCACGTGCAAATCCGGTTTGACCTGTATCCGTTCTAATATGTGTCTGTGTTGACCTTGTGTACAGTTGTGAACTAGGCGACAATCAACATGAGTGCCGGCATGTTTTCCTACTGCGAGTTGTTGAAGGTTTCGTTGGAGACCCTGGTTTGTTCCTGTGGGGTACGCTATGGCGTTTGGTTTTTATTTTGTTTCATTTTTGTCGTCCGCTCAATTCCAATGAGCTGCCTCGGCGCCTTCAAAAGTGGAGCATTTTTTGCTGTTGCCTTTCCCACAATTGTCCTCCCCCACGTACACGTGCCCCCTCTGCGTTTCCTTAGCGCTATCCAACGTTGACCACACGAAAGATCTGGAGGCTGTGGACCGTCTACGGAACTACACGGGCAAGGTAATATGCAGAATGAGGCATCATGGACCAGTCCCTGGCTTGGTCTCGTAATTGGTTCGCTATCTTTTATTATCGACAAGTCACATTTGGCGGGACAGCGTCACTGTAAGACGAACTTGCAGGCGAAGTGCTCAAGCCGGCGGTGCCTGGGCTCGAGTTTCACAGAGCACTGTCTTATCCCGCACGCCCAAAAGAACTGCCCGAATGGTATCCCGGCGTGTTGTTGTACGACGTGCCTGGGTCCTTCTTGGTTCATCATGTTCCGAGTGAGACCGCCGTGACCATGACGGGTTTCTAGGCACATGTCGCACGTGCAATTGATTCCAAAGACAGCGCAACCTTTCTTGTCTCTCGATTTTTCATCCCATTCAACTGTCACACCGGACGGTGACCACGACCGAGAGCATGCAACCCACTAACCCCTCCGCCATCCCGTTGATTGCAATCCCCCCTTTATCAGGTGTGGCAATTCTTGCCCCAATTCCGCCTCACCCCGACGGGGGAGCCGACAAACCCGGTGCCTCAGCCCGCAGGGAAAGTTAGAGATTCCAAGAAATAATTGCCGGGCAGTAGTTGCAGTGCGGTGTGGTAAAGGGGCTTCAGAGACCAGCACAGAGAACCACCTCTGGTTCTCGGGGGAGGGGTGGGCTTCTGCTGCATTTGACTCTGCTGTACGTGCTCGTAGTTCAGCACATCCGTGCAGGGTTGAACTCACGCTCTGTTTCTGTGTGAAATGACAAACTATCGCCATCGTCCTGTAGTCGGATTGGCACGAACGTACCGAGCATCCTCGTTGTAGAGAAGCTCCCGAGTGTTCTTGGACATGAGAGTTATTCCAAAATGGCAATAGCGCGGTTGTTGGGCACGCTGTTGGGTAATCTACACGTGCGTGAAGAACGCGACAAGTCCATTGTTGTTGCATGCGAAGAAAACTTGAGTGTGTTTTTGAATGCCCAAACGATACATGGGGCATGTTTTCTCGGTCGGCATGCATTTTTTCACTACTCACACGACAAGAATGGCTGCACTCTTGCGGGCAAACCGGTGTCATGATGACCCTTGATTGGGGAGGTATGGTGAAGGCTAAGCGCTGCTGTTACGGCATTGCCGAGCGGGTCCCAAGGACCCCGGTGTAAGGAGTTTGCCGGCCCCACCCACCCGACCGCATGTTTCGACAGCGTTGGAAAACTTTCCGCCTAGATAGTGCGCATTCTCCCGCATTTTATTATCCGTCGGGATGTCCCGGAGTCTTAGATGGCTGGTACCCGGTGTTGGGTCATCGGCGTCCATTCGTTGGATGGGCCTGAATGACGTGTAATTAATGACGAGGGAGCGCGACGCCGTTGGACCATTCGGACAAGAAGACGCGAACACTGGCCACAGCGACGGGGTCTGACAAATTCAGGCTGTAGATATTTCAGGCTTGACCCATTTCTCTTGGGAGGGTAGCGTAGCTCCAGCATTGCCCCCATAGGAGAGAGACAGCCTTAATTCAATGGTAGACATCAGGTTGTAGTGCCAACTGCTCGAATGTCAGTACCCATCCAATGCCTTCCACACACGAGCGTGGCGAAGGCAAGGCATAAGTGCGAAATCAGAGGCCCCAAAATACCCGATGGCGTGAGAGAGTACCACCCAGACCAAACGAAGACCCTGTCCGCTACTTTAAGAAGCGAATCTCTCCCCAAGGCCACACAGATGTCTGGCATCTCACTACGCTCATCCGCACAAAGCAAGAGGGCCAGTAGGGTATCACGGAGACATGCAGCCGCATGGGAAATTTCGAAATTTCGGTTATGAAATGCAACGCCGCTGAATAACTACATCCGCCGAAAGCGTCTAACCATCAGGCTAGTACTATTCTGCCCAGTGGCATGAACATAGTGCACCCTTCACTCTCCCAGCAGTCAGGCCGAGGACAACCAAGGTCATTCCCCGGCACCTTATGAACAAGCGTTATCACCGACACTCCTCCAATCGAAATTGCAGTTAACTCCAGCGGACAGAGGATTGACACGGCAGCCATACGGTGAGCGGAAAGCAGACGGCCGAACATGAAATGAACAAAATACGTATTAGTACAACTCCCTCCCGAACTCTACCTGTGAAGCATCGCATGGGCGCCTTTCATATTAACAAATTCCCATTCATCGTCGCGAAGTTCGAGCCCAAACACTCTGCATCAGTCAGGAGCCACTATCCGATTCTTGCCTATCCAAGTCGCTGTTGGGTCGACCCCAAAGCGCAAACTCACGCTCAGCTTCCAAAAACAAGGGCAGCACGGAGGGCAGATCCCGCCGGAGCGTCAAACTCATACTAAGCGCCGTACTCGCTTCGACGTTGAGCACGACGTGGAACCACCCGATGGGCAAAAACACAACTTCTCCGGGGCGCTGGATGATTACCTTCGCGCTCTTGTGAAGATGTCGTCGTCCTCCGGGATCCTCGCCGTCACTCGAGCCAGCCCGACAAAACCACTCCAAGGCTGACAAGTCAAAGTCTTCACCTCCTCCTTCGTGCTCGCTGCTGTTTCCATCTAAATTCAGAAGCAGAGCGCTTTCGTCCACGTCTGGCGGAAAGCAGCACCACAGCTTGCACCCGACGAGTAGCGCGTTCCACGCCACTGTGGTTGGGTGGTCGTGAATCGAAGTGCCGCTTCGGACGACACCAATCAAGAGCCATTTCGGAGGGAGAGGCCGGAACTTTTCGTCGCACACTGCCGCAGCGGCGTCGCGCGAGAAGCACGCAGGCGTGTCGAATGCGTCCCTGACGAGACTCCCGTCGTCGCAGAAGGTAGATCTAGGCCCCAAGATGCTCGGATCAAAGACGTAAAGGGGCGCGGAGTCCTTACCCGACTCGTTCTCCGAGTACCGCTCGTACTCTGCCAGGCTGACGCTCCCGGCACACATGGACATGCGAGCGAAGGAAGGCCCGCCGTCAAGGGATACCTTCCTCCCAGCCGTGCGAGCCACCAAGTCTCGCAAACTCCAGGATTTTCCCGCTTCGCGAGAAGCGTACGCAGGCCACTCGTCCAGGAAGCCGGTCAGGACTGTCGGGAGGTGGGGCAAGTTATCTCCGTGGACGTCGTCGGCAAACACTGAGCCAGGTATTCGTTCCACGTTGTCACGAAAATAATTCTTCCTTCCAGCTCCGATTCCCACCACGACACAGTTCTCCCCAACGGTGATTTCTCCCTTGTTGGTGCCGGTATCGGAGTCTGGTGACATCCAGTCCTCGAGCTTTGCTTCTGGCGCGATGGACAGCTTGGCAAGATCGGTCTCGCTGTACTCGCGCTCGCAGGAATCTCCGGCATGTCGGTGGTGAGCGGGCGACGCTGCGGGAACAACGGCACCGCATCGTTCTCGAGCAGGAAGAGCAGTGTGAGGTCCGCCACCGCGACCGGCTTTTCGATTGCATTCCATGCAGTCGCACTCTCTCTCCTAAACAGGCTTCGCGACAAGAGCGATAGGCCCGAACTTGATCTGCTGCCGTTTGTGGCGCCTGCGTCGTCTGTGGTAGCGTGCGATTGCCGCGTTGTTGGAAATTAACCGGTGCAGAGGAGGGGGGGAGGACGCCGATCAAGGCCAAACCGCGGGCAGGTGGGGCGGACGGAACGGCGTGTCATACACACGCCCAGTGTTTTGTCTCGATCAAGTCACAAGCCATCTGAGCGTGCCTCTCAGATGCGTAGCTAGGTATTTAGAATGGGAAGAACATCAGGAGCGTGCCTCTCAGATGCGTAGCTAGGTATTTAGAATGGGAAGAACATCAGGAAACAACAGCAGTAGCATTGACATCAAGAAGAATGCTGGAACGCGACGGCGCGATAATACGACGCGACAAAAACACCGGATGGTTTCGTTTTGTGTCGCCACGCTTTCAAGTGACGTGCCCTCAATGGTCCATGAAAAAAAAGAAAAAAGGAGAATAACACGTCAAAGTAGGGGTGGTATTTACCGCAAGCACGGCCGATTGCACAAATGAGAGCTTCGCTCTGCTATTACGATATTCCCGACCACCGAGACTCACTACGGCACACAATCGGAGAACGAGTAAGAGGTGCAATCAACTCACCCATGTATCAGAAGCACCGACAACGACCGCCCTATTGTAGCGTGCCTGATAACTACTATTAAGGGATGGCAAAACACGAAGTGTGATGTTGACAAATTTTGAAAACAAACGCAAGAGCATCCGAAAACGCACAAGAGACACACAAGACAAGTCGGAAGGCATCGCGAAAAACAGAAATCGTTGGTTCTCGCACAGGGCGGCAGTAGAGGCTCAAAACATACATTTCACGCGTCTACCTCCACACGCCACCTTTGAAAACAAGATAAAATTCACACGATTCTAAATTCAAGTCAATCGAGCAAAACGGCAGGCGCTCAAATACGCTCTGTGCTGCCAGAAACCTGGTGCATAGTGCTTCTAGCGCCAGAGGGCATTACAAAGAGGCGTCGTGTGTGCTGGCGCGCTCAAATCTGCTTCTGTAGTGGTGATATCGAGGGTCGCGGTATAGTAGTCTACAAATTCCGCAAATCTCCACAAATTCGACCCAACACCCAGTGCCTTCTACTGCTTGTGCTCGCCGCCACTGACCCCAATCTGCTGAACTGCGGGTTCACAGCAGTAGCTGATGGCACTAGGTACTGCTGACAACCCTCCGTTCAGGGGATTACGGTCCGTGGCGGTGAGCACGGCTGTGACAAATGTAAATGCTAGCTGCCGCTTGGTTCCGGCGCAGATTTCGGACCTTTTTCAGGGGCTGTTACGGCCTTCGGTATCTCAGCTCCAGTAGCAAACCTGAACGTGTCAGCACGCACGACGCTTCTTGATGGTGTCCTCTACTGATAAGTAGTACTAAAATTATCAGGTTCCTCCGGCGGGAAGGTTGTTTTCTTTCTTCATGTTAATATTGGACCAATAACCACAAACGGGTATACCCGGGTACTTTATCACCACTTTAGGGTACACTTAGAAATCAACACGCTTGCACCCCCAGGCTGTCAGCTGATTGGCCGAAAAACCATCGAACCGATTTCGGAAGAAACCTCCATCGGGTACAACTACCGCTGGCATGAGGACCCTCTGGTGTGACCGATATTGGTTACTGGTGTACCCGGAAGAGGTCGATTTTGTACCCAGAAATGGTCATATAATCCCGGCGCCCAACGCTCTAGCATAAAACCCGCAGAAAAAAACGTGTACCGCACATGCCGTGTACCGCACATACGAACTACATACCCACAACCAAACCACCAACAACGCTCGCTCGTTGATGGGCACCGCCTCCATAGGATACCGGCCCCTCTCGACAGAGGGTCGGACTCGCTCGACGCGCGAGTTCGTTCCGTGTGGTGCTGGTCAGTAAAAGCACACAGAGAGAGAAGCACAGAGAGAGAGAAAAAACGGGCACGACCTGCCTCGTGCATCATGCTTCCGAGGCACAGGACACAGACAGCGGTTTATTGGTTTCGCCGCGATCTACGGCGGATGCTGTCGGAGATTGGTGTCGTGTTGATTTCCAAGTGTACCCTGAAATGGTGATAATCCACCCGGGTTACCCGTTTCTGGTTACGCCGTATCGCTAGAGAGCTCCTTATTGTTGGGTTTTTACGCTGGCTCTTTTCTTACAATATTAAGAGAAGGGAAATGGACAGAAGTGGGTATACCCACGCCTTTCCGGACAAAAGTGGGTACTCCAAAATCCAGCGCGCGCGCACTCCATAGGCGACCCCCAAACGACTCAAAACCCCGTTCTGACACCTGGGTGACACAGCCAGGGACTATACACAGCACGGGCATCGATTTTTCCCACTTTCAGGCACACCTTTGGCCCTAATACCGCCGAGGCGCGCAAGGCCTCACCAGAGTGCCCACTTGTGTCCGACATCGTGGTGGGTATACCCAGCGGTGCCTACGATTTTTTTCATGTACCCACTTGTGTCTGTATTTTGGCCCACTTGCCTTTTGTCCAAATTATACCCACTTTTGTCCACTTACGGACGGCGGAAATCGAACGGAAATCGACCTCCACGTCACCGCACGGCAGAACGTCGAATAGCCTCGGAACGTCTCAGAACCTGCCAACACCGTATCCATGGCTACCGACTGCGGACCGACCGCGGGATATCGGGCCGGATTTTCACTTCGTATACATAACATCACGTAGTTGCGTGGCAAACTGCCTCGACATGTTGCTGCTGCCCTCACGAGTCGGTGTGCACTCGTCGTGGTGGTTGGTGTTTTTTGTGTGTAGGGCGGGTTTGTGTGTCTGTGTTGCTGTATGCGCGTTTTTTTGTTCTGTATGCGCGACCCGTTGGTTTAGTTGTCCGTTGTGTGTCACGCATGTATTTGTGGCGTGCCGTTAGTGCGCTGCTTGCCGGGCTTGCCGCGGGTATCTTCCCGTGCCTGGTATCGGTGCCGGTACCGTAGGGGTCTGACATGTTTCTGACATGTTCCTCCGCGGTCGGTCCGCAGTCGGCAGCCATGGATACGGTGTTGGGAGGTTCTAAGACGTTCGGAGGCTATTCGATATTCTGCCGTGCGATGACGTGGAGGTCGATTTCCGCTCGATTTCCGCCGTCCGTAAGCAGACAAAAGTGGGTACAATTTGGACAAAAGACAAGTGGGTCAAATACAGACACAAACGGGTACATGAAAAAATTAGTAGGCGCCGCTGGGTATACCCACCACGATGTCGGACACAAGTGGACACTCTGGTGAGACCTTGCGCGCCTCGGCGGTATTAGGGCCAAAGGTGTGCCTGAAAGTGGGAAAAAATCGATGCCCGTGCTGTGTATAGTCCCTGGCTGTGTCACCCAGGTGTCAGAACGGGGTTTTGAGTCGTTTGGGGGTCGCCTATGGAGTGCGCGCGCGCTGGATTTTGGAGTACCCACTTTTGTCCCAGAAAGGCGTGGGTATACCCGCTTCTGTCCATTTCCCTTCTCTTAATATTGTAAGAAAAGAGCCAGCGTAAAAACCCAACAATAAGGAGCTCTCTAGCGATACGGCGGGACCTGCGTGAAACATGAAGCATGGTGCTGGTATTGTGCTTCGCGGAAAAGTTTGGAGCAACTGCCATGATCACCTGAATTGGAGCAATTGTTCGTCCCCCGTGGTACAGCAGTATCATGTACGCCTAGCCTGGTAGCTCTCTCCGGTGGTGTCGCGCGCGCTGTCTGTGCTCGCCAAACCGCGTGACAATTTTATGCTTGATGCCCTCCTGTCCTCTCCGCACAAGTTTGTAGACCTATTCCCTACCCCTCGATCACCACCCCACTGAGCGGTGTTAAACTTGTTCGCAATTTGTCGCCATCCTAAACTTGATATCAACGCGCCATGCGGGATTGATCGATACTCCGGAGTATTGTATTTGAATGGAAGCGAGGAAGGCCGGCTCTGCTTGTCTGGTCATGTGTGTCGCACATCGCCAAACCCCCCCCGCCGTTTTTCAATTTTGTAGGAGTACACACCAGCTCAGTCTTGTTGCGGACCCCCCCCCCCCCCGCAATGTTGCGCAATGCCAATGCATTTTCAAAGCAGCCGTCACGCGATCGATCCCCTTACATCTCCTCTTCTATTAACAGCCAGGTGCCCGCCTTGGAGGTACGGACGGTGTCATATGTTTTGAGAGCATGCAGAGTTGTGTAGGGCACGTGGACGATCATGATTGGGGAATCAGTGGGATTGTCTGGTGGCACTGCTTCGTATGTCTCGTCACGGTGTCAGGGTGCGCAGAAAGTGCTGTTGTTTTTGTCCCTCACGGTACATCACGCACGTGCATCTGACGAGCAGCAGCAGAATAGAGTTGACTGTGCTCGTGCGGGGTTGGTGGATGTTGTAGTTGCGGCTGCAGCAAGTGCGCGTGGGTACGGGGAACAGGGATGTGTGTTGGAATGGCGGAGAATCGTCCCCAAACCAGTTGGAGCTCGCTGTCTCTGTCCCTTTCTTCTGTGGCGCTGCCTGTGGCCCATCGCACTACACAGCAGAGGTTCGCCATGGTCTGGCCATTGTGTACCCAAACCGCTCAGAGGTAGCAAAGCAGAGCAGTTCACTGTACCTCCCTCTATCTTTCTCTCTCGGATCGAACGTCGAAGAGGTGGAAAGGTCGGTTCAATGACGTGCGGTGCTGAAATACCCCGCACCATTCCGCCGGCAGATATATGCGGCATCGATCTAATCTTCGATAGATCTGGTGCAACATCCACTTTCTGGCTATCTGCGGTGCTGCTGATCTGCCCATTCAAGTTAGATAGGGCATGCGCGTAGAAAGCCTAGGCATGTTCTGCATGCAGCCGACAGGCCACGACCAAAGGCACGACCAATCGTAAAGATCTCTTTACACCCCACCTCATGTGATCAGTATTTTTTCTTGGAGTTTGTTGGTTGTCGTTGTTGTTGTCTTCACATTAAACTCGTGTCAGTTGCTAAACACAAAATCTAGCAAAACACAAAATACTTTCTGACGCTACGAATTCATTGCTAATCTGTCTCAGACTCTTTTCTATAGATAGAGATGGATTCGTTGTGTCATATTAAGAAAAATAAAAAAAAGACGCGGTCCGTTGTCACCAAAATAAAGGAATAATAAATACACACACAGAAATGCTGGAGCCATCAGAAGATCCAAAGAACACGCAAAACTACCAAGAAAAGAGTATACACAAGCCCAAGAGGTACACCTACATCCCTGCAGCACGTTTGCGTGCCCAAAAACTGAACTACCCGTCCGCACACTACGTTCGACTCACAATATATAGCCGCCAAGATTTGCAGTGTCGCGAGTTATGGGGGAAATGTCTTGAATACGGTGTTTGCGAACATCTGATTCTGGTCTTGTCTTGGTCTTTTTTATCCCCCCGAGCGCCGAAGTCCGATGGATCTTTAGGAATCTGGTCTTTTGATTTTTGATTCGTTTGATGGGGAACGATCGACTCCGTCGACGACTGACTGCGATGTGTATCACAACTTGTTCGCGTGCTGAAGGGGTACACACATGCATGCCTCAGCTGTTTGCGGCGCTACGCTTCCCATGCATTCCCGGCAACTGAACTGGGCCAACCTCCTGTTCATGAGCGAGTACATTGCTCCATCAGTATTCTACATTACTACTTAGTCAGCTGGGGGTGAGGTGCAGTTCAAGTAGAGTAGTAGCCTTGTTGGGGTGGAGGCGGATGGTCGGCAATAAATATGTTTGGTGTTTCGAGTCGGCTCAACCATCTGTCTGCCGCCGCCGGCAAAGGGGCTCCGCTGATTGAACGCAACTTTCTTGGGAATTTCCGCGTGCTCAGGCCAGTTGTTATGATATGTTATGGAAAATTTTCCGATTTGGAATCCCAATGTTACGCCTTTTAAATCCAAACCCCCATGAGGCCGCAGGAGTTCTGCGTACTTCGTTGGAAAGGCTCACAAAAGCGTTTTGGCACTCAGTACTCGCCTCACAGAGACCCGTTTGCATTCAAACCTTCGAGGCCGCGTAGAGCATTGCTGTGAGCCTCTTCGAGCCAAGTTTGGGGAGCTGCGGTGCAGTGTGTGTTCACCATGCTTGGTAAAATAGGAATTCCCATTTGGAATTGCTGGACGATCCGGGTGGGAAATCCTCATGAATTCCAAACTGGAATTGGTTGGAATTCCAAATTGGGAATCGTGAATTTGCTTTCATATCATTGCATACTCACAGTTGTGGAGTGTACAGCCTTATCGGTTAGATGGCAAACAGGGGTCTGTGAGGCGAGAACGAACTGACAAAGCGCTTTAGTGCTGTCTGCTTGCTGCCCAGTACGCAGACCTCCTACTTTTAAGGGGCGGTGGAGCATTATCTGCCGATCCCCCGGATTCCAAATCGGAAAATTTCTCCACAACAACTGGCCTCAAAACCGAAAAAATCACACACCAGTCTTCGCAAGCAGTTTTGAAACTCAATTCCGGTTTTGGTTTTGGGCTTGGCTTCCGACTTCCAAGACCAAGACCTGAGACCAGTCCGCAAACACCGTAATGTTTTGTTTTTTTTTACTTTTCTTAATATGACACAACGAATCCATCTCTATCATAGAAAAGAGTCGGAGACAGATTAGCAATGAATTCATAGCGTCAGAAAGTACCTAATGTTAAAAAAACGGCGTGTTGTTCCTCTCTTCTACTTGAAGTTGATAAAGGCACAACGGCCACTTCGTCCACGAAAAATGCCGAGGTGTGGCGAAAACTGAGCATGACGCAGTTGTAGAAGGGGCGTCCCTCCCCCAGCTGTATTGCCTCAACACTGTGGGTGGATACTAGCGATGGGCGCCTACCTGGGGTGCAAAATAGAAGCCGTTGCCCACGAGCTCATGTCAACCGGAGAAACAAAATTGTTCCATTGCTGTCCAACTGACAAGAAAGTGCATCAACCCGAGGCCGATGACACCCATGCACGTATCTCACTATGTAGCAGGCGTACCGAGGTCAAACCTTCAGTGCTGTCATCTGCACCCACGGATTTGGCTCGGGTGCAAACGGGTTGGGTGTGGGGTGATTCGATGAAGAGATAGAAGCGTCGCACACGACAGAGCAGTGTTGGCAAAACGTTCCTCCTCTGTTTTTCTACTTGAAAAATAAAGTAGTCTTTGAACGGTCCCTCGACAGAGTGGTGATGACGCACGTGGAACGAGCCAGGGCAAATACGCATTTTTTCGACCGCCTTGGTTGTTTTCGTTCGCTGTCGGCGCCCACTGGGCGCCGACACAGTGACGCCAGGGTGCGTTAGAGACCCTTCCGAGTGTGCGGCGTGCAGATTTCATGGCGTTATGGACGATTAGGTTGACTGACCTTCGGTAATCGCGCCGCACCCAGGCAACATTTGTTACGCCGCCGCAAGATTTATCGGAAGGCTCGTTTCGACAGATCTTGGGTCAAGATTTGTCCGAAAGGGCAGATTTCGGGCCTCAAGATATCTTGGCCAAGATATATCGGAAGATTTCGCTCCCATAAATCGTGAAATTGGCAGATCTTGGCCAAGATCAAGATTTATCGACAAGATTTGGTTCCCATAAATCGGGGTCTGAGCATATCTTGGGGTCAAAATGCCAAGATACATTTGCAAGATTCCGTTTCCATAAAGAAGGGTCTAAGCAGCATCACCCCCCCTGTCCTACACTTTACCAAAATGAATGTCGACTACAGCGTACAGCTGTCTGGAGTGCTGCCTGTACAATAACACCATGGTAGGCATGGTACAAGTTCGGGGCGCGCAACTGCTGTCTAAGGTGCTGTCAGAATGCGTCCGTGGACATACAGTGAAAAAGAACAACCAACCAAAGCCATCATTGCATTTGACAGTCACCGAATCTACCCCTGATCATCTGTGTTGGACACAGCAGTGTAAATAATCGACACTGATTAGGATCGTTCCACATTGAAGGGGTCTTGCACGATGCAGGTACACAACAGAGTTATTTAAAACTCGATTCATGGACCGGCAGGACTTTTTGGGACCTTTCGCTGCTTTGTACATTTTTGGTGAAAAACTCTCGTGATATAAAACTCGATAATAGATCTTCACAGGATAAAAACACAGGACTGTTAGCCTGCGCCAATACATCCTCGGACAGCTGGCGTTTGGGCAGGTGGGCTGCCGTTGTGGTGCAGTCAAATTTGATCGACCGGAAACAAGCAGCAAGCGAAATTAGAGTGCCTTTTTTCAAGGGTGATACGAATATGCACACCCTTACGTAGTGAACGAATAGCGGACAAGGCGCGTTCGTCTCTGCCAAGAGCGCCTCCAACCCACGCTAGCTGATACTCTGTAGGTTGGCACTCGGTCACGTTGATTATAACAAACCGTTGGTCCTTCTTCTCTTTTTTTTGTGCCAAAGAGAAACCGAGAGAGAGGTTAGAAAAGACAGGCAGACAGGCATATACGCACACCCTGTGCATCAACGGCAACAACAACCTCCAGCCTTCCCGCCATGCCGACTAGGAAGGGCCGCCCTCCCCCCCACAAAAATAACGGGGCAGCCCATAAGCTACGCAGCGAGCCTTGTGGAACTGTGTCTGTTCGTTAGTTCGTCTGTGCTTGCGTGCGATGGCGGCACCAGAGAAAGCGAGAAAGAAAAAGGAGCACGACGAGAAAGGGGGGCAGAGGGGAAAAGAGAGGGTGCAGCAGCATGCAGCAACCTCACGTACGCGTTGATACGCATGCAGCACAACAAAAAATCGTCCGGGCAGTGCCCGAAAGCTTGGTTGGGGGCTGCCGGTGGTGACGGCGTTGTTATGACTGTGTGCTGGTGTGACGGCGGTGATGTTTGCTGCAAAAGCGAGGAGAGAGGAGAGGGAGATAGAGAGAGCGGTCTGTTGGTCTCGGAACACCAATATATACTTGAGGCTCTGGAGCCCCAAACATATTTTTGCTCACGATTCATGCATTTTTGCCCAAAAGTCCCCTGCCGATATAGAAAACTCGATTCATCCACTTTTCGGGCTCTTCCACTGGTTTCATGCATTTTCCCGAGTTTTAAATAACTCTACAAAGACACACACAGCACCCACACGGTATAACGTTTTACTCCCTGTTTTCCGCGCGTTGTGCGTATTGCTTGTTATTTTCATCGAGAAAAAGGTGAACCTCCCTTTGGGTAGTAGATGTTGGCTTGTGAACTTGTGAACACGGGAGGAGTCCGCGTCATTGGACCAGTACGGATATTAGAAGGTACTGAGCGGAGACCGGAACGATTTTTTGTTTTTTTATTGCATGACAACGGCATCTTTGGTTTTGGCGTTTCCTGATGTCAACGGCTGTGTGCAAGTATAAGTATATGCCTAGCCTGTTTTCGGTAGAACTTGATGCTCCGAGCTGCCATGGTAACTGAGCTCAAAACAAACCGTCCACCCCTTGCGATTTTCATTCCCCAGGAATATTGCTGTCCCCTCATCTACAATCGACTTGAGAATATAACACCATGGCTGACGCAAAGGTGAGAAGGGGTGCGGAGACCGAGGGGAGTTGTGTGTTGGGGCGAAAGAGCTTCCTGCCGCGAAGGAAAAAGAACACCACAGCCCGATTATTGTTTATGTTGTGAGCAGGTTGCATTCTGACGGGCTTTGCCATCTTTTGTTCTGTCCCCGGATCATTATTAAGTGTTAAACCGCGGTTTCTGTGTATTCCGTTGCTTTATGTGTGTTTCGGAGGATCGGCCCTGCGCACGCTCACATGCTCTCTGATCACACACGATTTTTTTTTTGTCCGTGCTTTTTCTTGGCGGGATCGGTCGTGGCGGTATGCATGGGCGCGCCCGCAGGTAGCTGCTCTTCAGGCGTGCAAGGCCGAGGTAATGGACCTTTGCGCGGCTCACCACTGCAACCCCATCCTGGTCCGCCTAGCATGGCACGACGCTGGTAACACCATGTACCTAGTTTAGGATGCATGTCGACGTCCGTTGCGTTAGCCAACAACGGTTCCGGAAGAGTGCATGTGTAACCCTGACCCTCAGAAGGAGAACCCTTTTTGCGCACCTGAAATGACCGGTGTTGAGTGAGTTTATTTGTCGCTTCAACTTCTCTGCATCGCTCCTGCTAACCCACGCATCCGACCGTTACAAGAAACGTGCCTAACTATGTAGTGGGACGTTTTCACCCCTCCCTCAGGCACTTTCAACAAGGACAGCGCGGAGCCGTGGCCGAGGTACGAGCGCAACGCGTGGGACATATTTTTTCTGACGCCTCAAGAGTAGTGTCACGAGATTATGTGGACTGAAAATCGCGCAGGGTTCCTGTGTGTCTGTGTGTGTGTGTGTGATGTTCTGAGTTTTTTTCTACTGTAGCATCGACCTCGCTAACCGGCTGACTATTGAAAGACCTCAGTATGTTAGTTCATGTGTTTTGTGCGTTGGGTCCTCCTCGGCCGCGAATGGCGCCTGACCGGTGAACGAAAGGCGGCAGCGTGAGCAAAAAAAATAAGTGCAAGCTCGCTTGTCTTGGTCTATGATTTGTATGGACGCGTGTAGCTTCGCGGGCATGCACCCGATGCGTGTGATGAGATCGATAGCGGGATGAGGGAAGCGTGAAATTAAAAAACTGCCCCTTGGGCGAGCAGGTGCAAGGCGGTGTTCTTCGTCCTTCCATTTATTTCTCGCTTCCGAGGTCTGTGTGCTGACTCCTCGCTATTTGTTGTCCAATCTCTGGTCTATTCACAGCCGTACGACCCATTATTGTTCCAATCTCTCTCTTGTCTTACTTGCTGATTTCCAGCACTCGCCGCACCAGCGCTCAGGCAGACACGCACGGACATGCCAATATCGCGCCCTCTCGTTCTCTTCCCGGGCCGGCGTCCCGTGTGATTCTGGAAACAAACAGCATCCGATCAGATCCACGCCCACCCTTAACCCTACGGTACACATACCCTCTGCCTTGCGTTCGGTGGCACCGGGCGGGGAACCAAAATAGGTGCGGCGGGGCTAACGGGTCCATCCGCTTTGAGCCGGAGATCAACCACGGTGCCAATGCCGGCCTCGTGAACGCCCTCCAGCTGCTGCAGCCAATCAAGGACAAGCACCCGGAGGTTGGGTGGGCGGACCTGATCCAGCTTGCCTCTGCCGCGGCCATCGAGCAGGCTGGTCAGTTTTTTTTTTTTTTCGCTAACGGGTCTGCTGGCGGGGAGCGGAAAGAGGCCCTTGGTTCATTCGTGTTGCGCTAAGCCTAAACCTAGCGGGGTTGTTTGTGGCGGTAATGAGCACTAACACGGTTGTCGTTGGCGGCAGTGGGTGATGATGATGACAGCGTGCAGAGTGACTCCCTGGTGCGTGCGCGCCATCATCAGAGACCAGAGGAGTAGTGTGTGCGGTGATGGCGTGATGCGATAGATGCGTTGTCGAGATCTGCTGTCGACAAGACCACCATATGAGACGAATCACGGTATGCATAGGTGAACACGAGTTGGAGTGTTGGTACAAACGCTGGATTGTGTGTCGGTCTGATCTGTAGCCAAGCGAGTTGCGGGGCAAGTGCTTCGGTATGACATGCACAGGGTAGCCGGGTGGGTCGCTATCAACAAGTGACACGTGGATATTCAACATCAACAATGTTTGCATCTTGTTCTTCGAAAGGTATGTGTACGTTTCCTTCCCTGCAACTGCTGAAACCACTTTTACTTCCCGTATAAGCACCGTGGAAGTGTGCCCTGTCTGTGCATTACTTCTACAAGATATGGTGAACTTAGCGCTTTGGGTATTTTCTTGCCACGAAATCAGCATGGCATGCACGTAAACTTTATTCTACATGTACAACACAACACAACCTATGCAGGTGGCCCCGTGATCGACATGAAGTACGGCCGGAAGGACGCCACGACGCCGCAGTGCTGCGTGGACGAGGGCTCCCTCCCCGCGGGAAACGCGCCCTTCCCCGACGCCGACACGCCTCAGGTTTGGATACAGAGTTCCGCAACGTTTTTATTTTGCAGGCTGATGTATAGCAAGTAAAGGAAGTCCTCAGGGAGAGGAATCATTCTGTGTGACCACGGGTTGGAGCCCTTACCGGGCAGAACTGATGTAGCAAGCGCTGAATAATAGTGATGCAATAAAAAATGAAGTAACGTGCTGCTGAGACAAAAAGGAAAAGCGATGGTTGATGATAACGTTGCATGAGTTGGCGTGCTGCTGTCCTCAGCACGTCGCTCTCAAAGCTTCCGGTTGATCTCGCTGGCCGGTGGGACGATTCGAACACTCTGAATCTGAATCTTCATGTTCTTTGTTGAAAGATCGTCTAGAACGTGTACCCTCCCCCCCCCCCCCCGCCCCCTCCAGGGTGCCCTCTCTGTTTTGCACACAAGGCAGTTACGAGGAAGCGGTTGCTGTTTTTTGTGGGGATGGCTGTGGTGCACGAGGTGGTTTAGGGAGGTGCCGGCGTGTGGAGAACATATTTAGTGGTACTCTGCTGAACCCATAGCGATTTTAACGTGGACGGTTGACTTTCTGCGGATGTGCATGGCCGATTTGGTTGTGCTGCTTGAGTAGACAACACATAGCACACACACTGAGACGGCCTTTTAAGTGTCTCAAACCGGAGGAGGGTAGAGCTGCGTCTCTAGACGGGCTTGTGGTGAACGGTCCAGCCACAAAGGCAACCAATAATGAATATCCTCCTCCTAAACTCTTAACAGCGCGTGTTTCTCTTCCTCTCCCTATGCCTGGCATTGCTCTGTGAGCGTCTGCTACTCTTGCTGCTATTCCATCAAGGTTGGCTTATTGCTGTGAGTGAGTTTCCCCTACCCGCTTGTCGTCGTTTGACCTACTTTTTTCCTGTGCGCAGGCCCACCTCCGGAACGTGTTCTATCGCATGGGCTTCGGTGACGAGGGCATCGTGGCGCTCTCCGGCGCCCACACCCTCGGAAGGGCCAAAAAGGTAAGTATTGGTGCTCATGCTTGCTGCTTTTTTCAACGACTACATGATCGTATTCGACGTGCTGCTGCTGCTGCATGTTTAACTGTCTGCATGCCACTGGTTGCTCCGCGGGTTGGACCATCGTTGTATGTTGTTGTGTTTTTTTGTGTGATGTCCCTGCGGGTTGACAGCCAGCAAGTACTAGAAGCGCCGCGGATGGTGGTAGTTACCAAGACGGCAGAGTGGATGTCCGAATTCTGAAATTTCGAGACCCGGTACTAAACGCTCACCCGCTTAAAAACTCGGCCCGTCACTTTTTCTTTTTTTTTTCCAGGACCGCAGCGGTGAGGGAGCCGAGTGCACCAAGTTCACCGCGGAAGGCGTGTGCCCCAGAGGGGCGGGTGCCCCCGGCTGCGGAAAGCCCGGAGGGAGCGCCTGGACACCGAACTGGCTCAAGTTCGACAACAGGTGTGTGTGTGTATCCGCTGTTGTGTTTTGTTTTGAGTCTGCGACGCTGACCGCTGAGGTACGTCGTCAAACGTTGTCGGTGCTCGTTTGCTTGCTTGGTTGGGGCGGGGGGCGTACTCATGCTTTTCGTGCCATAGGGGCGGCGGGGGGGAGGGGGGGTGAGCTGCCGGCGAACTTGTCGATGGGATCGATCATTGTGCACGGACGAGCCTGTCAGGTAGGTGCATGTTGAGACCTGGCGGGGAAGCTGGCGTCGGGTTCCCGTGTTGTTAGCTGCAGGTTTCAGTTACTGTCGACGATGCATATTCTGGCGTCATCTCACGTTGATCAAATTACATAGTAGTGTGTTTCCGTGCTTTCGCCGTTGTATGTTCATTTACGGCTAACGTGCGATGGCGTTTTTCACTTGTTCCAGCGTATCGTTCGCATCGGTGGCTCGTTTACGCCACGTCCTTTAGCCACAGAAACACGAATAGGCACAACATTCACATGTACAGCGGTTGCGGTTACGCCTTTCGATGTAGTGTTGGTGCGGTCTCTAAAAAATCGATTCTTGTGCGCTCCCTCCCCTTGGTGCCGCAGCTACTTCGCGACTGTGCCGGACGAAGGGTGCGACTCTGAGCTGCTCAAGCTGGCGACCGACAAGTGCCTCTTCGTCGACGAGGGCTTCCTCCCCTTGGCCCAGAAGTACAAGGCCAGCCAGGAGGCGTTCTTCGAGGACTACAAGAAGGTATGCGTGCGTGCCTACACTGCTGAACCGTCGGTGTTTCTTTTTTTTTGTGCGTTGATTTTTTGGGGGGTTTTCGTCCGGTCTGTTCTGCGCCAGGGTACAGAAGGCCTTACACGAAGACTGTGCGTACGAGAAGGTATACAGGGCCAGTGCCAGCCCCTTCGCTGGCCAAGACTATCTAGTCAGTGCGGGGAGGGGGTCGATTGGCTGATACATGGAGGTCCAGCCGTGTTGCTACCTGAACTTTTTTTCGTCAAGTCCGGGTGGAATCTGTGATTTTGTGTTCTCAGTTTGATTTGGTGTTGATGTTCCTGTACTGCCGTTTTAACACACCTGAAGGGTGTCAGGGATGAGTGGCCTGAATAACGGGAAAAACCAGACTCACGCCCCGACTGGTAGGACGGTGGCAGCACAGCGTTGTTTGTGGTAGTTCTTTGTTGGTGCAGCGGTACAACGGCTGTACTCCTTTGCATTCCTTGGTGTTGATCCCGCGTCCTGGCATGAGGGATAAGACCTGCTGTTTCGATTGGACCTTTGGTACCTTACGCTGCTTGCCGTTCGCCTTTTTGGATAATTTTTCCCCGGAATATTTTGTGTTGAAAGTAGTTGAAAGTTTTCTCGACCTTTCAATTGTTTCAGACTTTCCGTGGGGAACTTGTGGGCACACTAATAGTGCAGCCTCGAATGATGCGGACAGAGGAGATTCTGGATAGAATAATATTTTTTACGCGTATACCGACCCGACGGTGTGTGTCGCGCACGGACTCCTTTTTACCTCGGCCGTCTGGGTCGCGTTGTCGTGGCCGTTCTCAAGTCTACACAAGAGCTAGTTCCGGAGTTTTTTTCCGGAGTGTGCTAATACTGTGTACCGTACTCACGACGTTAACGGTGGTCGAACGTGGTAGGTTGGACCGGGTGCCACCCACCACCATCGTGGGGGTAACGACTCAGCGGCGGACTTTGCCAATATTACAGTATTTCCTGCGAGATGATCTACGTGGCCCGTTGGCATGAAATGTAAGGTCGCCAGGACGCAATGCTCTTGTTGTGTCAGCCGAGATGCCCCCCTCCCCTGTCATCGCCTCAGCGACTTGCCTTCACCTCCGATGTATTGTTGCCCAATCTCAATGTTACAGGCTCACAAGATGCTCGCAGAGCTCGGCGCTGTTTGGGAGCCTGAAGGCGGCATTACTATCTAAGAAGTTTCGCCTCCTGAAACGGTTCTTGGAATGGTGGCCGCATTGCTCGAGCTCCGCGGTGCCGCTTTTGTCAGCTCGGGTCGCTCTCGCCAACGGTCGAATGTAACATGACCGTTACTGCGATGGCGCCACCGATGGTTGTAGATGGCGCGCACCCCAGGGATATTTTGATATGTTTTTTCTTGCTCTTTTATCACAACGAATCCATCACAACGAATCCATCTCTATCCACAGACATGAGTCCGGGATAAATTTGTAATGAAATCATAGCGTTTATTTCGGAAAATCCGCCGATCGGCATCTTCTTCAAAAAGAAGCCGCTTCTAATAGTGTTGCCCGTCGTCTCAGCGGAGAGTGAAGTCCTAGGATTTCTTTCTTCGTAGGTTATTGGCATGGTCGAGGCAGTCTCTGAAATGTGGGTTACATAGATGATGCGGTTCATGTGCATATAGCAGTAGTTTCGTGGGAGCCGCGTTGGGACATTGGGTTAGAACTCGCCCCCCAAGGGCGCGCTCTTCTGCCACGTGTCCCCTGGCGGGGATGTTGGTTGTGCCCCTCTCTTTGATACTTTGTTGCATTTTCTTTGTTCCCCTCTACACGTCAACGTTTGTCCCGCCACTACGGTGGCGCGCTGCCTCCTTCCACCCCTCCATAATGTGCGTCCGTGCGAGGATGGTGTTCGCTTTTGCTGCCGGCGCGTGTTGTGTTGTGCGATTGGCGGGTGCTGAGAGAGCTGATAAGGCTTCGCCGACGATAGACAAACACCCATCTCTCGTGGGAAGGATAAGAGTTTGTTGCTTGATGCAATGTGGGGAGGGAACACCCGGGGCTCAGCCGACTCCCGGCGTGGCGCGTGGGAGTTATCAGGGTGTCCCTCTTGGAGTTGTTGTGTGGTGGGTTCGTGGTTCTGCTCCCGAGTTGGGACGGTGGGCTCTACAGTACGTCCGTGCGTCGCCCCCTTTCGTCCTGACCACTTGTCCTGACCGGAGTATATGTTGTAAACTGTAGTGCAATGTCGACTGCAGGGGCTTGAAGGGGTGTGTGCAACCGTTGGTGATGAATGAGGGCAATATATGGATACAACCAACCTCGCGTTTTGTGCAAGAAACAACGAAAGCACACGTTTTCATCTCTTGACTACGTTTGTTATTCTCAGTGTCATCTATCGCCGCCGTGCGCGAGTGTGCAGCCCAGCAATGGACTCCTACACCCGAATCATCAACCTCCTCCTTGCAGTAAGTAAGTGCGATGGGGCAGGAATTTCTTTTCGCCCATTCTGATAGCAGCAGGCGGCCGCGCGTTACTATCCAGGGTTTGGATTATACCGAAGATCCCCTCAAGACAACAGCGAGCAGTGTATTTACCGCATGCATCGCAATCGCTATTTTTCAGTCGTGAGTGCCCCTGACTAAATAAAGGTGGCGTGAGTGAGTGGTGACGACGGACAATTTTCAAGGACCACCAAAGTTGTGATATAATGACCGTTGCACTTACAGAATGGCCATGTGCGCCTAGGAATGTACCAGCATTGAGGACCGCTTCACAGAGGGGCCATGGATAACAACATGTTGTTTGATCCCACTCAAAGAGCTGGACTATTTGTTTGTTTACTTCCAGAGTACTCTGATTTCCTGGGCTGTCAAAACCTTTAGTCTAATAATAGCAAGAAGTATTACTGAGCATCACCGAGTGGACGAGGGTAACTGCAAACGGAGTAGTAATAAATATTGATTTTTTCTCTCAAAATATGGCATGTATTTGCGTATCATATACCACGGAGTATGCATTGCAATCACATGGGAGGATTTTGGTACGCAGCAGAGTCATACAACATGTAGGAGAGGTTGATAACCACGATCGATGCACGCACAGCAAACAACAAGGAGGATTGGAGGGGGAGTGTGTAACGTCAGTATTCGCGTGCCCCCCGAAAATGCGGGGCATTGGCGGTGTTTCACCAACCAGCAACAGGTTCGCAGACACCAACAGAGTCGCGTACCGCACACTGCTCCAAGCCCCTCAACAGCAGCTGCAGCATGTCTTCTCGCAAAACCCGTTTGGCCAGCGAGAAGCACCTCCAAAATGTCACACGGCGCGGCTCGGTGAGTTGGTGAAACGACGAGTGAGTGTTGTGCACCCACATCACATCATCCACAACCGGTTGCTCTCTGTGCATCTTAGTTGGGCGAACGGCAACCGCACGCCGCCTACAGCAGCAGAAGAACTTTGATCACTGCCCCGTAGGTGGCGTGATACCGTTCACAGACTGCCTTCTAGCTGTTACCCACGTGTAACAAGCCCGGTGCTGCTCAGGCGACGGGTCGGGGAAGAGATATGTGGTGCCTCGAGACTGTGCAGATCTACTGGCACGGTCAGGCCTTCCACGTGCTTGTTTGGTACGGTACCTGTCCTGTGCTCTCCGCTTTGGACACAACAACAGCCGCCGTAAGGGGTCCTTACCAGCAACATCAATAGTGCGGGCGTGCTTCACTCTTGCGCTCTAGGTGCCGTTCGTAGAGCTACAACGTGAGGTTGGGCGGGGGGGGGGAGGTTAGAGCGGTTGGCGTGCCTTGAAGACGTTCGGCGGCGAGACTACGGTACCGCTTACAGCAGCAACAATAAGCGATGTGCGGTACACAAATGAACAATGCCAACAACGCGGCGCGCTTCTTGCAGACCTTACGATACACGTGTGACACACCAACGTTGGGATAACGAGTTATGCTGCAAACACATTCAACAGTATATGAGACTAACGAGTCTCTCCGGGAGAACCTGACCGCGCTTCTTCCCACGTGCAAACCGGAGAGAGAGGGAGACATGCGGCGGGGGGTACGCCTTCTTGTTCGCAGCCACCTTGACGAGTTCAAGGACCTCATCATTGACTATTGATACAAGCCGATGGCTTCCTTATTTGAGTATCTGATATCTAGACAGGCGTGCGACTGGCGCGCCGATCGTCTGCGTATGCGTTTTTGTCTGCTGCTGTGTTCACGAGTTACACCGGACGACCACGACACACCACCGTCCGGAAGATATCACGTGGTACCTGGCACCACCCACGAAGTAGCTTGTAACAACCCGCTGAATTTGGTCGTGAGAGCGTCCTTTTGGCAGCGTGCTACACTTGGGCGTGAGAAAATGACACTGCGGATAATCACAAGGGGGGGAAAGTCCACGATAAGGCCAGCTGCGAGTGACAAGTAATGGCGTTGCCTGGGCCTGCTTGGCTGAAAATCCTCTCTCAAAGCTTCAGACGGGCAACGCCGACGACACTAACTCGTAGAGGTGGGACTATCATTGTGGTGTGAAGTCCATCTGGACTCGAAATGCGCAACCCTTGTTCCTTTTCCGGACTGACCGTGGACCTCTCCCTTCGTTTCCACCTGACAACCTCACGATGACGATGGCACTGTAGGTACCGAAGGGGAAGATCGAGAACAAGAAGACTGGCTACGCGGTAGGACCGTGCCTGCTCTTCTTTTTCTTGTTCGTCGTGTTGGGGTCGAGCCTTTTCCAGGTCTTGAAGGTGAGAAGAAAAACACAAGTTCGGGGTCTTTGCCACTCTTTGGGGTTCACAGACGAGAACGTGGTCTTGTACGATGTACGTGGGTTCCTAGAGTGCTTGCTGCCATGTGAAGACTCAAAACAAGCAGTAGTGTCGCCCTCCTGTATCCTACCGAAGAACATGTCAGGACAAGGGCGCGGCCCGGGTTGGAAAGGAAGCTACGAATGAATCACGTGTGGTTTGGTTTTCGTCCGCTTGGACCCCAGAAATCCCAGATGTACATGAGCGAGAGCCACGTAGCAATGCCGAGAATGTGTGTGTGTGTGTGTGTGTGGTTCCATGATGGCGGTGGTTATGCGCTATGTACTTGCTTTTTATTGTATAATAGCGACGGAGGCGAGCAAGGGGAGGGGACGGGGACTTGATCTGGAGACTTGAAAGTAGGGCACAAAGGCAGGGGGGGCGCGGCTCGATGGCCTGGAAGAGTGGCTGAGGCGCTGTTTCTTTTTTTTTGGCTATTCTGCCAGCTGGCAATACCAGTGCAGGGCATTGATCATGTTGGATCTCGCAGCCTCGCAACCTTCTTGACAGTCATGCAACAGCAGACCTCTTGGCGTTTTTCTCAGCAGCCCTTTCCCCTCAATCGCATCCTGCATTTCTCTTTTTCCACTTCGAAGGCGGCGGGCGCAACCAAGTAGTCCAAGAGATCCGGAGATAGGAGCTCGCGGCCTGCCCGGGGAAGAGGCGGTAGATAGCCTCCTCTCGTTGGACCGTACTGGTCTCGGTCCATGCTTGTTCGCTGCCGGCGGACACACAGGCTACGGTCGGCCGGCCACCACGCCTCCGCCCCCAAACGGGAGGGGGGTTTACGGGCGGTGGGGGGGGACTCGGGTTGTGGATGGGGGGGCTGGCTGGCTCAGGCTGCAGGCGGATGAAAGCAGCGCGGTAGTGGGGGCGAGGAAACCACAGACGGAACCTTCAGGCGGACAGAGGGGGGGGGGGTGGGGGTCGGTTTGCACCGGGGAATTCACGCCCGGGTATTTGGACCAGTTCATATGTATGCCCTCCCTCGCCGTCTAGGGTTGGTGTTGTAGAGGGGACTATCGTGGTATGCCGGTTAAAGGCGTCAAGCGTTATTATATAAAGCTGAACCTTGATGCAGCGGTCCCCGTCGCGACAATATGCGGCAGTTTCGTGTGTAGCTCTCCTGCGATTGGTTGCGGTTGCAGGCTTGAATGTGCCGGCTTCCATAGGTCGCTGGCCAAGATAAACCCGCATGTTCGTCGCCAGGGTTTTGGCGATTCACTGCTGTATTGGAATCGTTCTTCATGCATACTGTAAGCGGTGGCGTTCTCGTGCCGCACCGAAAGCGGGGGAAAATATCCTGCCTGGTTTCGGTGAAGACGCGCCTCCTTGATGGGATGTTTAGGGGGGGGGTGTACTCAAGTGCTGGTTGTCTCCGTCGCCAAGCCATGGACTAAAATATCCTGTGAACAGAGTTGTTCAAGATGCATATGTGGGGGAGGAATTCGCTGTGCTCAGCCGACACCCTTCTCCCGTGATTTGTTCGTAGCTCAAGCACGTGAATAGTCTAGTCGGTCGTCCTTTTCCAGTCCGTGTATCGTCTCTTTTTGCTTGCAAACAGCCGCCGCTCTAAACTGGGCAGCCGCACATTAGATCGTTGGTGCCTCTTAAAAGACCATCTGTTTCTTGCCGCTGGTCAACCCTGGCTGAAGTCAGTCCTGACTTACGCCACCCACGGCCCAAATATTTCGGCCAATCAAACTGAGAGGCACCAACGTTGGCCAAGAGAGAACAATCCACGCCTTCGTTCGGTTTCCACTGTCCTGGCCATGTTTCCCCACATCTTTTGTGGGGCAGACACGCGGCCCTCAACCTTCTAGCAAGGCCAGCCGTCAAGCCCGATCCCATGAAGAAAAGGGAGGGGTGTTCGGTGCATCCCCGAATCAGTATCTTTGCACATCGTCCGTCTACGAACCCCCCCTTTCGCAGAGACGGCGTGGTCACAGCCACCGACCAGACTGAAAGCTCTAGTCTTTTCGTCTCTTGTTGCCTCAAAAGGCGGGAGACAGCATAGGACGGTGGAAAACATCGATGCAAAGCTCGCGTAAGTGTCGGTTTCAGAGCCACAAAAGCAGTATTCGTCTAACATTTAACTGTTGCGACCGGTACCATGACTACCACTTGTGGACGTGGAAAGGGAGGAACGCAAGCCGACCAACGAAAAGGTCCCGACAACGAAACGAGACACGCGAAATGGGTAGCGAGGTGTACGCGTCGACTACCATGACAACCAACACAGCACGAAGACAAAAAGCCGTACTACGCCACGCGTATATTTCGCCACGTGTGCAGGGTGGCGAGAACATGAGGACTCGACTCCAACACCACTGTTATCGCACCTTGTGCAAAAAAAGGCCAAGGCGCCATGACATGACGCATATCCTCTCCATCCACGACCATGCACACGCCCATAAAATATGCACGTACTGCTGTACCATCAATACCACTTTCCGGTGAACGGTTTACGTTATGATATGACTTGTTGCACTAGCGCGGGAAATGTGCGCTTCAAAAACTACGCAAGTAGGATACCGGTCAACTTTGGCCAGCCAAAATTGCGACAGTAGATACCACGTTAGTTTGCTCAGCCAAAGAGATTCAGCAACAACGCGAGTTGGTGTGCACCTGCAGCAGCAAACAAGGACCAAAAGGGCCACTTTTCATTCACCACACCGAGATCAGGCCACTCCTTTATCCCATCTACTGTCCGCAGGTGAGGGCCAACCCGAACGTCTGCTTGTCCTCGGAGTGATCCAAAGACGATGAGATGGTCAGCGTAACGGGCAAAGTCGGGAATGTTCCGCACTTGAGCTGCGGGAAAGAGAGGGCAGAAGACGCACGTGTGGGGCGACAAGGTTTGGGCGTGGGGGGCAGGGGAGAAAGGTATCAAGGGCAATGGTGTGAGCGTCGCCGGCAGCGTGGAGAACACACGACAACGGGAACTTCGACGGGTGACATAATGCCGAAGGATCGTGGCATGGCGTATGTAGTATCGAAGAGCAGGGGACTGACTCGTGTTCAGGGAGCGGTTTGTTGAGGATTATCAGACTGTCCACTCTCATCCCAGCATCCCATCCGGGTTCAAAGTGAGACGAAGGAGCTGCAGACAAACAGGCTGGGAAAAGAGCAAAATGCTCCTCGAGTATGCGGCCCCTGGCGTTTGAGTGGCTCACAATCTTGGCGACAGCCCAGTGAAAATAACAGAGAGTCCGCGAGAGGCAAGAGAGTGCAGCGAGAACATGCAGTTGGAAACAAGGAACACGCAAGGCCCCCGATGTGTTTGAGAGGACCCAACAACGACAAATACACAAGAGTGCCAACGCTTGCAATCTCGTCGCGCCAGGCGATGAGAGCACTGCGTCACTTCAACCCATGCACTCCCACAATAGTCCCTCCCATCAGGGCGCGGAAACAAAAACATGAGGCAACGGCTGAAATAATGGGTAATGAGCCCCGATGCAACGGGCGTACCTCGAGGGTGGAGTCCACCTTGCCGTTGCTGTCAACGCTGGCAGACATCTTGCTCTGCTTGAGTTGAAACTCGGCTCCGACCATCATCTGACAACAGGGCAGGTAGGGGGGAAACACCCGTGGTCGACGGCGCAAAAATAAGGGCGTAACCGGCGGCAGGCAAAGGCACGGAGAGGTCAAACACGGGTCACGGATAAGAGGCGCCGAAAAAAGCACGAGAGTCTGACAACGAGCGGCGGTGCAATCAACTCGAGGATTGACGGTTTCACCGACGCATGGCGTCCAGAAAAATGAACAGCAGCAGCGGCGGCGGCGGCGGCTGCTGCTGCTGTGAGCATGCACATGAAACGACGAATGAACGGTCTGCAGACCAAGTCGGGGCAAGAAACTCCGCACGGCCGTGTGTGCGTGTACGCAACACACCGAAGAGAAGTGATGTTTGAAAGCGCCGACATGCGCGGAGAGTGAACAGTGACTGGAAGTACTCTACGTTTTCTGGTCGGGCGTTAAAGGCGTCAGCGACCGGCTACAACATATGCGTCGAGTGCTTGTCGCAGCTCGACCATAACAGACGCTCGAACGTGCACGCAAATAGCCAAACAAGCACAATAGGCAGTAGTGAGAACTGAAGCACAACAGGCGGAGGGCTCACACCAAAGGAAGATCGCTCCGGGCAGAAGTTGCGATTCGGTCTAACATCGTGGTGTCCCCCCCGGCCTTGTCATTTGCCCACCTTCTCCACGGTCAAACAGCCAGGGACTTTCAAACCATAAAACATCACCAGTCCTTACATGTTGGCACCAAAGCACCAGAATGCTGCTTGCCAAAGCAACGTCGACCTCGCAAAGACAACAGCCAAAATTCACCTCTGCAGAGGACACAACACTGCCAACTACTGCCCCCCTTCCAACACCCCTGCAGCAAAAATGCGTAGGCTTGGGGTACTGCTGTACCTGGCTGCCGGCACCTAGCTGCGCCTGGTACTCGGCACCGAGAGTGACTCTGCCGGGCACCACCCTCCTCAGGTACTGCGCGGTCACCACATTAGCGCCTCCACCGATAAGCCTCCCGAGCACCGCCCAACTGACGTAGGTATGTAAGTTGTTGACACAACCGACAAGCACATTGCATCGCACAAAGGCACAGAGCGGCACGCCGCGCGTGGGTGGAGGCATGAGACACAACCGCGTGGGAAACGATGGATAACCCCGTACAGAGTTGTTACAGTCGCAGCAGGGGAGGGGGGGGGGGGGCGCAAGCAAACACTTGTTAGATGCAATCAACATGTTAAACCAGTCGAACCGGGGGGGCATCGTGCGCACCCAGATTCCTACAACCGTCAAACCCTATATGCAAGACGACAGGCTCACGGACGTTTCGAGGCTATGTTTGAATTTAAGGCGGCCGCTGTTGTTCAGCAGGTTGCACCAAGTGCGACTTGTGCCCGTAGGCCCTGTTCGTGCCCGGGGTTCGTGGCATCTGCCACTTCCTTGCAAAATACCAATATTGGAATCAGGACCGGTAGGCAGAGGGGGGGAAATGACTCAAGCCACCGTAAGTAAGACTACATGGGTGAGTTCGGGGCACAATGCTGCCTTCGTCAGGCAACAGGCCGGCTTCGTTGTGGTGTTACCTGCACGCATGAGCACCTCGTTCAGAGGGAGCAAGCACAGCCGCAACAAGCGCAATGACAGCAGTCAACCATCAACACCGACAACACCACCAACAAAAGCAAGCAGCAGCAGCAGCAGCAGCAGCAGAAAAATAACGACTGTCGGGGTCACACGAGGACCACCATGTCGCCCTACTGAATATGTTCTACCGTTGGGCACCTCGGGGTGTTGTACTTGAAGCCGTACAGGAGCCCGACCGCCTGTTGCGCGGAGCTGAACTGACCCTGGCCTCCCATAGACAGGTGCGGAGTGACGGCCTGGTTGTACGAGATCTCCGTCGGCCCGGTACCAAGGGAAATCTGTCCCGAGCAAGTATCACCTGGAGGGGGGTGGCGGAGGGGTATTTTAATGTTTTGCATGCCTTAGCGGTTAAGCCATTGACCACGCGTCCTCGAGAGGACGGAGCGTGGTAGTCCCAGGGCCGATCACCGATAGCTAATCGTTCCTTGGCGAAGTCGGAGGGATCATTCGTTGCTTTCCTCAGGTCTTTCGGCAATTGACCACGCGAATACATCTCGACGCGAAGCTCATGCTCCAAATGGCATTACCACCTGTATTCGGGGTGGCTAAACGTTTCTGCGATGTCGTACATGACCGAAATATAGCGTCCCTTATCTGCTCCGCCTTGTTTGGACTGGGAATTGCCAACAGTACCCAAACATTGAATCGTACAAACATTGTGTGGGCATGTGGCCGACCCGAAGGCCATCAAAGGGAAAGGGGATCGGATAGAGTGCAAAGAGTTTGCTTGGCGAGGCCGCTCTTTCGGATGTACGCCAATCATCCTTACCTGCCTTCGTAGGAAGGCAGCACGTCTTCCATACACAAATACTGTGTTTTTCGAGTTCTTTCGACTGCCGCCGCCCGCATGCAACACCAGCAAAGCTGTCTCCCGCCAAGTCCCGCGCCAAGGACATGCGGTGCCACTACTACGACCACCGTCACCAGGCGCTGCAAAGCACACCAGCATTTACACCGCCGAAAACAACACCACACACCAACAAACGGACTCGCCGTGATAGAGAGCGGTCCCCTGGATGACGTCGTTCTTCCCCTGGTGCACCGTCAGCTTTCCGGCCAACCCCGGCATGCCCAGGGGCGCGTGCGCGTCCATGCTAACGTTGCAGTCGGCGTCCATAGAGGCTCGCACCATCGTCTCACTCTCGCCCACAACGGTAAGGGTGCCCTGCGTGGCACACGGGAGTAGGGGGGGGGGGGGCAGTCGAGACGGTCGTGTGTGTATGGACACAACAGGGAATAGCCACACAAGCGACGATGAATGCCAAAGGTGGAGAAAAAAATAATAATGACCGGCCCAGATGCCCAATCATCCCATGGTAATATCTGGTTTGGCACAGCAAACGCAGGATGATGGCCAGCTTCTGGTTCATCCTTGTAAAACGTAACCTGGACCGGCGAAAACCCAGCATATCGCTCCGTCTCGGCACTGCAGGGATGCGAGGTCAATGGTCTAACGACTACGGCATGCGTGTACATGAGTACACCACGTGATGCCGACCGACGCAGCTCATGCGAAAACCGCGCGTACCACATCACAGCAAATGACAATGAACGCACACACACACCTGGTAATGCCCGCTGGGGAACTGAGGGTTTCCAAAGAAGACGTTATGCGAGGTGAAGAAGGTCGGCGTAACCGCCTTTGACATGTCGAGACGGAAGCCTTCAAAGGAGTGCACCTATCACGAGGGGAGAGACACAATTACAGATAAGGACGGCCGCGATGAATGTTCCACACTTGAGGCTGCAAAGGCTAGGCCGGCAGACACGCACGCCTCGCTGCAGAGACAACCTGTCTAACAGACTGCAGGAAACGGTCTCTGGTTGCAGACGTGCTTATCAGGCGTACGACTGCACGTACATCTGTAGAGACGCGAACGCCCAAGGACGAAACCTCTCAGGCGCCGAAGCAGAATTCCAACCTGCCAAGAGAAACACGGCTGCTACGACCTCTGAGAGCTACAATACTGTATCCCGAGCTCGCAGGAGCAGTCACCCTTGTACGATGACGACAACCCCCCCCCCCCGTCGAATTCACTCGTGATGCGGATAGCAGCAGATAACGTGATTGCCAAGAGGGAGGGAGTGTGAGCGCATGCTGAAACCGAGATGGGCATCCACCACCCGTACAGCGCCACCCCTTGTCGAAGTGACAAAAATGCTACATACGTGCTATGCACACAATCCACAAGAATACCCTGGTAGTCAACATGCACGGACTGCGTACGCAATAAGAGACCAGGAAGGGGGCACGCAGACCCTAACCTAACTCCAACTTGGCCGATGCTATACTTTATCCGATATGTTTGCTTACATGTAAACATACACACACCTGGGTGAGCTGAGAAACCTCCAGGAACTGGTCCGCAAACTGTGCAGGTCGCCGCAACTGCTGCCTCATCTGCGCCGCCTACCGTCGTTCGGTACCAGGTATTAGAACCGGTGGGACACAAGCAGCGGAGGGGTGCAACGCCATGGAACAACCAAGCGATGGAGGACCTACAGCAGTACATACTTCCATCGAATGGGAGGTGGTGCGCGATATCGTCTACTCTATGACACCCCATGATAGCATCCCAATGGGCTGTTTTGAAAGGTCATCGAATAGAGCAGCACACCCGCTTTTGTGTATGTTTTTTCTTCCAATGTCAAGCGATGGTGATGAGGAAGCAGATATAGATCAGGTGAGGTGTGGGAACCTGGGAGGCCACGGCAACGGCTGTGCAAGGCAGGTGGGCAGGCGCTTTACTTTTGTTGCAAAGGCGTGTCGAACCCACCCTGGCCGCGCAATTCTTGAAAAACTTCACCCTTGTGCCACCAGCAGACAAAACGCAGGCACATGATCGAGCGACCCCGAGCTATGCCTGCTACTCGAGGAAGCCGGTAGAATTGCAACGTCCCGCGCAAGCGACAGCCACGGCGGTGCGAGGCGCCATGTGGTGGGCGAGTAAAATTGTCGAATGCGCCACTGCACACACCACCAAAATGAAGTTCATTGGCGAGTGTCCTAGCGGGGTTGCACACCACCAGCTACGGACAGAGTTCAGTGCTGCACTGTACACGGCACACGGCCTTCACGGTGTGTCTACCGTTTCGCCACAAGTTAGCCAAGCGGACGGACGGCTGCGCGGCGATGCGGTCAACACGTGCGTGCTGTCTTCGAGAATTCTGACCTCGAACAAAATCAACGCAACAATAGGAGTCTCAGTCCCCCCAGCACACGATAATCAAAATCCCTGCGGCATAGCATCACCGCCGCCCTCTAAACGGTGGGGAAAGGAGTGCATGCATGCAATCGTGCCCTGCATACCTGCTCGTCCGCGCGTTGGATGTACTCCGGCTTGTCACCATCCTCCAGCTCTGACACCGCAGCAGCAGCGTCCCCTTCCCCTTCCGCCCCCGCCGCCTCAACGGCAACAGCAGCAGCACCATCGGCGTGCGCAATCCTCACCAACGGCACGGAGCCGAGCAACCCCTGCAACGACGCTTCGAGCGCTTCTATGGATGGCCTAACTGATGCTGCTCCTGCTGCCGCTGCTGTTCCTCCAACCGCGCCCCTTCGACAACCTCCGCTGGCAAGTTTTGTGCATCCCGCCGCATCAGCAGGCGTTGATGCTGCTTCTCTTCGCCATGGTTCCTTGCCACCGTCCCCCCTCGCCTGCGAGTGTTTGCTGGAAGCTGCTGCGGGTGGTGTTGCCCTACTGCTGTTGCTTCCCGACGATGCCGATGATGTTGCTGATGCCGCTGCCGCAGCTGCGGCGAAGCAGCGAGGCAATCTTGTGGCCATCAGGTTATGCGTGTGTCCGCAACCGGCTTCCTGGCTTCGTGTATCCAACGCGTGAACAACACCAAGGACAGATTAGGTCTGCGGGCTTTGTATTGCTCTTCCGGTCTACTGCTGCTGGACTCCCACCTGTGGTAAGCGTCCCACGCTGCTGTCCGTGCAACATTCGCATTGCAACATACCGTGTACGTGGCGGCACACCCAATGAGATTTTTCGTCCCGCAAGGTACAGACAATTTCCATCAATCGGCGTAGCCCCCGATTGCCCCGCACTCCGCCGCGCAGCACATGTGCATATGCACAGCACACACACTTGTGCTGCTGGGTGTGTTGTGGGCGGTTGTGTCGCAACTCGTTTTCATTGGCCGGTAAGGATCTAGAGGGAGCTGGCTTCCCATAAAGTGCTGGTTATTGCCCGAACGACGCGTGGAGAAACCTAGCCGGGGAAGCACCCGTGTGGTATCAACGTATCAACCTCGCGGGACATATCTGATATGCACCGGCATACGATGGGTGTGTCAACAGTACCTACCGCAGCACCGGCATCACCACCACCACCGCCGCCGCCAGCAGCAGCAGCACCAGCCACTTCTAGAGATCGAGGCGCTCTTCTGGCCGCTCTCTCCGACGCACTTGCAGGAGCTCTGGGCAGCGTCGTGGCGGTTGCCGTCTTCTACCCTATCGACATCGCCAAAACAAGAGCGCAGGCATCGTCGCCCGTCACCACGCGCAGTCGTCATGATCATGATGAGAGTAGCGGTGGACACGGTAGCAGTACGGAGGAAAGTTCCACCGCTCCAGAGGGCGGAAGAGTCGGCAGCAGTAACACCGCGCTAGCGGGTGACGGTCGGCGGCGGGTGTGGTTCCGGAGCCGAACCCTGGCCGCGCTGTTGTCCATCGTCAGGACGGAGGGGGGCTTGACGAGGCTGTACGAGGGCATCGAGGCGAAGGTGCTACAGGCGCTGTTGGGAAGCTTCGTCTACTTTTACGCGTACGCTTTCATCAAGGTGAGAGATGGTGTGCGCGGGATGGAAAACACTGCCCATCAAAGCAATATGTTCTGCCCTTGAGGCGCACGTCGCGATGCATGTGTTTGAGCCGATGCCTATATGTACCAGGCCAGCACTGCCACAACCTTGAATCCGCCCCAAAGTGAGCGGCGACATGCACCAATACGTTCCCGTGTTGCGATTACCTGATACACGCGTTTGCACGCCATGCCAACGCCATGCAACTACCCCCCCCCCCATCCACTCGACAACAACAGGGGCTCATGCGACGGCGGGCAGCGGGAGGCGGCAGCGGCGGAGGCGCCTCCAAGCCGCTCCGGCCTTCTCTCAACCTACTCGCCGCAGCGATGGCCGGTGCCGTGAACCAGGCCTTCACGCTCCCGCTCGAAAACATCACGACTAGGATGCAAACAGCACCGCAGCGCACCCCGTCGGTGGAAAACAACGATGGAGAGGGAGCAGGGGAGAGGGGGGGTCATGGTGCGATGGAAGGGTCCTCGCCTCTGGACGGTCGCAGGTGTGGCGTAGGCAACGATACGAACGGCACATGGAGAGATCCAGTCCCAGCAACGACAGCGAAAGTGACGCAGGCAGGAGGCGACAACCAAGCTCCTATCAAGCGGGGGCAGCGGCGTCCGCGGCAGTCCGTTGCCGCCGTTACAGGCGAGCTTTACAGGGAGGGCGGGGGGCTAGGCCGCTTCTGGCGCGGGTTCGCCCCGTCTCTTATCCTCACGTGCAACCCGGCGATAAACTACACGGCGTTCGACATCCTGAAGGCGTTGTGGCTCCGAAGAAGAGACGCAGCGGCCGTTGCTGCCGGCGTTGGAAGCAGCACAACAGCGGGGGCTTCTGCAGCCGGTACCTCGGGGGGGGGCACGGAAGGGTTTCTGAACCCTCTGGAGGCGTTTTTAGTGGCGGCGGCGGCGAAGTCGCTCGCCACCCTCGTCACGTACCCTCTCATCCGCGCCAAGGTTGTGCTGATGACCGCGCCGTCGTCGCCCTCCGCACCCATCGTTGATCGTGGACGTGGAAACTGTTCGTCTCCCGCGGTGCCTCCAGCGGCGTCGGCAAGCCAACTCATAACGCCGAAGGGACACGTTTTCGGAAGCTGTGGTTCCGGTAAGATAGGCGAACCTACCGGCGAGGGAAGAGATGGAGGAGACGAGAGATTATCGAACAACGGTGAAGAACGCGCGGCCACCGCCGCCGCCGCCGCCGCCGACGCCGACGCCACTGGGATGTCCGACAGAGGAGGGTCAGGGCATCCGATCGATGCGAGTCTCGGATCTGCCGCTGCAGAATCCACCGTCGCTGCTTCTTCCGCCTCTGCCGTGGGCAGAGGGGAAGGGACAACTGGCGGCGAGATGCACAGCATGGCCACCGTGTTGGTGGACATTTTCCGACGGGAGGGTATCGGGGGCTTGTACGCGGGCTGCGGTGCTCAGGTCAGGCATGGTTTCCCTGCGCATGCATAGGACGATAAGGGCGCGGGGGGGGGGAGGGGTTGGACTGCCAATTCTGGCATACGGACCCGTGCCACCTCTCTGGAACAGCATTCAGCCGGAGGAGTGCTTTGTATGATGTTGGTGCAGATAGATCCAGGGGCTGGGAGACGGTGTCAGCCTTGGGGATGACGACGGTGTTTTCATTTTCCGACCGACTACCTTTCTGGGTTGTAGACTTTTCTCCTGCCAAGATGTGTGTGTACGCTGCATGAAGGAGAGTCTACCGTCTTGTGATTTCCCGCGTACCTGTATCAACAGCCGTTGCGGATGTTCGTCAATGTGGGCTCCCGCTTCTTCTTCCAGACATACTCTTTTGGTGTTTCCGAGGAGTCCGTAAGTTTCGACCATAGTAACGCCAGTGCTCCGTCGTATGAATATCCCGTTTTTTGTTTTGCGGAGCAGCATACTTCACCACGGTGTTCTTTCGGCCTGTATGTATACCTTGGCTCTCATGTCAGTCTCGAGTGTGGAGGTTTGCAACGGCTTTTTGAATCGTCATCCGAACCCCCCGCCCCTCCCATGCTGTCAATTCACTTCGTCGTGCTTCCTACAGCTTCTGCACACCATCCTCAAGAGCGCGTTGCTCCTGGCGACGAAGGAACAAATAGCAAGGGCGGCAGCGTCCGCGTTATTTTTGGGTGGCAGCAGTAGAGGCCGGGCCGCTGGTTTCGCGAAGCCACCTGCAGCTTCCCGCTGACGTGGTGGCCACGATGGCCTGGCGCGGGACGCATGTCTCGTCATGCTGGCGCCAAGAGCGAGCATGGTACCTCGATGCTAGGGTGATTTTCGGGACAAAGATGCGATTCTCCGGCGCCACTGTATGGTGGTGGGCTGGTGTTACCCGACTTGGTCGCGTTGCCAGGAAGCTTGGATTGGACCGAAAAACGGCTGTGGTTTGTTCGGATGAGGTGGAGAACATGGCGATGGAGAGGGTTGCGTCAATGCTCTGGTAACCCATGCGTTGGAAACGGCAGGCAACAGCCTAAAGGGAAGATGAATGAATGCCTTGGAAGATTCGATATTGCTTTCGTCGAGGATACTTCTGCAGGAAGTGAACAGTCATGATGTGAATGCGATCGCCCTTACTCGAAACACAAGTGTCGATGGAACAACATTTTTGCAATGTTTGCTGCAATTTTGCTGAGCCTTGGCAAGGTTTTTGTATTGAGGAAACACGTTGGATAAAGCATGCAATCGGGGAAGTTGGGTGAGGGTTAGGGTTAGGGAAAATAGTGTCTGCGTCCCCCCTCCCTGTTCTATTCCCTTATTATACTGAATTTCCCGCGAAGGCGGTCCAATTTTTTGGGTTTTTCGTGCGGGATCGATGGCCATGAATCCTGCCCTGTTTTGATTCCTTGAGGTTGTGATAACGAGGGCTTGTGCGCTAGGAGTTGCGGTACAACGTGCAACAGGCTCCGGAGCGGCACTGTGCGGCGTTGGTGCTGGAAGGGGAATAGGGACTTGGTGCCGGGTCTGTATTCGATGCAACGCCAGAAGGTGTGGTGCATTATAGCCCCCTTGAAGCACTTGTTGAGACGGCTATTTTGTGTTTTGGCATGTCACTGTTCGAACAAGAACCTGGAATTTTCAGTGGGTACTACCTGGCCGATATGACCGCGTACTGGGATCGGGGCTGCCAATAGGCCGCGAGCCTCGCACAGGACTGAGTTGGCCCTTGATGTCTTCCCCACGCTTCCCCACGCTTGAAAGGTGTGCCATCGCTGTTTTTGTTTGACATGGAACGAAGGTTAGCATCAAACGAAAGGCCAACAGACAAGTGCACCGCTCGCTGAAATACTGGCACAGCTAACGAAGAACCTTGCCGCGTTTCCTGGACAACGAAGGAACGCGGAGTACCTTGAGCCCGGCTTTGCTGCGTCATCATAGGGATCGCCTCCATGCGAAACGATTGAAAATCGAGAGTGCCCAAATATGTGATTTTTCTTTGAACTGTTTGGTGCGACCAACGTTGCAACACGGCGGGCGCCGTGCAGTGGGTAAATTCCACAGATAGACTTGTAAAATGAGCGAGCACCTTCAACCACGTTTGACGTCAAGCCAGAGTAATGCCAATCCAGCCACATACGAGAGGGTGTGGCCCGTGCGCGGATGAATGTGTCGTGAGACGACAGGCGAGCTTGTACGCCACCAGCGCAACCGACACTTTGCCGAGGGCAAAAGCACTCACGGTAGGAGCGCCACTCAAGCCACGATAAGAACGGCACAATCAGTAGTCATTGTGATGCAGGGAAGAGCTAGGGGTGCCCGGTGACGGTCGTTGCAGCAACGTTCAAGCACAATATGTCACCCCCGAACATGAGAAAAACCTACCACGACTTTCTTGTAGAGAACCTTGGCACGATGGCCTTCGCGGGGAGCGTGGCAACCTTCAACAGAATCACCTGTCTGTGCGAATCTGTCGCTCTTCTTCGGGTTCTGGGTAGCTTGCGGGGATTAGCGAGTTGCAATTCCTCAACACAGGGAGATTGCTAGGCCTAAAACTCAACACTAAGGGCACCAAACGGATGAAAAATTTGACAAACAACGAGGTGACACCCAGAGTCGAACGACTCGGAGGTCTATGTCTTCATAACGGAAAGAGCTCGACCACACTATGTGAACTATGTGTAATCCACAACCGGTACTGATGCAACTGAGCTGGTCTCTCGTGCGTGAAGTGCGACAAAGTAGTTGTCTGCCCTCTACAGGATTGTGTGCGAAGGGAACACGATAGTACGGCATTGTCACAGAAGCACTCAAGATGGCAAATCTGCACTTACTATTTTGTAAACGGACTTACAGGGCTAGCGGCGGCGCCCGCACCCCCTCCAATAGACCGACTGATATCCTGATCGGCAAGAAATGGAAAAGCGCAGAGGCAGTGGGGGTGGTCAACAAATTCAAACCTGCCCATTGGCGTTTGCATCGTTGGTTTCAGCCGGCTGACAGACCTACAAGATTCTGTGCGTACCACAAGTGGATGCGTGTCCGGCGGAACGTCTCGATCGAACGTGATGTTGTCTACCTGACTGCCCATCCTCCTGGACTACTGCAGTCCCTGGTTGTTTGGGACCCCTTCGTTGTCCTTCTTGCTCACAGACCTCGTCGAAATCGGCTTTGTTTGATCTGACGGGAATCGTTGGTGAGGGCCGTGATTGAGGATGGGGGTGGATTGATGGCCGATTGCCACGGACACATGATGTCAATAACTCTCGCATAAAAATGGAACGGGGTGTGCTTCTTCACGTCTAGCATACCTCGGTCTGCGATGTGTTCTCGCTTGTCCCTCTCGATAACCTTCAAGGAGAAACTCGGATTAATACTCATCGGTTGAGGTACAGAACTCACCTCTCCATTGCAGGTCCTGCGCCATTGTTTCCGTACGCGCATGCAGGACCCTTCGCGGGGGGCAACATGCCGACCTAGTACTGACCTGTTTTCGAATAGCACGACACAAATCGATATGGCGAATAGGGCTAGGGTCATACAACAATCCAACAGGTGGGTTGCTGTACGAGCGCAGAAACTGGAGTTGGGTGCATGTGCACGGAGGCGTAACTATCATCATCGATTCGACGACGAGATGTGTTTGCTTGTCATGTTGTCTTATTGTCTTGCATGTTGTTTCGTCCTGACCACATGTTTACTGCCGCTAGAATAGAGAGAGAGAAAGAGATGAAGAGAGCAACAAAAGAAGGTGGATACGAATGTCACCGAGCTGGTTGGTACTGGAAGTAGAGGCAATCAAACCATTGAAACGTCAATAGTCAAGGAAAACAAAGGATGACAGACACAACGTCAGCGGTGCCCTCCGTGAATTACAGCGTACGAACAAGTGACAACCCGGCGCTACGTACGAGCCAGCGTCCGCAGGCTACAATTCCCTATAATGGCTACCCTCGAAGCCATCACAGAGGCGATCTATCATGCTGTGAGGCTGTCAACTCCTGGCTTCTCGTTCTTCAGAGCTAGCACAATACATGGAAGGAGTACTAAACGTCAGCGACGCAACCCATGCCGCATCGCCGGTTGTCTCGCAGTTCTTCCGAGGTCGACCACCAAGCGTTCCGGTAGATTCCACGCCGGCCCGAGCGCCGTTTGGGGATTCACCCAATGTGTTATCCAGTACAGAACTAAAGTATTCAGTCGCACGGTCCCTCGTGACTCTATCATCTGGTGGATGTCTACACATCGTGTCTTCGACACTTTCTGCAACAATAACGATGCTACCTCCAGACATCGGAAACCGAAACTATGAAGCCATTCCAGAAACTAACAGAACCTATGTGAAAACAATCACCACGTCGACCACACTACAAGCATCACACAAGCTAGTCCCTACACCTACGGCAGTTCTCAGGTTGGCTGGCGTTGCCCGACGACTGTTGCCCGTATCCCCGGCTAGGTGTAGCTTGATGCTCCTTTGGTGCCGGCCGTGGGAATGGTGTAAGGGGCAGGTGCGGAGGGGGAGGGGCGGGGGAGAAGTGGGCAACGGTGTGTTTCCTGCGGAATTCTTGGCGCTCTTTGACTGCAGTTCGTACAACAAGTATTGGTTTCGGCGGTAATGTAAGAACCAGACCTGCCACACCGGCCCAACAACCAAACGGGTTTTTCTCACCCGTGAAATGGAGAAGCCCAGAGGTAAGATCCAACACGAGCGCGACCAGGTCGTTGTCCACGAAGGACTGTATTTGCTCTGTCGAGTCGCCTGTGGCTCCACGCGCCGTCAAGTACCACACCAAGCTGTCCGGTCGATTCCAAGCCGGCTCGAACACCAATAATCGCTTGTCTCCTTACCCGATAGATGTCCCTCCTCGGCTGTGATGTACAGGATTCGCCACCCTGACGGTACTCTCGCCCCCAGTTCCAGACTGCAACCGGCTACATGAGCTACCACACCCGCAACAGTTCCAACCGGGTAGGCCCGACACTTGCTTGCTACTAGCTTTGTGAAGGTCCACAATCAATCACTGCGACACGTGTACGAACAATTTGTATGGCAAGAACAACACCACATTCGGCATGTTTTTGGCAAACACCGTCAAAGTCACAACGCCGACGGCGCCACGTTTCATACGAACCCACCGCCACAAGGTGCGTTTCACCTATTGACCCAAGACTTGCACGGTTGGCATGTAGTGAAGGAAGCGCAATGATATATCAATGCCCGAATACGTTCCTAGTGCTGTTGGTCGATCTGTTGCGCTGCCATAGAGCACACGGCACTGCCTCCGACAAAGGCCGAGAGCCAGGGCAGAGGGAGGTGTGGGGCCGAGAGAAAGGCCGTTCTATCGTGCATAGAGAGCAAGCGACATGCAACAGGTCGACAACAGGTCAACTAGAGAATGACACCGGACATACAGACACCTCATGCGATCGTTCACCAGAGAAAGAGTTCTGCAGCTTCGGCGATTTCGGCCACGAGCCAGGTATTATTTCAAGCCCGGACAAAAATTAGTACAACAACCGGCTCTAGAACCAAGCGTCGACCAACGGTCGTAGTTTGTTTTGTGTTGGAACTCGCGATGCACGCTCAACCATCACAATCGGCGAGCGAGGGAGGCGTGAGTCGAGGATGGTACATCACGCTCTTCCCACGGCTCTACGCCGAAGTACGCTGGTTGGCGAGATGTCGCTCGATTGAACACTACAACTCTAGCCGCTAGCGATGCTCCGCACCATATCGCGTTAAAACAGTCTCTCAAAACCATGTCTAACATAGTGGTCTCGGTCGGCTTAGAATACCAAACGAGACCACGACGTGGGGCGCGGGCTTCGTCATGGACGACGAAGACACGCCCTGCCGTCACCGAATGTCCGACAATCACTGGTCAGGCCTGTGCCGTTGTAGACGAGGCGTAGACCATGGCAGCGACATGTCAGAAAACAATCAATCCACAGATTCAGAATCAGAGTCACAGTCTATCCACGTAGTCTAGTGTAGGAGTGTCTATAGTTGTCGAGGACGTCCGTTCAACGTATGAACGAACGCCGGGTGGAGTTGTCCGTGTCGTCGAATGGCGGAGAGCCGAGTGTGTGAGGGAGAACCGGGGCCCAGCGTAGTCGGGAGGGACCCCGGGAGCTGGAGAAGGTACCCAACGTATCGAGGGGGGCTTGACGTGGAGTGTCGAGGTGGGGGCAGTCGTTCAAACCTGCAACAGAGGGGGCATATCCAGGGCAGCCGTTTCCCGATGTGTTGCGTGACACGTAGTCGTAGCCTTCCTATGTATCGAGAGGTGATCGGGGCGTTGAGGAAGTAGGAGATTTGGCTTGGGGCGGCTACGATACTGGCAGCCATCAAATCTCTCCGAGCAGAGACCGGTTGGAGAAACATGCCGATCGGTGTGTCAAGCGTCGTGGCAAACGACGCGATGGGGGACCTCTACCGACGAGCTAGACTGCAGACGGTGACACGTGCGAGGATGCAATTAACGGCAGAACAACCCGTCGTTTATTGTGGAACGGTAGAGTTTGTTAGCTGCACATTTTTCGTGAATCCGGGGTCACAATGAGAGGCGTCTCCCGTTGATTTTGCGGAGACGAACTCGAGACGCTGCAATAAGTCACGGTGGAAGGCGAAAGAGGGAGTCACAGAGTGCGAGGTATCGGAATATCCCTGGTGGTACTTTTCAGTGGCGAGTGGGAGAGGAAAGAGAGAGCGAGAGAGGAAGGGAGGGAGGGAGGGAGGGAGGGAGGGAGGGAGGGAGAAAGAGAGGGAGAGAAATATAGATAGATAGAGAGAGAGAGTGTGTGAGAGAGAGTGAGAGTGAGAGTGAGAGAGAAAGAGAGAGCGGGAATGAGCGAAAGAACCAGAGGGACAGCGAAGGACAGAAGAGACATAGAGAGAGAGAGCGATATGAAGGGAGGGAGGAAATGTGAGAGAGCGAGAGAGCGAGAGGGAAAGATAAATAGCAAGAGGGAGAGACTCAGAGATGGAGCACCAGAAAGAGAGGAAAAGAGAGCGAAAGAGGGGGAGAAATACAAACAGCAAGAGACGGTGAGAGAGAGAGAGAATGGAGAGAGATAGAGAGGGAAATTGGAAGGAAAGAGAAAGCGAGAGAGGTAGCGAGAGCAAGAGGTAGAGAGAGAGAGAGAGAGAGAGAGAGAGAGAGAGAGAGAGAGAGAGAGAGAGAGAAAGAGAGAGAGAGAGAGAGAGAGAACATGCCACCATTTTTTTAGGCAAGGGCAACTTGAGAACATCAACCCAAAGCCGGCTCCACCCATGGGGGTCCTGGTTCCTCTGTATGCACAATACATCGTTTCCGTAGAGACAGACAGGTCCCAGCGGACTTTAAAAGGTATTTTTCATTGCTCGTGCAAGGGAAGCTACAAACAATGAGGTTCAACGTCTGTGAAGCCGTCGGCCGCAACACGAAGGACATCGCCTTAGATAAGAAGATAGATGCGTCCTGGTTAACAGAAACGAGCAGAAGTGGAGAAATGTCTGCGTTGAGGCAAACGACGCCCGAAGAAGAACAATTTGCACGATTGAATATGCATGCACACACACGCTGTTTTACTAGAACGAAACACGTTGAAACAATATTGTCTAGAAGCCTCCGCGGCACAACTACTGGTATTTATTTTGACACCAGCGAAAGCAATCCCAAAACCTTTAGCCGAAAAATGATGGTGTGTTCATTAAGGTGTACTGTATCAAGAAACCATGTTGATATTCCCTTGCCTGCCGCTGCCTCGGCCTCGTGCAGCTTCGGAGGCGGTAGAACTGTCCAGCGCACGATCACTGCTCGCCCTGCGCAAAGCACACACGAACACGTAAGGAATGATATGTATCGTCGCTCAATGTAGAGTGCTCGTGGTGATGCCGCCGCCAAACACATTCAGCGTAATGTTCATGTACAGTAGTGACAAAAAACAAAGTAAAATGTTTTGGTATGGTGATTCACGCTCGCTCGCAAAGCCCATACTGGCGCGGCAGGTGGCAGGCTTGGCATGTGTGACAGCATACCGGCAACCAACCTCAATGCGACAGGACGAAAACGTTCGACTGAATATGCCGTTGGTCGCCCCAACGAAGGAAAAGTCCAACCGGTGAGACACCTCCTGTACCAATTGCAGTTTTCACTGTACCGAGTGTCGTGGTGTAGACATCAGTCGAACCCGCCCTCTCTCAATCGCTGTTGTGATGGTTGTTGTTGCCTCCTTTAACCTACATTTGGCAATGAATTTCGTGGCCACGAACTACATAGCTGCCCACAAAGATTGAAACGAAGAGAACAATTGACCCTGACAGCAAATGCAACCAGTCGCGAAAAACAAGCCAAGTTGATCTCCCCAAATGATGTGTGAACTTCAAGATGACATGGAGGAATCGAGTCGAACACGCATGCATGAGAAAACGGACGAAGGTGATTTCCCCCCAAGATGAAAAAGGAAACGGGTACCACCAGCGGCGCAACACACACCCTTCAGGCGTCCTTGCCTCACCTGGAACAAGACTCGAACAAACTCGTGTCACGTGAGCTACAGTACTGTAGATGTGCGTGTAGACTATCTGTGCAAGCGAAAAAGCGGCGAAACAGAGGGTGTGACGGAATGGTCAGGGGTCGTTCAAAGATCGTTCAAGGTACCGACGCCCCACGAGTTCTGATGCCGCCGGTCCCCAGAAAGGAGACTGGTTATAGTTCAAAGTTGTATGTTGAGCGCATGGGACGGGTGGTACAGCACCGCTGCGCTTCATGAAGGGCGGAGTCTGCATAGCTACAGCAGTGACGGCATGACAGTCCCAGAGGATGACACAAAAACAGACATTCGCATCGCAAAGTTGACAAAACTACCGTCCGTCGCCTACCGTGCAGCAGGTGGCGCTTCGCAAGTGGAGGAGGGAGATTGGGAAGTAGGCGATTGGTATTGTCTACAGGCTGGAGCCGCTAGACCGACAACCAATGAGGCCGCCGTATGCGTAAGTGTGCCTGGAGGTTGTTGTCTGTTGTCGAACTGTTCTTTGGGACGGGCGGTGGAATATATTGGGAGCGGTTTCGTCGGCTTTTATTGCAGCGCGGCGTTCTCTCTCTGAGCACCCCCCCCCCTGTCCCCTCCTGTTCACCGCGCGCCTACCGCAGTCCGAAACGGTGATTCAAATGAAAGAATCTTCGTCTCTCACCGCCCATGGCAGCACTTTTCACTATGAGAAACGGCGTGGCCATGCGGACATCACTGCTGCCGAAAACACAAACGTTATCGATCCCACGCTCTCGGCTCTCCGCTGATCATTTGCGTGTGTGTTTCGCCCCACCTGTTCAAGCACAACAATCAGTCTCGTGCCTATTTGTGCAGAGTTTACCGTACACGCGCTGTCTTCTCTGTCTATCTAGACTAGAGAGCGCATGATGCTCTGACCCCACTTGCCTAGACATACGACGGAGAGTCGTTCGTCTTCACGAGAACGAAATGCACTACCTCCTGCCACCGTTGCAACTTTTCGATGGCCTCGGCCTCCATGCCCCACCTAAACTCTGCCTCGATTTTCCACCTTTTGTGCCGACCTCGGGGAGCAGTCGTAGAGTTGAGCACATTGCTGTCACAGGTAGGTGAGGAGCAGCTCCGTGCGCACGTACGCGTGTGTCGATGACAGCCGAAAAGTCAGCAAAAGCACCATCGTGTATTGCACGGCCGTTCAATAATCAAACAACCAGCCGACAACGGCAAGCAGAGGTGCAGTGTGGACCCCTGCATACTTTCCTGAGGCACACCATATAATCTAGGCGCTCGTTGCTGCTGTGTTGCACGATTATGCGTGACAAGGAATTCATTCGCACTGGCGACCATCTCGGCGGGTCTCGGATTGGGCTGGGTGGTGGGCCTGTGTTGGAGCGGGCTGGGTTGTTGCTGGCCGCACGTTGGACCTGATAAATGAGATCGATTGGAATATGTTGGGTAGGCTCTGCTGCGGCCGTCACGCCTACCTGGGTAATGTTTCTTGTGAGTTGAGTGTGTGCATGGTGGAAGCCGCTTTGCAGAGGGTGGCCACGCTTAAGTAGAGTCGAGGTGACATGAGGCGTGCCGTTGTAAATGGTTCAGCAAAACATGATGATACTTGTCGGCATGAACGCATTTTACCGTTGACAGATCAGCATGCGTTGTTGATGTGATCCCGCATGCATATCACATGAAGCTGATTTCGTCTCAACTAACCATGCAAGCACGGGACACACACCATGGGGAAATCTCTTCACACGCACGTCAGACAGCAAGTCAACCTTCCTCGCCAACAATAATGTTGTTGCCATCTAGAATTCTGTTCGAGAACCTAACACACGCACGCCCAAACGATGGCCAAACGCTTTGGCCTTCATGAGTCCGCAAGCACGTTTCAATCACTACAGTACTCGATGACGGAAGGACGAAGGCATCGAACTACCCGCCACATGCGAGCGGAAGCCTCAAGTTGGGGGCGGCGAGTCACGATGTCGACCGTTGGACGAATTCAGGAACAAACATGTTTCTCGCAAAACCTCCAACCTAGTTGCACAGAAAGACGAGGAAGGGCGAGAGGCGGTTCGAGCAAGGGCGTGGAGGAGTGGAGTAAGCATGGAGCTCACCGTCACCTCCATCTACAGTATCACAACCCATCGACAGTCTTGTCAACATCTAGGCGTAAAAAATTCTTCCAACACGAACATCCGGAACCATCGCAGCCAACATCAACCCTCACAAAATCATTTCACACAATCTTTGCTCCAGGGGTCACGTGGAGTGAAAAAACGGTCGCTTGGGTAAACGTATTTACAACGTATTTTCTCGCTTGCCTGATGTCATCTGTTTCGTCGAACAGATCGTGGTAGGCCCCATGAAACAGGCGATACCCGGCACCCGGAACTTTCCTCCTGAACCGTGCGATGCCGTCTGAACGGACTAGGTGGTCCAGCCCAGCCTCCAGCACCAGAACGGGAACCTGACAGAAAAACACGCACAGCCACAACAACCAAAACCGAAAAGAAGTGAAAACGGATTACCGCAGCAGCTTCGAAATGTGATAGCAACTCGACAAGTATCGTCGCGTTGCCTGTCTGAAGCTTTCCAGTGTGTCAGCGGTTAATGAAGTCGAGGGCGCACACCGCGACACGCTCGCTCACCGAGCAAGACAAAGAGTTCTGTACACAGAGTAGATGACATAAAATACCACACCCCCTGAACAATTTTTGATTTTCAAAGCTCGATTTACTCCAAGCAGAAAGCGTGGCCGTGCGGCATTGGAACCGATAGCTTTCCGAAAACAAGCGTGACATCCTCGTCGTCGTGGACTAACATTACTATGTGTACATTAGCTGTGAATATTGATGGGGTTGTGGTTTATTATGTCACCTACTGCAGGTACATGCATAAGAACGTGGAACACCGTTCCTACTCCATCCGATCAATGAATTGTAACTTATCATTACCCATCCATGAAGAGGTCGTTCAACACTCCATATTACGCAAGTATGAATTATTATTAGTACAGCTGTGGCCAAGATCGGGTACACCCGGTCCAAGCACGGCCATAATCGGGTACCCCTACAAAACGCTGCTGGGAGCGACCGCATGACGCCATCTGATTGGCCGACGCCCACTCCTACCCGACCTTGACCGCGTGCACCCGATCTTGGCTACTCACCCCCCGGAGGGGTACCCGGTTTTGCTTTCCCCTACCCGAATGGCTGGGCTGTTCGACCAAAACCCATGCACACAATCACGGGTTGGACGCACACCGCTGGCCCTCGTTTGTCGCCAATAAGAAAGCAGCGGGAGGGAGAGAATATGTCAATTATTAGATGAGCCTCGTGTGTGTCGCATCTCGTGAGTGATGAGGTGTACATCAAGCTTTTCTTCTCGATCATTTGCACAGACCGCCTGCCGTTTACTCCAAGGGAGACTTCCACCGCCGGCGGGGGGTCTTCCTCCGCCCGTCGGGGCATCAGAACGTCCGAATTCGAGGGCAGGGCGTTGCTGACGTGTACTTGTGTACGTGGGTTTTGGTCGAACAGCCCAGCCATTTTCGGGTAGGGGAAAGAAAAACCGGATACCCCTCCGGGAGGTGAGTAGCCAAGATCGGGTGCACCCGGTGGAAAGACGGTCAAGGTCGGGCAGGAGTGGGCGTCGGCCAATCAGATGGTGTCATGCGGTCGCTCCCAGCAGCGTTTTGCAGGGGTACCCGATTATAGTCGAGTTTGGACCGGGTGTACCCGATTTTGGCCACTGCTGATATTCATAGGTCATCACACAAGAAGGCGAAAGCAACCACTATCCAGTAAGTGCTGCAAAAACTATTCATGGGCGAACCCAGCCGTTCCAGTTGTTGTTGCTGTCTTCACAATTAAAAAACCGTTCGTTCTGTTCTCTCTACCCAGTACCTTTTTCGTCTGCCCGTACTATTTGTATGCTAGTCTCAAACTTGATTGACGCGGTCGATTCCCCATGTGGTCAGGCTAACTTACCCAAAAAAGTTATACGAAAATATAACGGTAATGCTATTTGCTGAGATCTGCCTGGTGGAGCAAATAAGAGGTTACTCCACCGGTGGAGCAAATAGCGTGGCCGAAATTATATATAAAATGGACCCGAGGGGTCCGCAAGTCAACGACAGAATAGTCTAGGATCCTCCGCTCGCCTCTACACGCTATGCGAGGTGTAGCAACCATAGACGGGACAAAAAATAAAAAAATACAAAAAAATTAGAGGCGACCTCACGCACACGCACCCGAAAAAACGTCGGTCTTCGACCGTCACTTCTCACGACACCCATCCATGCGTATGCACTTTTTTAGGCAAGGGAATCCATGCTTTCAAGAATCCCACTGATCATCTCCTTGATCTGTTTCTTTCGTCTACACTCATGTCGTATGTACGCACGCACGATCACACCCGAATGAAAAGCAGACCACCAGAACGCGATCTCCGCACGTCGGGAAAGAATCCGGGACTGAATTAATGCGGACCCCAGAAGATGCACTTTTCACAGTAGGTTTCCTCTCCGGAACGAAAGAGGCGGACGGGAGAGAGGGACAAAAGCAGAGGCGTAGTACGCGTTCCCCGTCATGGACAAATCATAAGAAGAGTCGTATTGTGGTGGTGGCAGAAACCTTTCTCTGCACGATCAGGTAAGAAGGCGACCAGTCCCCGGGGTTCTTCTGTTGCACCCACCCATGGACGCAGCAGTAGTAGCGTATGTCCTGTAGTAGACCTACTGCTAAAAATAATGGAGACCATGAAGCAAACCGGCAGGTGGGTTGTGGGTGGGCGGGGACCCTCAAGAAGCAGTCAGACACAGCCAGTTTACATCCTCACGGTATATTTTACATTTCATCAGGGTGGACCTTGTCAAAAAAATGTTGCATCGAAAATTGAAATCGAAATTAGATTAAGATTTTCGATTTCGGGTTGGTTCTAAACAGCGCAGGCGGGAAATCGAAATCGAAAATCAACCTGGAAGAGTTGAACAAGGCCCGTACATGCCAGTTGCGATGATTCACACCATGACCATGAAAGCCACACGGCATCCAAGACAGCGAACGATAGCTCCGAACAACGGCCATGATCAGGCGGGCACGGGGGTCTTTGTCTCGCATCGATACGTTTCGAACTCAGCGAGCAATGTGTGATTGAAAGCTGTGTGCTGATGCAGGAAAACCAAAATAGCTGCCGTTGAACTGCGTTTACAAAGAAAGAGTTTCACGGCGATGACTCTCTCTCTCTCTCAACTTAATGCAAATCTCGCTCAAGAAAGTAAACCGTGCTCTGCTGGATGTCAGCTTTCTGTCAAGCTCTTGCTTGCATCACCAAGCAACCTGTAGGTGGCTAGACGAGTATCGAAATGGAGGCATGTACGCTTCTGTGAGGGGTTGGCAGCCAGGTTGATGTTCCGGTTGGCATTTTCGATTTTCGATTTCGAGTCTGTTAGTGCTCGCTTTTGATTTTTCCATATCGGAGAATATTCGGAACAATTACCGCCAGATCGAATAACCGGCGGCGGAACACTGGAGCTCTGTCCAATCAGTGACATTTTCGACTCTCGATTTTCGATTTTCGACGGAATAGTGGTCTGGCAAGGTTCACCCTCAGTATGACCAAACGAATCACAGTTTATTGAAAGCAAGAACGAACGGCGATAAAAAAGAGAGACCGCCAGCGACAGGAAACAAATAAGTGTCCATGTTGTGGAGCAGAGCAGAGTGAAGAAAAGGCACCCTTACCGTTCTGACCCACCGGAAGCTTTCCATGTACCGCCGAGAACAGCAGGGGCAGCACCGTCTACCTCACAGGCAGTAGCCGGGTACACGGACTGGTACGTTGTACAGCCGTAGTTGAGTCTCTTTCACTCCGCAAGAACAAAAGTTGTGTCTCATTCACTTGTAGTCACAAAGAAAGAACATCATGGTGACGACTTCATTCTGCTTGCGGTGGGAGATTGCGGTGGGAGATGCGCATCGTTACGCGAGCAAGGTGTCAACTCCTCGCATAGAATATGCTGCCGTAGACCCTATGCCTCAAGCCCAACCACAGCTAACCCGAAGATCGTAATTTAGCATCATAGCCAGCTGCAGAAGAATCGAAAAAAAACTGTTTTCTTAGTGGCGAAGCAGACTCTCTTTTTCGTTACTCTCCAACTGCTGTTGTTCGCGGATAGCGACATGGCGGCACAGACAGACAAGATGAAGGGTTTGAAGTCGGTCTGATCCGTCGCAGTAGGTGGAAGCTACTCAAAGTCGGGGATGGGTCGTGACTTTTAATTCCCTACGGAACCGTACTTGAGACGCCATGAGATTTGCACCGCTGTAGCCGAGGTTATTGGTCGGCAGGGAAACACAACAAACAAAATCTTCGGCGGACCGGACCCTCTTTTTTCAACTTGCCAACTGTTGTTTGGATGGCGAGACAATTTCCGGTGTTTTCGTCCATCACAGGAGGCGGAAGATGATGCTCAAACCCAGGGAGGGGTCATGGTTTGCGATTCCCTACCGAACCATACTCACTCGGGGCACCACGTCATGGACATGGCAAGAAAAACACCCCCCCAACGAAAACTGCTGCAATTCGTGGGTGAGTGGGTGGGGGACCCCAAAACAATGAAACAGCGCAGTCGCGGTTCGCGTTGTACTGGGGGGCTTACCGGCCAAAAACCACCGCCGCCGCCGATCTGAACCACCGGAAGCTGTCACATAGCATGCAGCGAACACTAGGGGCCATGCCCATTGCTTGACGGAAAGAGGCGGCGCCCACCGCCTCATATGCAGCAGCCGGGTACATGGGTAGCCTCCTACTCAGCAACAAGCAAAACGATTGCCGTTAAGGTTCGATGTTGTTGGGAACCTAACGGCGAAATGCGACAGAGAGAGAGAGGTAGACTAAAGGGAGAGAGGCTCGAGAAGACAAGGCATGATGAACCCTCGAGAAGACACTCACTCTCATCCTTCTGGCCCACCGCAGGTTAAAACACGTGTAACGAATGGCGACATCCGATGTGCGCTCAGCAAACAACAAACACAACAAAAGAAAAATTGTCGTCTTTTCCGAACTGTGGAGACAAGGGGCGCACCAGAAAAAAAATCCCCGACACCTACCCTCCCTCCAGAGGCGCTGAGGGGGGGGGGGGGGGGTATACTAAAACCAAGTAAAAAAAAGTTGGAAAAAAACATGTTTGTGAACTTTGCTCGCAATTACGATACCATTTTTATCTTATTTCGACCTCTATAGCGGTGAGGTGCAGACTGAGTCTTACGGTGTGATTATTTCAGAGATTTGTTTTTTGCTCTCGGGGGGGGCGGGGGGGGTTGGCCTGCACCGAAAAAAATATCCAGATCCAAACGACCGTCTTACGGTTCCTCGAGGTATATTTTTTTCTGAAGGGAAAAAGAGGCTGGTTCATGTTCTTGTGAGTCACAACATCCTTCAGTACACGGTTTTGGCTCGTGTGCGACCAACAAGACACCGAGCGTCCTATTTATGGGTCGCCTGCAGAGGGCATGTGTATCATCGTACGCCCGTGGCTGCAGTTTGTGGATGTCGTCGGCCAAAGGCCTCTCTCTGATGGCATGCGTTGTACGATCACACTCGACTCGGAGCAAGCGGCAGAAAAAAACAAGCAACGTCCAAAACAGGCAACACCGACCACACCTCGATTCACGTTTGCAGGCCGTGTACAATCCAAACTGGACAACATGCTCTGTTTCTGGTACGCGAGTAGAGGGTATGAGTATGAACACACGCCATTGGCTGCAGTTTGTGGATGTCGACGGCTTAAGGCCTCTGTCTGGCATGCGTTTTGAACTGGTCACACATGCAGCAGGAGCAGAAACGGCTCTTTTCGGCCCAAAGGCAAGAACGTCAGCAGCAATGTGGCAGGGTTGACGTTTTCGGCTCGTGTGCGGCCAACACGACGCAGACCGCCCTGAATTTTAGATACCTGCTGAGGGTTTGTGCATGACCTCATGATACTGGCCTCTGTATGGCCAGCAGACGGTGTAGTTCCTCGTTCTGGCACGATCGGGGTGTGACCAGGGGGCACCCCCCCCCATTTCTAACAGCGATTTTCCAACAGGATCGCTGTTGGAAAATGGGCCAATTTGCTAACAAGCCGGCCGGAATCGCTGTTGGAAACTGCGCTGTTGGATTTCGGGCTGTTGGAAATTGCAATTTTCCTACCCGTAAGATGCCCAAATTATTTTTTTGGCTCAGAAAAGGACCCCCCACCCAAATCCAATCCGGAAAAAATCACACCGTAAGATTCAGCCTGTGAGGTGTCGTTTTCACTTTACTGTGTGCGCCCGAGACTTTCTTTCTTTTCTGGTATGAAGTGGCAACAAAGAAAAACACGACTAGTCTATCTGTTGTGTAGACAACACATATAGAAGCACGACGGACGAACTACTATCTCTGATTCTCTTAATGTGCTTGCCGTCGCGATAGATGCGCACCGCTACCGCTACACGAACGAGCAGGCTGTTGTCTAACCTGACTATGATAACCTTACGACCATTGCAGCAACCGCAGCAGCAACCGCAGCAGCAGCCGCATGTGTACAATGGTCACTCAAGAACAAACGCCAAAAAAACAAATGTGGCGCGCACCACGCAGGACCCTCTTTCGCTGTTCAACCGGCCGTTTCCATGGCGAAACAGGCAACGGACAGTCAAGGCCGACTCTTGCCGGCCACAGGAGGCGGGAGCTGCTCAAACTCGGGGATGGCTCACGATTTGCGATTCCACACCGAACCCTACTCGAGGCGCCACGAGATTTGCACTGTAGCTCGAGATCAGCATTTTAGACCCGGTCGGGCAAAGGGTTGGGGCATGCGAATGAAATGTCCACGGATATCGAACGATGAGACTGAAGCTAAGGCTTCAGAAAAGACAGCAACGGGACAAAAGAAAAAAAAAGTGATCGAAACACACGAGTTTCGCCCGCGGACGAAGATCGATGTGAACGTGAGACCCAACAGCGATGCTCGTTGTTTCTTCACACCTCCAGACCGGCACTGTGGGTGAGGCCAATGGCGCACTCAGCAACCACCCGCTTCCCCAGGTGCGACCGAAACTTGCGGGGTGCAGCTCCCTCTGTGCAATATTTCGATGTTCGCTCAGGGGGAAAGAGCAGCGCAGCATTTCTCTACGTGAGGAACCGGCCGAATCGTTGTCCCCAAAGGCGCGAGATTGACGGTCGCCCCCATTCGACATGGACTGTCTAGAAATCACCGTGCTCAAGGAGCTAGACACGGTTGGCGTTGCCCTACGTAGGAGGGCAGAACTTCAAATTTGTCTGACAGAAAGGTAATCGTGTCTGAAGAAGTCGGGGGGGTGAGAGACGATGTTGGACGAGGAGATAAGGTTTGCAGAGGCCGGCGTAGGCGTGGATAGTCCACGCCGCTCGGTGGGCGAACACGGCGCGGGGGGTTGAAGACGAGTGCGTGCTAGTCATGGTCTTGCCTCTCTTGTTTTCCTGTCATCTCCGTTCTTTGTGTCGTTCGAAGAGAGAAGTGCCAGCGGGTACAGCTTTCAAGTGACATGGCGGGCCCTGCAGCCGGTTGTGTTCTGCGCCGGCGTAGACCTTTGTGATGGCTCCCAAAACATACTATTACGGAGCGGACGCAAGGCGGAGTGAACGCGTTAAACCGCGACACTACGTACCGTAATAGTCGGAGCGGGTGCGATCGCTTTATTAAACGTATCTTCCTCGTTTTTGTTTTCGCACCCTGGTGCCATCTCTCCGACCGGTGCCATCTCTCTGACCCCGGTGCGGAAATGCAATTATATCGTTCGTTTAGTTTTTTCAAGGCACCCCGGTGCGATCTCTCCGACCGGTGCCATCTCTCCAACTATTACGGTACCACATGATTTCGCAAACTTCATCAAACTTCGAAAACGCCGACCGAGCGGTAACAATTACTGCTACGACCTCTCTTTTCAACCCTCCTGCGCTCACCGATAGCTGATGGAGTCGGCCCCGAGCGCGCTTCGAAGCCAGCACGGATTTCGACAGCCAGGCAAAGCTCGGCCCTCGCTGGAGCACGCAACCCACTGTGCCCCGAAGGGTTTCCCAGAGACGGAGGCGCTCTTTGTCGTGCGTCACCCTGGACCATTCCATAGTTGCCCGTGCGGGTCGCCGGATGGGGCTTCTGCACTCCCGTTGCGTTTGGGACAGCACGTGCGGCGCGGGGCAAGAAGAGAGAACGATTCACGCCTTTGCACCCAACACTTGCGATTCTTCTCTGTTGCGGAGCTGGAGAGGAGCGTGGCGAAGATGTTGTGTTAGGCCGAGCTGGTGTTCGAACAGCATCTAATGACTGCCGGCAATCGTGTCGCACCGGGGTTGACGCGCTAGCGGCCGCTGCTCGCCGCTTGCTGTAGTACTAGGTGGGCCAACTCAACGAAAGCCTGGACGCGGCTGTGTGTACAAGGAGCGGACGTAGTCTTAACCCTTACGTGACTACAGGCCGATTCAGCTCCGTTCTCAGCTCCGATCACTTTTGCGTGCCGAAAGATCACCGTTGTGCCTCGGCTAAGAGAGCAAAAAGCATACATAGAGACCAGCAGGAATACACAGGCAGCCCACCCCAAAAGCACGCTTATCAGCAATGCGCACAGGACTCACCTAATACAAAACTGTTCACCCATGCCTAATCTCTCTGACGTGGGGCAGATATCCTTTCCAGATCCAATCTACTGCCTACCGGCTGCTGTTTCAAACGCAAAATACCACCGGAGGCGCCCTGAATACATGTGATCAACCCGGTGCCGCATCCGCGGGGGAGAGCAGAGAAAGCGCACACCGGATCCGATGCTAACGTACTGCCTCGGTGCTTGATGTTGTTGTGATTGCGGTGCGTGTGGTTCCCAGTATTGGGAGTGAAGGGTGGTTCGTCTGCTGTGTGCAAAATTTCGCTCAAAGGCAAGGGTTTTCGGGACTACAGCTCCGATCACAGCTCCGATCACAGCTCCGATCACAGCTCTCTATTTGTAGTACAGAATAGTAAAATTTGTCACGATTTTTAGGGGTATTGTTAACGCAACGAAAAAAATACGCTTTTTTTCACGGAACGGTGAAAAGAAGATCCGATTATTTTCGCTTATTCTAGTCGTGATGTCATCGCGAAAAGTACGTTTCCTTCCCTGAATACACGTTTTGCTCGACACACAACAGGTTGACATGGTATAGCTCACCATAGAGCAGCGGTGAAAGCGCAATGAGCAGCACCCGACACAGAGGACAACACACTTAGAAAGATCCCGTCCACCTGGCCTGCTGTTTTCAGTTTTCAGCAACAACAGGCGCAGGGCAGAGTGTCGCCACCTGGGTGTTGCTTGCGATTTCTTCAGTTTGCCAGCTCATTTTTCACGATTGCGACTCCCATCTTTGACCACCACCTGCCCAAAGGTAGACGAGCTCAACAATCATAGGGCGGCAGCCGCGCTGACGGCCAGCATCATATAGATGGCCAATCCGAAAGAATTAGTGTGTCGGAGGCCCTGTTGCTCTACTGCTGCGTGGTGCCGTGGATTGATGTTGATGCGTCCGACCAAAAAGAGATAATCTCGCCGCATTTTTTCCAACGGCATTTTGGTGAGGTGGCACACGTCTCTCACACACTTTATGGAGATACACCCAAGCACCCAATACCCACGAAGCAGCACGGCGCCGGGAGATGGTATCATATAGACAGCCGAACCGAAGGAATCAGCGCGTTGGAGGTCTTGGTGCTGCTGCTGTACTCGTTCTACTGTTTCCGTGTTTGCTATGTGTGATTGAAAAAAAAAAACAGCACCAACAGCAGCAGTTGAAGCGAGAGCACCACGCAATGCCTAGTTTTGGGCCAAGAACGGACTGGACGCCGCTTCTGCCGCTTGTCCATCTCCACAACAGACCTGGACGTGAGTCTGGCAGGTCTTTCTAGCGTTCTCAGTTACGTTACAGCGCCCGCGGTGCGCTTGTCCGATGCTTTTGTCAAAAACACGGATTCGTGAAAGTAGCAAGCCCCAAAAAAAACCGGCTCCTTCTTTTCACGCTTTCGGGGAAAACCGCCTCCATATATGTTCAAGAAAACACGGTTTCGTTTTTTTTTCGTGTTTTATTGGTCGATAAGAACGACCCTTATGCATTTTGTGCGATAGTGGATGATGGTCTCGATTCTCTGATGAGCGGGCCGTTTTTTTCGTCATCTGGCGCTTCTGTGAGGCGGTTTCCCGTCAACGTCTTCACATCTAGCGCCGCTAGCATATGCGCTTCCCGTATGTTCTGTCCAAGGATGAGGTGGAGAAGATGTGCCAACAGGTATTGCTTGCACAGGTACATCCTCTGCGCGGACGGTTGCTGTCGGAGACAGGCATGCACACCTGCTCAGAAACTGTACACTGCAGCTGCTGTACAGTCTATTTCTCTCCGCATAGCTGCTACTGCTGTACAGCAGTAGTACTACTGTACTCCTGTTCGTCACCCTTACATATACCGCGTCCCCATCCCTGTGAGCCCCACGCATGGACCCACTGCTGCACCATCCTTGCCGCCGTGATTTATGGGTGTACACGCATGCTTGGAAGACCTTTGACCGCAGAGAGCCAGTTGTGGGGAAAAAAACAAAAAAGATCAAATTAACCCAGTCACGTAAGGGTTAAGCCAAGCCGGTCCGATCATGGATCGACGAGACTGCTGTCGTTTGCGATGGCTTTCGCAGCGAATAAAGCTGTTCTCACCTGTGCCCCTGTCGCCCGAGCTTTGTCACGACCCAGGTAAGCGCTCCTACGACGCCATTCGGTAGTTTTCCGGTGTTAGGCGCCAGCATGGGAGCAGCCAGAACAAGCTTCGCGAAAACATGGTTTATTTTTTGCGCAATTTACACGCGGAAGATGTTTATGGCGGGGGGTACACAAGTACGAAGTGAAGTTAACCGTTGCCATGCGCCAAATTTCCTCGGCGATTTGAAACTATTACAAGCATTGACTGGAAGTTCCACACACGATACACGCATCCAAACGGAAGAGGTGATGGTACCACGGAGACAAGGGCATAAAATGAATGTTGTCGCTGTGCAAAATGGTGCTCACGTTGTGCCTCTATGGCGGAAACTACCCTCACAAACGAACCTCCAACACAAAACGTGGTACTACCCAGACTTCGGGGCAGGAGGAAATTCGAAGAAACGATATCTGCACCAATTTCATTGGACCGGGTCTGGGTTGAACGCCCACAGCGCGGACTCCACACGTGTCGGCAAGGGGGTGTATTCGCAGTTCGGTCGGTTCTGTGATACCCCTGTAACCCTCTCAACGATTTTGTCTTCATTCTCGGGGGGATCGGGGGATCACAAACGCAACACCTTTGATTCGACACACCGTCACCAACACGATCACACACCCGGTGATTCTCGAAATCGCACGATGTCACGTTCTTCGAAACAACGACGCAAGAAAAAAAACGCGATTTTTGTCTCACCCCGTCGAAGAGCTCAGGCTCTCGCAGCGCGGCGTTGACCGCTATCAGCCCACCCATCGAGTGCGCCACCACGGACAGAGACAGCGCGGGGAACGGCGCGTCACAGCCGAGGGGCTCGCCGTTCACAACGGGAGAGTCTCCGCTGCCCGCCGTACCCTGGCCGCCCGTTCTGGTCCCACCGCTCGCGTCGCGCGGCCGCACAGTGGCGGGGAGAATTACCTTCGAAAATCTTTCCAGGTCCTGTACGTAGTGGTCGAAATCGCTGAACATTTGGAGAACGTGCGCACGCAGCGACAAGATACACCACTTAAACGTTGCCGCCGTGTTGAGTAAGGGTACCACAGATCACGCAGGTCTTAGAAACATTTAGTACGCGGGGAATCTTGCGAGAGATGGCTGGAATGAGATGTAGACAGAGACGGTAGGGGACTAAGGGATGGTGTCAACCCAGGTCACGAGTCATGCATGAAGACGCACACTTGCATCATTTTGTGGTGTGACGACCTACAGCTGTTCTATTCTACAACCCACCCGTCATATAAAAACGCAAGTTTTGCCGGTCCCAATAGGTCACGGGCGCGACAGGGGTTCCGTAGCTCAGTGGCAGAGCGTGCGACTGTTAATCGCGAGGTCGAGGGTTCGATGCCCTCCGGAACCGTTCTTTTTATCTCATCCTACGTTTCTACACAGAGAGAGCGGGGAAGGGAGGAAAGGGGCGTTGAATACCTATGGGTGCACATGTACGGTAATGCAACAACCAGGAGCCGTCCAAAGGAGGTGGAGGAGCGATTCTACACGCCATCTTCTATCAGACGAGAGTGTCGCATGATTTGTTATCAGGGAGCGGGTTGAGCTTGAGAGGTTTCGAGTTTGTTGGCCAGTTGGAAACGTCGGTCAAGACCATGCCGATATTGTAGCGCAGCAGGTTAGATGGGGTCTGGTCAACATCTGCAAAAAAACTTGTCTATTGTACCACGCTCTTCCCGCCTATTTGCGAATGCAGGCTGTAGGTGGTGGGATCTTTTTTTGTTGAAAAACGACAACAACAACGGAAAATATATCAAACTTGCAGCGACCTCGACCCATGTACATGTTGTGGGGACCGCGGCGCGCTCCTTTCGCCGAAATAAGTCACGCCGCACAACCCTTCAACGCCAACGTCTCCCTCACCAGGGACAAGAAAAATCGAACAAGAGCAACCGCACTGGATTGTCGAAAAGAACACTTGATTTTCTGTTGGTAGCCAAGAAAGATCTTGCGCTCTCTTGGTTCGTGAATTCGGCAGCTGTACGGAGGTGTGCTTTCGGCTCCGTGGTGACCCAACCCAGTCGAATCGGGTTGGACAATCTGCGAGTCTCCCTCTTTCCGCCTAGACTAGTGGTACACAATGCTAAACATGTTGCCCATTTCGTGACGTGGGGTGCTGGGACCCTGGAGTAGGTGCGGCGACAGGGCGGCGACCGCAAAGGTATCCATCTGGCCACACCGTTTCCTAGTTCAAACAATAGCCAGCATTTCGCACCAACAAACCAGCTGAATACCGACGTCCACTCCCTCTCTTACGTGATGTGAGCGACCGTCGGGTCGGCGCCGTCCGGAACTGGAAGCCTCCCCGAGAGTCCCTGGCCGTGGTGGTCGTACGTGTACACCGAGAACCCCCTAAAAATAAAACAGGAACGTCACGGCACCGAAAAAAAAAAAAAAAGACAACGGCAACTGAGCCAACCGGCGCATGGAGAGACGATGGCGGATTGGAGTGTAGTGCCATGATGGAGGTGTGCCCGGCTCCAAACTCCGAATCAGAATCAGCCGAAGAAACAGGGCAACTTGACGTGGGGACGGGGGGAGTGCTTGTTAGGAGGAGGATTACTGCACGTCTTGCGACAGCCCCTGTGATGCCTTGGGGCAACGTTGACTTGTTCAAACCACATCATGTCGAACCCGAACATCACGTCACGGTTTTACAAAATATGCCAACGAGTGAAGCTCTGGCCTTAGGCAACGGCTATGTGATTTGGACTTGATGTTTTGCCTCTTCGGCAAGCGCGTGCTGGGGTGCGCAAGTGCGAGATTTACGCGCACAGAGGGTGCATCCCTCGCGAAGTGGCTCGACGGAGAAAAATAATATTCAACCGACCGTGGGGAGGCAGACATCGTCGCAGCACCTGCAGACCACACCACGCCAACAGCACAAGCGACGAAAGAAAGCATCACCACACCAACTTAACCAAGCGTGAGCACAAACACCCGGCTGGTTGACTCCCGATCACGATCCCGCTCGCCTGTCATTGAGGTGAGCAATCGTCTCCCCGTACTTGGTCATGGACTCCATCAAACCCGTCAGAAGGATCACACCCGGCTGAAGCTTCCCACACCCGTCTCCCTCTCCCTTGGAGTACTTGGGAAACCTGTGGTGATAGAAGCAGCAACGGACAGCGCCACCAACGGAACACTAAGTGAGGCAAGCACTGGCGTGGGATAGGGGGGCCTGGTGTATATCGATTGAACAAGCCCCGATTCGAATACAAAGTGGCAGAGTACCTCTGGGAAAATGTACGCTCTCTCAACAGTCTTCTGCACACAGCGGGAGCATAGACATGACAGAGCTTTCCGCTAACCTTGGACCAACACCCGCGGCAAGGCGGTATTCGAGGGGCGAGTAAATTACTTGAGTCTTGTACGGCAGAAGCACCGGAGTGTGGTTCAGCTGTACCCCACCAACTTGTTAAGATACGATCATTCTGTCAAAAATCCTCCCGAACAATGCGCCACCTGACTCTTCACAGGCCTTCTTGGATTGACTTTAAGGCCTCTCCCTCAAACACCAACGTTGGTGATGAGACTGTGATCTTACTCACAGTCTGTACCGCACGGGAACGCCAGCGGCCCCCATGAAAACCCCGTCCGTTCCATCGCGAGAAAACCTTCGAAGACCTTCCAACGGCGCCGATTTGGCCGATAGCTGTTTCGGACCGGGGGCGGCGGCGGCGGTTTCCGAGGCTGACGAGGAGGAGGGGACGGAACTGTTGTGAAAGTGCAGAGGGAGGGTCGGAGAGAGAGAAGGGGGGGAGGGCGGGGGGGTTGAGGTAAACTGCGTCGGATTGGTGGACATCACGTATCAGCTTTGCGTCAGCAGTCTAGATGAAATGGTGGTGACGTCGTGACGTCAGAACTGAACTCATTTGCCGTCCTTGCTGGCAAGCTTATCGTGAAGATGCTATCAAGGTGTGTTCTGCCGCGCACGGGCCGTACACTACTGTATAGCGAATATGTTCTCCACAACAGCAGTAAGACCGTGGTAACACCACATCACACAACAGTAGTGGAACCGAGGGCTGTTGATTAGTTGCTTTGCGGGTTACGTCGTACGCTCTGGGCATCTCCCCGAAGAACAGTACAGTGCTCGATTAGGCAACAAACCTTTTCAAGAGTGACACTGGCCAACAGGTGCGCTGACAGAGCAGGAGCACCGCGGCTGACAATTTGATGGGTTTGGAATCATGCAAAGAGGGTGTTATCCCAAGATAGAAATGGATCGGCAGTCGGGAAGTTTCTCCACTCACCCGGGTGTTGTTGCATCTTCGGTCCCGGCAAGGAAGGCGGCCTCGCATTGCGCTAGGACTTGTCGAAGCATATCATCTTCGACAAATGCGGGCAGCCTTTGACGCAGCTGCTCTTGCCCCTCTTCCCCTGGTATACCATGTCAGCGGGGGGGGGGGGTTGTAGGTGGGTCCCCCCGACTGGTGTCAAACATGTGGGTACAAGGTACAACAGCAGTAGTGTATTGTCTTGCCTGGTTACCGCAAGGTGCATACGGGCGCCCAGAGGACATGGATTACACGCTTTTTTGGATTAGCCTGTGAGCACGGAAGGTCGTCGCTCCACGTGAAGAGTGCGCAAGACGAGCACCAAAAACTTCCATTTCTGCATGAGTCGAGGGAGCTACTCGACTTCTTGTACATTCGCACGTGCAGGTACACAAGGCGCCCAGCCCGCGATGTGAAACAAATCTTTTAAGATGCATGTCTCTCACGCCCATGCTGCGTCATAACTCTTTTTATTAGATACCTTGTCTAGCCCGGGCTCGTCCATTGGACCTCGTTGTACTCAATTTTGACTAAATACATTCATACCGACAGGGGTACAGATATACTGTTAACCATTAACCATTGTGTGACTACAGGCCGATTCAGCTCCGTTCACAGCTCCGATCACTTTGCGTGCCGAAAGATCGCCGTTGTGCCTCGGCTAAGAGAGCAGAAAACATACATGAGACCAGCAGGGAGACACAGGCAGCCCACCCCAAAAGCACGCTTATCAGCAATGCGCACAGGACTCACCTAATACAAAACTGTTCACCCATGCCTAATCTCTCGGAAGTGGGGCAGATATCCTTTCCAGATCCAATCTACTCCCTACCGGCTGCTGTTTCAAACGCAAATTACCACCGGAGGGTACATACAGCACCCTGAATACATGTGACCAACCCGGTGACGCATCAGCAGGGGAGAGCAGAGAAAGCGCACACCGGAGCCGAAACTAACGTACTGCCTTGGTGCTTGATGTTGTTGTGATTGCGGTGTGTGTGGTTCCCAGTGTTGAGAGTGAAGGGTGGTTCGTCTGCCGTGTGCAAAAATTCGCTCAAAGGCAAGGGTTTTCGGGACTACAGCTCCGATCACAGCTCCGATCACAGCTCTCTATTTGTAGTACAGAATATTAAAAATTGTCACGATTTTTGTGCATTTTGTGCGATAGTGGATGATGGTCTCGATTCTCTGATGAGAGGGCCGTTTTTTTCGTCGATCTGGCGCTTCTGTGAGGCGGTTTCCTGTCAGCGTCTTCGCATCTAGCTTCGCTAGCATATATATGCGCTTGCCGTATGCTCTGTCCAAGGATAAGGTGGAGAACATGTGCCAACAGGTATTGCTTGCACAGGTACATCCTCTGTGCGGACGGTTGCTGTCGGAGACAGGCATGCACACCTGCTCAGAAACTACTGCTGCTGTACAGTCTATTTCTCTCCGCAAGCTGCTACTGTTGTACAGCATGTACTCCTGTTCGTCACCCTTACAAATACCGCGTCCCCATCCCCGCGAGCCCCACACATGGACCCACTGCTGCACCATCCTTGCCGCCGTGATTTACGGGTGTACACGCATGCTTGGAAGATCTTTGACCGCAGAGAGCCACTCGTGGGGGAAAAACAAAAAAATTCAAGTTAAGGGGGTGGAGATGAATTTTGATGTTGACTAATTTTGAAATCAAACGCAAGAGCACCAGAAATTGCACAACAGACACACCACACCAGTAGAAAGGCACCGCGACAAACAGCAATCGTTGATTCTCGCACAGGGCGGCAGTAGAGGCTGCACAAAACATACATTTCACGCGTCTACCTCCACACGCCTCCTTTGAAATCAAGAAAAAAATTCGCACCATACTAAATTCTAGTCAAAAGAGCCAAAACGGAAGGCGCTCAAACAAGGTCAATTTTGAGGGTTAGGTGTCGCATTCTATTGTCATCAGTAGAGGACACCATGAAGATACGTCGTGTGTGCTGGCACGTGCAGGTTTGCTACTGGAGCTGAAATATCGAAGGTCGCAGCAGCCTCTGAAAATTGTCCGAAATCTGCGCCGGAACCAAGCGGCATCCAACATTTGTCACAGCCGTGCTCGCCGCCACTGACCCCAATCTCCTGAACTGCGGGTTTACAGCAGTAGCTGATGCCACTAGCTACTGCTGACGACCCGTGGTTCAGGGGTTTACGATCCGTGGCGGTGATCGCGGCTGTGACAAATGTTGGATGCCGCTTGGCTCCGCCGCAGATTTCGGACAGTTTTCAGAAGTTGTTGCGACCTTCGATATTTCAGCTCCAGCAGCCAACCTGAACGTACCAGCATGCACGACGCCTCTTCATGGTGATGACAACAGAATGCTCAACCTAACCCTGGCGGGAAGGTTGTTTTCTTTCTTTGTATAGGATTAAAGTATGGGGAAAAGAGCCAGCGTCACAACCCCCCTTTTCTGCACCCGTATGGGTTAACAGCATAGTCTACATGGGATTTCAACACAACAACATCGTAAACAGTAATCGTAGTGAAATATCGCAATATCTTGTGCATCGCCGAAAACTGCAACACACCGGTCTCATCGTCATCACTTGTCGGTACACGCGTCCGCTTCTATTGATGACCTCCCGCGAGCAAAGTTGTCCCGAGGGGAAACTTTGTGCACCAAACCAGCGGGGAACCCGACTGCAGTGCCACTGCCCACTGGTGCAACATGTCCAGCGTCCAACTCCAGCTGCACATGTCGCTTCTGGGCTACGGATATATGTGAATTCGCCACCCCCTGTTCACGACTGGTGTATTCATCATAACCACGCCACATGGTACTGTACCTGCAGTCACACCGAGCCCGGTGCTTGCGGACGGGGGCCGGATCCTGCTCTGGGCCGCGTGAAGTTTGCTCCTCGTGCTTGAAGTGAGTGCATACGTCCTGCCATCATCGGAGAGGAGGATTGCTACAGCAACGGCGCAGGACCACATTAGCCGCATGGCCGTGTGGGGATGTTTATCCCCCGGCCGCCGCCCGTGTACTGCTGATGGGTACGGGTGTATAGGACGTGTTTCGCTGGGCGTGCTGCTGCTTCTGTGCTGCTACTCTGCTATTCCCAATATCGACAACATCGGAACCGGGAACCGGGGTTTGGTGAGCGTGTTGGTTTGGTTCAGGTCAGCCGTTTCAAGAGCAATATGGTTCTCTTTTCCACCGAAGATGGGCGAGGCCTTTGAGAAGTTGGGAGAGTGCCTGAAGCAATGATATAATATAGTAGAATCCTCACGCTGGCGGTTTTTGACACCAGCAGGAGGTGGTGTGTTTATCAGTCATGCTGTCGAGGTAGCAGCCTGCAGGTGCTGCTGAAGCTGGGTGGTTGATGACGTCGGCTTCTTCGGAGAAGGGCAACGCAGCAATGTCGGCGTCGGTAGGGGAAGAAGGGCCCTGGGGGCACTCCGATATCTTCCGTGAGCCGACGGACCCGGAAATGATTGCGTATCTCGGGCGGAAGCGAGAGTCGCTACAGAATGAGGTGAGGTGGATGGGCTTGCACAGCCTGGGGTGTTTGTAGATGTACATTTGTCGCCTTTCTTTGCCCGTGGTAAGCCGCCTGGCCCGAGCCCCGCACACCAAAAAACATTCGGAGTCCGGTAGGTCGCACAAGATACCACACCCCCAGGACCAGTTTTCAAAGTTCCATTGCTTTACAGCAAACGCAATGACGGTGCTGGAGATGGTGCGTTGGAACCGTCTCGTCGAGAGCTTTCCGAATCGTTAGCAACCGGTTCGTCTTGATATTGGAGGATTCGCGCTTTGAAGTTCGGTCCAGGGGGGTGTGGGCTTGTGCGACCCACAGCAAGTAAGGCGACATGCTACCATTCGCCGCAAAATATTGTCCGGGCTGCTCGTATAGTTTCATTCAAGTCTGGATCTGAACTCGTCGGTTGAAGAAGAAGCATAGCCGCAGGGCAGGTAGACACTTCCGAGCGATAGCATGGCTCTGTAGGGTACACACTCGTAGCGAGAAAACGAAAAGAGCATTCGTCTACAGCAATCTACGACCTGACGGCTACCGGCGCGTTCAGATTACAGTGGTAACAGCAGGGACGCAGATACAGCATAGCAACACGATTTCGTTGGGTAGACAAGCAGTACCTTTCGCGCTAAATGTTTTAGTATCAACCTCATCCCGTTTGAGCATCGCAAACTCACTAGTACCCAAGTTTTGACGCTTGGTAGGCACATAGATCCCTTGCGATAAAGAGCAGTGAATCGACAGCATGCTGAAGCCCCTTGTACTGTAGCGAGAACTTTCAAACCAAGAGAGGTAACGAGTTCACGACAAGCTGTGTACTAATTATTGCGAACGACTACTGAAGTCGCTGGGTGCAGTGCACCTGGTTTGCATGCGTGTGTATGACTCGATTTTTATCTAGTAGTAGTCGTCGCTCCCTGGTTCCACTTACCGTTTCGTCTCTATATATAATACGTTCAACCCAGGGTCAAACAGCGTCGGTTATAGTGAAGGCCGCGTCTTTATTATTGGGACAAGGACCCCATCGATTTGTTGGGATCAGCAACGGTCGTGAGCTGTCCTTACCTTTTGCACCCTCCCCACTCTCCTCTCCAGGTGGTCAATGTTGCCCAGGGGATGTCGATCGGACCAGCTCTGTACCTGTGGACCCACCGCCTGACCGGTGCGGACGTGGTCTCCGTGGTGACTACCACGCGTCCTTCTACTAGTGCTTCAACGACGACGACGCACAAGACAAAGTACAGTGCTGGCGGGGGGTTGCCAGTGGGCTCTGTCGATGGTGGCAGGGGTGTTCTTCGCCGGGGACCGCCATTTGACGGTTCTTTCGGGAGACTGGAAGGTGAAGGGAGGCTGTATTCGAAAATAAGCGTCTTAGATTCACAGAGAAAACGGCATGGCATGTGGAAAACACCAAGAGGCGGCCCAAAGTGGCCGCGTGCTGGGAGCAGTCTACTGCCGGTTGGCAGCACTCCCAGTCATCCAAGCGGAAGCACTCGGGGTTCAGCGTATGGGTAAACATTGATGACGGGTTTCGCAGCTTGAACGTTGGAACTTGTGAATATTTCTCCACTACGGCGACCGCGATTTCCACGGTTGGGTTTGAAGTGTGGCGGTCGATGTGACCGTGTTTTATCCCGACAACCTGCAACAGGAGGAGGGAAAATGCCCCTTCAGAGGCGAGCTTCCGCGAAGTGGACAATCTTACCCAAGAACAAGGAGGCAAGCGGAGAAGGGGGATTCATGGCCGTCAAGGGGGGAAAGACCGACGCCGAACTCAGGAGACTCCGAAACGAGAAGAATCTGAGGGCTCCCCTGCACCTGCCGCTGTTCACAAGCCCGCTTGAGGTCGATCCCACCGGCTCTGGCAAGGTAAGTTGTGCTTTCGTTGTGGCGCATTGGTTGTATCGATAATTTTGAGATGGGAACGAAGGTTCATCTTTGGGTGCATTGCCTTGATAGGAGGCTTGGCCGATCAAAAAATAGTGTCATGTTCCCGAAGAACGCGCAACACCCCATTCAAAACACCTAAACCTTCACGCACAACAATTTCTTGGCAGACAGAAAGCGTACACTATGCCACAAATCCTTGAACATCAACCTAAAAACACGACTGCGTGTTCCGCTTTCCTGAAGAAGCACGACCACCCTCTAATCGCGTGCGTGATGTCTGTCTTGTTGACGGCTCAGTGTTCGTTCTGGCAACCCCTTCCCCCGAACAACCCAGCGCAAAACCCACCACAACATCGCAACCCAATACGATGCAACACAGGTTCACGATCGAATGAGTGAGTGTCTCATGGCCGAGCGTGAGCGCTTCATGGAGCTGTTGGGGAAGGAGAGGCAGGAGCGAGTTCATCTCGAGGCGTTCGCGTGTTCCCTTGTGCAGGCTGCTTTTCGTGGCTACCTGCTGCGAAAGAGGTACGGAGATGGGTTGCGTGTGGGAGGGGAAAGCTGAGCCAGTGGCAGGTTTTCTGGCGTCCGCTTCAACATCTTACCGCACCTTACGTGAACACCTTACGGCAACGCTTGATAGTGCTTCCTCATATAGAAAGTACACAGGCGGAAAGGGTGTGCCGAACGCCTGCACTGTAGAAGTGGACTGCATCCTTCGAAGCTTCATGTTGAAAGCCTTTGCCCTGACTCATTCTCAGAGAGAAGTGAGGGTAGTTTGTGTTTTGAGCTCCTAGCCATCTTCGCCGAGCCTACCTAACCCTATCCTCCAATGCAATGAACAGCCCTATAGAGGGACAAACCGGCCTCTGTAATATAATCGACAACCCTAAAAGAACAATACTCGTTGTGGCCTCTGTCTCGACCTCTCACACAAGCTATGCAGAGCAGAAAAAACATCAAAGGGGACGTTAAAAACCTTACGGGAGTACTCGAGTCGAAGGAAATCACGTAGTGGTCGACCAGCACATGAAGTCTCGAAGAATCGTCTATTTCCGCCAACGCATCGCGCGCTTCACTAGAGGGGAGGGGAACCGTCTCCCTTGTCGGTTTCGTGCCAGTCGCCACAATGAATGAGGATGCGCTGCACAGGCTGCAACATCCAACACAGGCGACAGAAGGTACCAAGAGTATTGAAGTGTGAAGGGTGATGACGCAGACACGGGGGGCTCGCGTCACTTGTGCTGCTGCTGCTCCTGTTGCTGCCGCAGGTGGGCGGAGGTGGATGCGAGGCAGCGGGTGCGACTGCGGGTGCGGAAATGCCTCCGCGATTTCCTGAAGAGCCGAGGGGCTCCGTTTGCTCTCGGGGCGTTGGAAAAGCAGCAAAAAGAAGATAGGTACACATATTTCATCCAGCGGGTGGAGATATTTCTCCCAACAGGTTGTGTGCCCCCGCAGTAGACGGAAATATCCACAGCTTTCATTTTAAACGAATTTTCTCACTCGAATTTTGTTGGTGTACTTTTTTGGTCAGGCTTCGAAGTCGTCGTTGGTGTGCGACGGCCAAGCAAAGTTGTACGTGCAAAGCTCAGATGCGATTAATATGTTCCCAGGAATGATGAAATCGATCCCCCTCTCTGCCTGTCTATTTCTGTCTCTCAACCTATACAATCTCTTTATCTTTTTTCTCAGCCTACCTTGTCTCTGCCTGTCTCTCTGTATCTCTCTCTCCACTTTGTGTACCTCACCGTGCTATCGTGTCACACAGGCTGCGCCAAGCGGCAGCTTGCACTATTCAAGCGTCCTTCCGCTGCTTCCTGGCGAGGCAGACGCTTGGGAAGCGGAGGTTGGCGTCGTTCTTGCTCCGAAGGAGGAGGGCCGCGAGGACCCTGCAGTGCTGGGGTCGATACTTGTTCGCATCCCGCCGGCTACGGTGTGTTGTTGTTTGTTGTTGTTATTGTCGTTCTTGGTCGACACAGCCATGGATAGGATGAAACCGCATATCGTGCGGTGAGTCAAGAACATTGTCAGAATTACCAGAAAGGGTGCCGTGCCATCATTGCAAGCCGCATACGGCTTTCGCAGGTCGAAACACGTCGGATTTCGCACACAACAGTAGCACCACGCACTGGCACTACTCGGTCCATGAAAAGCCAAACAATCAGCACAACCGCACGAACAGACCCATTCATTCGCCTCTTCACTCTTGGTGTTTAGTCGATAGCCAATCAAGAAGGCGCACTGTGCCATGGGTAGTTGCGTTGGGTGTAGCAGTGGTGGGTAGAGAACTGGTGGCGTGGCTCACAAGATCGAGAGTATGTCTAGGATCGCGTTGTGCCCAACCCTTTCCCGAAACCACTCGACGATCGCGCAGATATACCCGTGCCCGGGCTCTGGCCACGTGCCGCTCCAGATCCGCAGTGCTGATCCAAAAGCACTACCGCCGGCATCTGGGAGCACGGTACGGGCAATCGCCGAGCAATATCTTGTAAAAACGTTCAATTCTTGAATAATAGAAGACGAATTCACCACATCCTATGTGTATTACTGTTGTGGCTGTTCAGATAACTCTCAATGTGCTGTTATTGTTATGTAATCCCCCACCGCTCGTTATTGCATAGACGGCAAACGTTTCACTTGCCTACAGCAACAATAGGATATCTTCTTCCTCTTGTTGAAACATCGTTTCTCTGCAGTAAGCCGCACTTGTAGACAGAAACCAGGACATCACTTTTACGATTGTGTCGGTTCCCGCCCGCACCCTCGTGAGTGAATACGCCATACGCGCACATCCGAGAACGCTTTACGGCTAACAGTGAACCCACATTGTTCGTTTTTTTTGTCGCCGAATCGAAAACAGGGTTACGGGCCACAGGAGGCGAGTGGTGCACTCGATCGCAGCCTCTATGATACAACAACAATGGCGCTTGCGAAAGGTGTGCATCACAGGTGTATGATTTTCAGAGAGCGCCGGCACGGTATATAGTCCACAATGAAACATCTGACAAGAGGAACTTGCAGTCCATTTGCTTGCAACTAACGGAGAACTACCAGAGACGTTTCGTCGCGCACGACTTTTCCTAGGTATCGGGCTAGAGGGAGCCGCCGTTGAAAACGATTGTCTGTGGGAGCTTACCGTATCTCGGCGCCGTCATTGATCTTACAAGTAACGACGGGGTTGGGGGTATGGAAGATGCCAATGATGCCAGTCCTTGTTAATGTTCCATCCTGCAGATGTGCATCAAGGAGGCGCTTCACACAGGCTTTTCCTTCTTAAGGACATACTGATATCCGCGCAAACACAGGCCATTGGGTCTTATTCGACTCAATTATCCGGTCGAAGTTGTGGACGTACGAAGTATTGACAAAGTTGCGCGGGTCTCTGACCCTTCCATCCTTCAACCCGTTGCCGTGGATCGGTGCCGCCGAAAATTACAGCTTGATTGGTTGCCCTTGGCAAAGCGAAAATTCGTGCTGAACATCGGGCGGCAGCACAACTTGGTCTACATCTGGGTACTTGCCATCAAAGTGGCGCTTAGCAGTCTTGCCGTAGGAGCCATTGGCCGGGCCAAAGTAGCGGTGGTGGGTGTCACCCTCTAGGTCTTTTTCTCGAACCACACATGCCGCCAAAGCGTACCCCGTCGCCCGGCCCTGGCTCAAGCCGTTGAACGCTTGTACCCTCTCTCCTTCGGCCTGGTGTACTTCGGGTACATGTGCGTGTTCTTGGGGTCATGATTGGCGAGTACACTCTCGTTGGGGTTGTCCGGTGATCGCTTTACCGGCCTTCGTCGTGTTTCTACGTTTCTGCCTTGGTTAACATAGACTCTCGAACAGATCCAAGAGGTAACGAAGTCACGCCTCTTCAGGTCGGCGGCAGCGATTCAGCGAATCGTCAGGGGCTATGTTGCGTGGAAGAAGGTAAGCGGCGACAACAAGCAGGAACAATCTCTTTCCGCTACTTATGCGATGAAAACTTTCACAGAGTCAACGACAGTAGTGACCACGGCACGGGCAAAGACAACACTATTCCCCCGAACCAGCACCAGCACCACCACTACCACTAACAACGACAACTATTGCTTCCCAGAGACGAAGAGCAGGATGAAAAATGTTGCGGAAATATGGCGATACTGACAACAACCGACGAGTTTTAGTGAACGTTTGCCTCCCTGTAAGCGACGCCTCGTGGCACACTCACGCCCAAGCCCTGAGCGCGTGGGACGCCTCTCCCTCGTACTCCATAGACCTATCCGCCTAAACATATTAGATGTCTTGTAGAATGGCGGAAGAAATAGCGTGACAGTTGACCTGCTGAATGAAAGGCGTTACAGAATCCATCTGGAACTTGTCACGTTCTTCGTCACTGTGGCCGTTGTTGACCGCGTGTCGACAGTGTGTTAAGGGGCATAGGGCAACGGCGATGCATAAGAGGAAAAGTAGTACAAGTACGCAAAGAAAAGTAAATATCAAGATTTATCCATCAATCGCTGAATAGAACAAGGGTAACACAAGATTGGGACTGGAATATCCAAAATGAAATTGCTTGCATTAGATGCACTGGTTGAACAACCATTCAACATTAAACCTACGCGCATGAATTGACAACAAGGTCGGGAGGCAGCTCACGAGAGTTCGCGGCCTGAGAAAGACCAGGGCCGTGTACACCCTTCAGAAGTTCATCCGCCGCGCGCAGGTGACGACCTCGAGCGAAATAGACAAGCCACGGTGTCGGACTATCGTCAATTTGGGTGGAAAGCTGAGAATAGGAAGCTGTTATTGTACGTCATTACGACAACATGTGTGTTGATCCTGTTGAACCTTGTGTCGCTCTCACCGTGGTACTACTGTTGCCGTGTCGGCAACTGAGGACAACGATGTACGAGGCGATACCATGGGTAATGGTGGGTGGGATGCCGTCCCTATTGCCGATGGTAGGGACCCTTGGAAACAAGCCCTCCAGGGGATGCAGGACATAGAAGACATCTTCCCCACAACCGCCGGCCACCAAGCCGTGGAACCCACTTTTCCGGGCACGGTTATCCATGCGTACCAACCCTGTAGAGGGAACCTTCCCCCGAACAACGTGTTTCCACAGTAATGAGGTAACCCTCGCTCCCCTTCTCCCACCGCAGCCAAAGGTTGTGCTTGGACCTTAGTGCCAAGAAGGCAGGATGAGGAAAGCGAACGATCCCTCCAGTCCGTACCCAACGGCGCGTCGCGCCAAAACAATTGCCACTGAGAAAATTTGTTGGGTCCATGACATGCGCGTGGCTTGTAAACACGCATGTACCCCAGGCGCGTCAGAGAGTGCGCCGCCTACAAAGGCGCCGTCGACGTGGAACTCGCGCAAGGGCGGCTCTGCACGTCCAGCGCGTCTGCCGGGGATTCGTGGGGCGCAGGCGGGCGGCAGCACGGAAGAAGGCGACGACTCTGGATATCTGGCGAGCGGCACGAGAAGGTTGCGATTTGCGGTGACGGTTACGGATATGGTTACCGTAGGCAGCAGGTCCGAGAAAGAGCTCAATGCTGTAGGATAACGTGTACGCACAACCATCGATTGCAAGGCCCAAAGAGATATTTTAAGCCCTGACAACGGGAGAACTGTGGCGAAACACAACGCGCCCACCTCCGGTGCCGTCAACCGGCCAACTCTTTCATCGGGCGCGTGCGGGATTTCCCTGCTCACTTTGCCCACCCACCCGACAGGAAACGCGTCTCGGGTGGACGCGCTCTACTACGGTCAAGGCCTCGGAGGCGTGATTTTCGACTGCCTCAATACAAAGGACCCGGAGGGGAACTCTCTCCTTGCCAAGGTGGCCAGTGGGGTGGGGCCTATTGCACTCATAAGGGTGGTGCTGAAGTGGGGCGCGGACGTAAACTCGGTGAACATCCGGTAAGATGTGCCAGGGAGCGGGGTCGTAAGAAATTTTTGCTGCGAGGGGGAGGAGAGAGCCAGCGCGTCAGCAATGTTTTTGTCATTGGTTTTGATGTCGAGGTCGGTCGTGTTGCGGTATTCTGCCGCCTGCTCCCATGATCCAGTTTCTCGTTTGATTATAGAGGGAATGCAAAAATGTACTACGTGTCCGAACTTGCTCGTGTTGCTTGACCGCCTCGTCGTTGTTTTTCTCGATTGTCGTCGCCGGTGCGGTTGGGTGTTTTGTGTACAAGGGGGGAGTCGGCGCTACAGCTGGCCATGTCGAGGAGGAACGTGGAGGTGGTGGACTTGCTCGTCAATCACCCGAACATACGTCTCAACCAAGGTAGGGTTTCGGAGTGTCTGGTGTCGCTTTTAAAGTGGTGAGAGTTGGTTTCGAGTTCAGTACCCTTTTCGGTAAACCGGGTATGCACCTTGTGTCGCCGCCGTAACGCGTTGATACTCATTTTCTGATGCGCAAAGGTTCGGAAAGATTTACAACGCCCACTAGCCTTACGAGGAGGTTGGAGTTGTTGATGCGTGTCGATTTTCCTCGGTTAGGAAGGGGGTCTGGAATCCTCATGGGTAGACCTGGGGAAACACCTCGACAAAGACGTAGTTGGAGAATGCATTGTCACCAATCGATGTGGCAGGTAGTGTTTATCCTTCGTGCACAGCTTCTTCTGAAGATGGGTCGAAACAACAGGGCAAGCATGTCCTAACACACGATAATCAACCGTCGAACGGGCAAGCCCCCATGAAAATTCGCGGAACCCGCGCCCCCTCTTCAGACCAACCTGGCAAGAGCATTCTTCACGAGGCTGCAGCCCTCGGCCTTCATCACCTGTCCGCGCAGCTGGTGTCTAAAGGTTTGGACGTCAACGGGGTCGATCCGCAGAACGGCTGGACTCCGGTGCACTACGCTTGCCACAATGGGTGAGGGTGCCGGTCCGCTAGTCCTTTGCGCCGTCACATCACCAAACCGATATCGTATCGTTCGCGCGAATCCCTTTTCACAATCGCACCCGTACGTTCGCGCCAGCAGTGACCGTTCCCAAGTTCGGATCCAACGTCGAAAATGGTTAAAAGAGAAGGAAAACCTGAAACGCTGCGGTACGACCTGCAGTATGGCATGCGCCTTTGGAAGACTCCAAGTACATAGCAAATTCGAGTTCTTCGTGTTACAAGTTCTTGGCCCCGCCGTGCGGTTTCACTGCCTCCCTACCCCACCTGATCGGATAATCCAAAGGTTACTATTCGGTAGCATTTGAACGGTGCCAAAACCAACGTTTTTGTCCAGCTCTGCAGTACATCACTCGTCACAACTGACAATCAATCCCTGACACTGTACAACGACGACGATGGCGACGACGACGACAACGGTCACCACTGCAGGAGGGATGAGCTAGCCCGTTTGCTCACCAGTCGGTCCGGCACAATGGTAAACGTCGGCGGCGCGGGTGGCGTCACCCCCATGCACTTGGCGGCTGCGGGGGGATGGGAGAAGTGCGCAACGAACCTCCTCGAGAACAACGCCTCGCCAGTCGTCAAAAACAACAAGGGGCAGGTAAACAAAATTGAGACCCATCGGAAGTTGTGACGCCTTATTCTACTTTGCCACCCGTGTGAAGCTGTTAGCCTTACGTACAATCTTCGCGGTCGTTTCTAGAATGAATCAGTTTTTCTCTCTGCTGCATATTTCACAATGTTTATCGGCCGATTTGTTCACCCTCAAGTCAAAACAGGACGCTTTGTTGTGTTCCATCCGAAGCACGTCGTAGCCTGACCCAGGTACTTTTTTTTTGTGGTCTACAGTAGCATGGTGGACTCTAAAAGAGATGGAGATCGCCAATGAATAGCTCATCGTGACGTGTGCCAACCTCACTTGCACAAAGACAATGCTTATCCCCTACTTCGAAGTACGTAGAAATCAAGCCTTTAATGTGTATGGGAACTATGAACGGAGCCGTAAGACGGTATGGACTTCATCGAAGCCGCTGTTGCTCTGTGTGGGGAGGTCGCGACCACAGAACGATCGATGCCTGGTTTGGGCCGTGGTTGCTCGCTATTCCCCATCTACCGGTGCCAACCGGGCACGCCCCCAACACAACACGACACGACACAAACCCATCAGGTCCCAGCCGTTGTCGCGATGCTCCACGGCCACGCGTCCACCGGAAAGAAGCTTCTCCAAGCCTTCTCGGCGGCGGAGACGGCCTCTAAGCGCTCCCGAACCATCGACGCTTTCGCAGCGGTGGCGATGGCATCGGGCGTCACACACGCCGTCGAACCGGTGGTCGACGCCGATAAAGACGAAAACCGAAGGTAGGGCAAGAGTGCTGCACTTCATCCATGTCAACGGCAGAAGTAGCAAGTAGCACACCATGTAACGTTGCCGATTCACGTAGACTTGGGTGCACCCGCAAAATGAATGAAACGAAGACATGACGCCTTGAGGAGAGAAACTCGAGTTTGCGGAATTGCCACCATTCTCTACCGTACGCGAATTTATCGCGAGGAGCAGCAGCAGATAGCCATGCCGACCGACGGAGACAATGTCAATCGCATCAGCAACACCAGTAGCCGCGGGTACAACAATTTCCAATAGTGTTTGGTTTTTCGGCGAGGGGATCAGATTTTTCATCAAAGACTGAGCGCAGACAGTTTGTGTGCTAGAGTGGCGTGGAGAAGGTTCTCCTATTAGTGATGCCACAATGGAGGCATTGAATGGCGTACCGCTTGACGTTCGACGGTGCTCCTCCTAGCTGCGAAACGTCTGCAGCATTCCCGTCTAACGGTGGTGCTGACATTTCCCAAACTTGAAACGGCTCTGACAAATATAGCATACGATGAAAAAGTATCGTTGCTTGTAAACCCCATTGCTTATCTCCCTCATCCGCCTGATGTCTTTGAGCACTGCGACAATAGTTCATGACAATGGTCTCTACGGTGGTGCTGACATTTCCCAAACTTGAAACGGCTCTGAAAAATATAGCATACGATGAAAAAAATATCGTTGCTTGTAAACCCCATTGCTTATCTCCCTCATCCGCCTGATGTCTTTGAGCACTGCGACAGTAGTTGATGACAATGGCCTCTCCCTCCCATCCCCCTGGCCAAATCACCACCCTTCCCACCCAAGTGGTAGCGTCGGCAGTGGCCCCGGGGGGCGGAGGATGTTGCAGCTAGCATCAGCTGCTCTTGCCGCGGACGCTGCTGCTGCTGCTGCTGACACTACCGCTCAAAACGATGCGAGTGGAGGGAGGCAGGGGTCAGAGAAACCCGGGGCTGGGGGGGGCGGGGGCGCGGGGGATGGTCTCGTCGGCCTTGAAGGAATCACGACCCCGGAGGTGGCATCGGCAGATGTCGCCGAGCCTGCTGTTGTTGGAGAGGGCGGCAGTGACCACAATACCCCGGACGATGCGGGCAGTGCTCGTGGCGATCGCGGCTTGGGGGCGGCAGACGGGGGCGCGAGTGAATTGCAAGGCGGCAGGCCTCACTCTGCTACTACTGTCGGCGAAAAAGCAGGAAGTACGGGCAGCGACGCTAGCGTTGACGGAGGTGGCCGCGGGGGCGACGCAGTGTCGGTGCAGAGTAACGCGAGCTCGCGGGCATCTGCGTCACTTGAGGCGCTCAGCAGACGGGCCTCGAAAGCTGGGGTCGCGGTGAGACAACGAACATTAGATGTCGGGGAAGGGTACGTGCACACACGAACACAAAAGGAGTGATGGTCGGCCCCGCTAAGGCTGTCATCGTTTGTCATCGCCCAGTAGTAACATCACCAAACCTGGGGTGGGTGATTCTCAGAGGTCCTACTATCCGAAACACTTTCGGCATTCAAACATCTCAAGATTTTTGGTGGTACAAGCGATGACTGGCCGTGAAACAGGATGAGGGACGATGCAACACATGGCCTTATTCGATATGTAATGATGTGAGAATCTTGACGTAGTCATAGAAATGCGGTTCGATACAGATTGATAGATGGCCAACTGGACATGGCACAGTCTAGCTCAGTTTGATGATGCGCGCAAAAAATATCGGGTGGGATGTGACCTGCGATTTGATGCGATGCACCGTCATGTGATCTGACCAGATGGACCTCAACGTCATCATGTTGGAAGATCTTGTTCCAAGACACTGGGACGACGATGACATACGGTAAGCTGTGTTGCCTGTGGTAGTGCGGTTCATTCCTATGTCGCCCATAATGTTCATTTGTTGCCTCGCTGGCCATTCCAGGTAAACCATTTTTCCTGGCTTGGTTCCACTCTGCTTTTGCGGCGGGAGCTGCCCTCTCGCGTGTGTAGGAGTGTCGCTCATGCACGATCTCTTGCGCGGAGTTGTCACTATGTACGCTAGTTCTACCTTTTCAGGCAATTCTTCCAAGGCATGACTTTTGTGTAATACAGTCACTGCTGTACCACCTTTTTTCTATATTCAAGGGTCGGCTGATCTCTGGACCCCTGGTTGCCTGTTTCCCCGTGGTCACCGTGCGAATTGCTTTCAACGCCATCCAACCGCAGTAAGCCCAGAGAATGCAACTCGCAGCAAAGCGATGAGCCAAGAACACTGCAGAACCTGATCGCGGTACTCGTCCCACAAGCCGTACCAATCACGGCTGTAAATCTTAGACCGAGTGAACTTCCACCACCGCACAAGTGCCGCCCCGAGATTTCTATTTACTCGGTACCCTAGTATGGGGAGGGAATGAAGGGAGGGGGTGTACTCATAGTCGTGCATGCCGTAGTCGTTAGAACGTTGACCTCGCATCCCTACAAAGCCGGGACGGAGCACGCCGGGTTCTCACCGGACCAGGCTCTCACATCACCAAGCGCGAAGCGCTGTGAGGTATTCGGCGAGTCGCATGAAGGGTGCGCTGGATCCTGCTAAGGGTGTTCGGCATCTTGTCCTTACTTCCTTGCTTACGGATGACAGCTGCGTATGATTTAATGTATTTTCTGGTGCTTTCACTTCCAGAGACAGTTATATAAGCACTGTGTAACTGCCTCGAGGGTGCTTGACCAATTTAACACAACGTGGTGCGATCATCCCCCTTGCGCGGAGTGAGGGTTGTCGGCCCCGCACAACATAATCTACTCGACCACCATTCATGGTTACCGCAAAAAAAAAGGCAAAAAAAAAAGGCTAAATAAACGTAGAGGTAACCTGGTTGCCGAGCTCACGAAGTGAATCGGCTTGTTTTACAACATCGCTGCCAAGCGACGAAACCCAACCCCGATGGCAAACATCGTTGCGCTACGGGGGGGAGGGAGGATATTATTTAGAGATAAATGCTTCCCAGCCTTTTCAATAACTTCCTACTCGGTTGTATTTTCTAGTCATGGTTTTCTACCGAGACGCCACGACACTCAGCCAGGGGACGCCAGATCCTGGAGAAACAGCACATATTGATGAAATGAAAAATGCGGGCCGCGGGGGTACGACTGGATGTCCGTTTGCATCCTGCTCGGCAAATTTGTTAGTTATTCGGTCTGTTCTGTCCTGTCAATCAAACACAACCTAGGCCCTCCCTTTAATTTCGCCAGGCAAATTTGACAAAAATATTGAAAATAACGCTTTCAGGTGGCCAAGTACAACGCGTTTTCTTGTAGCACAGACGCACATCTTTGCAGACTATGTTTGCTCTCCAGCTGGAACCATAACGTTAACGGGAGCGACACTGACGGCGATCATGTGGATGACCTACACTTCACCCTTTCTCACAGGTGTGCCGTCGCATTGGCAGAGAGGGGGGAGGCGTGGTGCCTGGCGAGCCTGTTCGCCCTCGGCCTTGATCCCGACTGCCAACACCCCGACTCAGGTAAGGGACTTCTATGTCTTCCGTAAGACCGTAGGACACTTTGAAACCGCCAGCAGATGGTGTCTGGAGAAACAAGACTTGAACAAAGGCTGATCAAGAATTCCACGACAAGTCGCACGACAAGAAGAAACAAATTTCGAACTTGCTCGCCGCATCCACCGAATATGACGGACTCTCCCCTTCTCCTACTACTCATTCTTGTTCACCCCTGACCCAACTCAATATGACGGATTTGTAGGTTGAAGTGTAGACGTCAACACCAACGTGTTTCTGAGGCTAACGTTGTATTTTGCCGTTTTGTTTACCACACCGCACTCTGCATTTGACTAGCTGCATTGACTTGTGCTCTTCACTGATATGAATATGTGTAACTTCCATCGACTGTGCAAGTTTTCGAGAGAGCTTACCCTCTCCACCAAACGACACATGCAGGGGATACTTGTCGACTGTGTTAGTCGGCTGCGTATTCCCCCCGCCCTCAACAACCTACTGACACCCCTTTCGCCTCCCTATTACCTGCGGTAATTGCCCTCCCGTTGCACAAGGGGACACTATCGGCATCGCTGCCGCGCGTGGGGGGGACCGTGAGACGCTGGAGGTTTGTCTGGAAACGGGGGTGTCCTTCGCGACGAAGAACAGGAGGGGGAGGTAATGAAAAAATCACGAGTGTTAGATATCTCCTGGCAAGGTCTGAGTAGTTGCTTTTGAGCAGTGAAGGGCGTGGATTGTCCTCGCCCCGTCTGCTATGGTGTGACCAAGCGACTTGTCGCAACATCTAGAACGTTCCGTCCGTTCGGCGGCGGCGCCCCCCGTTCCTTATTCCTCTCGTTTCCCCCATCTGTTCCGTTCCGTATGCCTTCTGACGGGAGAAGATGCTGCTCGTATTCTTGTAAGTTGATGTCGCTTACACTCCATTGGTGAAACAAGCGTTCCGGCTAGTAGCCTCTCTGCAGACTCGACCCTGTTTCTCCTTGCTACGAGAAGGTTCTTTACACCAGCGCTTTCTCTTGTCCTTTACTTCACTCGCTCGGACCATCACAAACTCCGTTTATGCTTTTCGAGCGGTGCTGCTGTGCATGCATCACCACGGCTGCTGAGGCGGTCCTGTCGAACTTCTTTGGTATTCACACCACCTACAACTCTTCTTGTAAAACCAAATTGAACTTGGCCGGGACCGCATTTCGCGGGCGGGGAGAGTAAAGGCTATTATACTGTATACGCGAACACTGACACTTCATTCGATGGTCAATCTCGCGGCCGTGGAGTGTTCCAAACCACCTCCCGATGTCTGGCTGTTTCCTGGGCGGGTAACGAGACAAGCCCCGCATCGCTTACACTTGTCAGGTCTGCCCTGCACGCTGCCGTGGTGCGGGACGACCTGGAGGTGGCGGCTCTTCTTCTGGCTAACCCAGGCCTTTCGGGGATCGAAGTGGATGATCTTTGCGACCCAGACGAGTGAGCCCTCGCTCGTTCGCTCCCCCTCCTAGCTAACCATTGTAGCTCTCCGTCTAGGCAGGCAACCGTCACAGGCCCCACCATCTCTTCGCTGCGGCAGACACCAATCGGCTGATTGGTTGTGTGTTCCCTTGCCCTCCCTCCGTGCACATAATACACCAACAAGCGTCGCACGTCCGTTTTGTCCTGGAACGTTACACATAGGGACGGGCGCACTCCTCTCCACGAGATGGCCGCCAGAGGGGAAGCTCCCACTGTGCTTCTTCTCGCCACTGAGGCTGACAGCGAGTGGACCACCGGCGGCAGCGGCGGTGCGGCCACTGGGTCCGGCAACGCCTCCCTGGACACTCGCTCCGAGGACGCGAGCTCTGCGCCCGGTGCGGGTGGCGGCGGCGGCGATGACAGCAGCAGTGGTGATGATTTATCGTCGTCGTGTGTTACGGCAGCATCTTCGGCGGTTGTCGACGATCAGGCCGGTGGCGTCGGAGGCGAAAATGGTGCGCGCATGGGCAGTGGGAGCTCCATTCCCGTATCCGGCGGCGATACTGGGGTTGCCGACGGGAATACCGGTGATGGTGCCAAAAGGATGTCCGACATTGCTGCAGTCGCTAGTGCTGCTGCTGCCCCGGATACACCGGCGACATCCTCCGTACGGTCGCCGCTACCCCTGTCAGCATTCGTGGCTCCGTCTTTGGCGGACACCGAGGAGCTTCGGGACCTCCGGCATCATCATCATGACGTCACAAATGCCGCCGGCAAAGCTGAACGGCCGGAAGGAGTGGCAATGGACACAGGAAGAGCTGGATCTACTTCAACTAGCACCAACGTCAACAGTAGGAGCTCACTTGCCAGAAAGGCCTCCAGCAGTGGAGACACGCGGGACACCGCACGCAGTGGCGGCAATCATTCCGATGACGGCGGCGACGACCACGACGACAGCGGCGGTAGAGAGGTCCGAAGCGAAGGAGAAGAGGGCGATGACCCGTCCGGGTGGGGCGGTCTGCTGGAGGTGGACGTGCGGTGCTCTGGATCGGGGAACTGTCCCCTTCACGAAGCGGCCGCTTCCGGCAAGGTCGGGGCCGTGCTTTCCCTGCTCGACCTCGGAGCGGACGTGTCCGTGGCAAACGGATGCGGTGACACGGCTCTTCACGTAAGCGCAATCTTATGGTTTTTGTTGATGGAAACGTTTGGTGGCTGTTGTCCTCGTCCTTGTCCCTGTGCGTGTTCATACGATTGGCCGTCTCTAAACATAATAAACACACGCACGTGATCAGAATCTCCAAAGACTGGCGCATGTTGTGCCATATCGCAGGTGGCGGTGGGACCCAATGCACCCCGTGACCCGATGGACGAGGGCCACTCGCGGGGCTCGACGCTGGCGTCGACATCGCTATCGACCTTGTCGACAACTTCGTCCCCGATGGTCGTGGGCACCACTACCGCTACCACTACCTTTTCCGGCGACAGAAGAGCAAGCGGTGAAGCGCAGGATGCGATGGCACTCTGCGACGATGAAGGGAGGGGACCTACCACTCAGGCGAGGAAGGGGCGGCTCGACATTTCTCGAAAAGCGACGTTTGCTCTGAGGCTGTCCTCGTGAGGGCAGCGTACTACGGAAGATCCTTTTCCCAGGGGATACAATTGCGATCGCCCTTCTTGACACAACGCTGGCGGGTGGTGACGGTGGTCCTGGGCGCGCGCGCCTACCTTCATCCTTCCTCTTTCGCCTTCGTCCTACGCCTAGACCCGCATTCTCAAATCCCTCTTTCAAGTACCCCGTGGCCAGAAAATGAGGCCTGATTCCAATATAACAGGCTAGACCGACCTTCCTTCGGTGTTGGATACAACCATGATCCGAAAGACAAACAGTTTTTGCGTTTGGCCCCCTCAACTCTGCAAGCTTTGGTCCAAGTTTGCATCTCAGGGCCATCAATAGCTTTTGCATTACCCCCGTTGTGCCCCAACAGCTACTGACGGCCTTCCTTTGGCGAGAGCGACTCACCCTCCCACGAAATGTTCACCAGTACATGAGGCCCGTTGAAATCTGCTGAGAGTTACGTCGGCTCCCTTCCTGTCTGCCCCACACCTATCAGGTGGTGACGGCTCTCCTCCGGCGAGGAGCTGACCCTTCCAAGAAAAACCGCCTGGGTCAGACGGCGGCTATGTGCGCGGTGCTTGCGGGTCGCGCCGGCGCTCTGCGAGAGGTGGGATCAAAACAAAAACGCGATTCCGGCAGAGAAACTTCTTCATTGCCGAACCTAGAAACCGCGCGGGTGCCAGTTTTGTTGACCGTAGCCCCACGTAAAAAAACTGTGCCAGGCGTTCGGCGAGCGTATGGTGGGCAAATCGTCTCGGGTATAACTCACGACGTGAATGATCAGTTTCAGTATTTTGATGAAGGTAGGGGGTATTAATGTTCACAGCCTACGCATGTTCACAGTCTCTCCATATTTAAAGACTGTCGTGAGTGCACTACGGTGCCGACCTCCTAGTAGGAAACACCAATTTTCAGCGTGGCTCAAAGTCTTTCAGTGTCGAACGAGGAGGCACAGACTGAGGCAAAATGCATGTCGTGCTTCTGCAAGAAACCTGCGAAGGTGAGCACATGCGACCCGTTCCAAGTGAACAAATATAGTAGCTCTCGCCACCGCAATGGAGCTCCAGACAAAGCCGAAAGTTGGCTGTACACGAAGTGTCAAGACGCTGTATCTCCGCCGAGCTCTCTTACTCCACAATATATACTCTCATACTCCACAATATATAGTGTGAATCTAGAAACTATATGGAGTCTGCAGGATTGACCTTTTTCTTGGCCTTCATGGTGCTCGTGTTGATGTTTCTTGCATACTTATGATGGCCCACTGACACACCCTTGAACGAGCCACAGAACATTTCAACGGTACCCATCACTTTCTGATTTTCAGATAAGGAAGGCTGTGCTTCTTGGGCATTCAAGCAGCAAGGGCAAGGAGCAGGAGGAGCTATCCGACCTCGGGCACATGGCCATCCGCGAGGGCCACGTCGGGTGCCTTCGTGTCCTCACCGAGAGCTGTAGTGAACAGGTAAGGCTGAATCAGTCAGAGGTGGTGGTAATGGCGTAGGCAGCTGTTCGGGCCTGTGTCATACAGTAGCTGCCCGATTTTAGTGGATTCATTGTGTACCTATGATGATTCCGCTGTGTTCTTCGAAACATGCACCTTTCTTCCGGTTTTGCGATGTCAGAGTTGTTTCTGTGGCAATGTTCACTCCCAAGGACCCAACACCGTTTCTTCATGTTCTCCCTCCTTCCCCACGCCTCCCCCGCTCCCTCCCCCCCTTGCTAACTTGTGAACATCCCTCGCGTACACGACGACTTTAAAAAATGCTCCCACCCCCTTGACCAACAACAACGACAACGGCAACGACAACGGCAACGACAACGACGCCGATATCGCCGATGACGACCATAACAACAACAATACCAACAATGACAAGGAGGTCCTGGCTTGGACAGATGAAGAGGGGGTCCCCGCGCTCGCCCTAGCGGTGGCACGAGGCCAGCGCGAGTGCATTGACATCCTTCTCAAAGGTGTCAGCCCGACAACGTCCTGCGGAGGTGATGGTGGCGGTGGCGGCGGAAACACGGTGCTGCACGTGACAGCCATGGCGCGTGGGGGAGTGCCGGTGCTGAAGAGGCTCATGTCTCCCAAGGGGGGAGGGGAACCGTTCGACTTGGGGTGGCTGGAGTATAGGAATGGGTGAGACGTGATTGCTACTCTTCTTTCAGTCCATTGCCACTACGTGTTACGAGGTAGAAACCATGCGAAGCTTTCTGCTTTGTGGCTAGTCATGCCGTTGTGTGGACCAAAATACTTCTGGCAAGATTTTGCGTGAGGAAACTCGTGCATCCTGCCTTCGGGGCTCATGACTCTCCGGGGCCTAAGAAACCCAATGCGTTTGGCTTGCTCTGTCCATGACGATGCTTTCGGCCGATGTGTACAGGAACGACCATCGAAAATATTCTCCGTCGTCTTCTGCCCAATTCCGATGTTCCATTGGGTACCATCGCCGCTGTAAGGTGCACAGACACTTGCGTGCTGGCTTATCGCTCGCCTTACATCAACCAACAATGGTGCAACAATATCTCCTCCCCTCCCTCTGAAACGCTTCGCTGACTTGTCGAAACCAGTTTGGGGGATACCGTCCTGATGGCCGCATTGAGGGCGGGACGACACTCAGCCGCTCTGCTACTGCTTCAGGCGCTCGCGGTGCCCACTGCGGCGGCTCACACTTTCCGCTACGCCTGGGTTATCGCGGCCGCACTAAGGGTGAGTCGCCGTTGTCGTTGATGGCATTGTATTTGCTGCTGCTCTGTGGCAACCCTGCTTTTATGCTACGCTAAGCTACGCAGCCAATATATGTACTGATCTACTCAATACGAGTGGATAGTGCCCTCGGTTTCAATCATCACATTCTATTCTAAGCTGTGAAATCAGCCAAGTATGGTACGGATGTGCGACAAGCATGACCGGGGGAACGAGAGCTCGTCCTAATCTGAGGCCCCGGGTCGCACCTTACATTGAATTATTGGCAAATGTGAAGGGTCCTTGTAGATCCCGAATGGACACACCAAAAAGTGCAAGACAACAGCTACAGCTTTTCGAGACGTATCGAAGAAACGAAAGCTGGAGTATTTGGGGGACCCGAAACCAGCTGGCTGTGCATATGCCCGGGAAAAATGAACGGGCACTCGGAATTTTTTTCGGGCTTTCAATCAATCTCTATACTGTAACTAATGATAACCTGCTGCAGGCCAGATCACAATCCCTTCTCCCAGCCACTCCTTGATGTCACTCCTACGTCGTGCCGTTTCCCGTGTCTGCTGCGTGCTTGGTTCCTCATGTTACACTGCAGTTGGCGGAGCTGTGCCCATGTCCTTCCTGTGTGCTAGGAAGAACGGCGGACGAGAGAGCGCGGCTGTGCAGCAAGATCGCCCCTAAGCCAACGCGGCCGGGAGAACAGTCCCAGGGCTCTCACGCCAACCCACTGAGCAGTGCTGGAGCATCCGCGGCTGCTGCACACCGTCGGCTTACAAGGGCCAACTCCACCGCTAGCAAAGTATGTCAACAGCAGCATGGTATCGTGCCGATATCTATCTTAGTAGTCAGGAAGTGTTCCACCTAGAAATATAGGCAGTGCAAGAAGATTAGGAAGCGCGGACCATGCTGTACAGACCCTCGCACAATTTTCTGTCTGAACGGGTTTCGCCGGGTCTTGGCGTATTTCTCTGCCTGGTGCCAAGGCATGCAAACATTAACATTCTGCTTCTTCATTGTATCATATGCTACACCTTTTGTTGTACCAATAGGTGTGCGGGGGCCCTACCCGTTGATATCCGCTGGCCATGAATGGGCCGGCGGTATCGTTATGTTGAAATATTGTATATATTGCCCTATAGCTTGCGGGGGGTGTGTGGGCCGATGGAACAGGCAAGCTACGTGTGTGGGTACCGTATATTACAGACAGAGTGTATTTCTGTCCAAACCGAAATTAAACATATTTCCCGTCACATGAATTACCGCATGTCGGGGTTGTCCCTAGCGCATACAAACGTACGTTACGCTGACTTCCCGCGTGCTACCCCGTGCCCATCGTTGTATGCATCGGTGCATCCAGGCCGGCGCTTTCCAGAGGAATTCTCGAGGCAAACCACCAGGGTGAACCGAGCGAGGAACAGACTCCGAACCGACTACAGTAGACTACTGTCTAACTCCGCGCTGGCGGCGACTTACAGCAGCTTACGCTATGCACAGCAGTTGTCTGCAATACCAGTCCTCCTTTTGGGTGTCGTGTAGCATAACAGTTCTGAAACGTCAATTGCCTTCTGGAACAGCTCCAACTTTACATAGAGAGTCGAAGTGCGCCGTGCACGCCCTCCCCCTCCCCTCCGTGCAAGTGCATGATGAACATGTGCCTGGGCGTGAGACATTTGACGCGACAGTTATGTCTCTCTACACAGGTGCATACCAGGTAGCAGACAGGTCGTATTGCATCTGTAGCGATGGGAAGGTGTCACCTGTAGCGCGGTGTGACGTGAGCTGGTGGCGGTGAAACTGGTGCATGTATGATAAGCGAACCAATCTTTGATCTTCTTCGTACCGATCTGTATGAGGGCCCTCCCCTCCCGTTGTTGACGCCTCCGCGGGAGCATCAAACCCCCTGTTTGTTTCAGTTCGCGTTTTCCCGCTCCCGTTTTCCTGCGGTTTGTGTCGGAGATTTTGGTCAAACGGTGTGCTCCTGGTGGGCTGTTGGGTGAGACAGGTGCGAGAGCTACGCTATAGAGGTGACTGTAGACGATATCTCTTTGAGGCAATGGTATTGAGAAGTCGAAGCTTTTTGCACAGCTCGCTCAGAACCGGTGGCTAAGAGACCAAAGAGTCGCTCTGTCGTGTGTTGTTGATACGTTCAGGCGGGGATGCCAGCTTGATCTTTGCTTCCCCTGCTGCGCCCTCTGGAGCTGGGTGGGTCATTCTGTTGTGATTGGACTCTGGTAGTCATCTCCCCTGCATAGTGCACGGAGCAGTACTCTTGCGGTGCCGTGGAGACTCTCACTTACAGTATATGCCTCACACAAATTCAAGGGGTGAAAACGCTGTTGGCACCAACGGGCGGGGTGGCGATATTTCGAATCCAATCGCCGGCGCTGTTGTGTGAACTACGGACTCTTTGGGTGTGAGGCACGGCATCGGTAGCACAACACGGCCTGCTATGCTAGCCAGTGTTGTCCAGGCTTTGGGTGTACTGAAGATGCAGTGCCATCTCCGCTCTTGTTTCCCGAGGCTACAGCAACAAGCAGACACGCACGATGTACATGGTTCCCTCCTTGATGTGGGTGCCGGCCACCTCTGTGTGGTCTCTTGTCTCATCAATCATCACGAGGCAATGTCCTGGCGAAAGAGGCAAGCCACGCAGCCAGCTGCGTACGGAGAACACCCGTGGCCGATGCAATTCTGCGCACGTGCGCCCAGCGAATCGCTCTGCGCTGTAGGAACGATTGATCTGCAAACACGGGGTGTAGACTAATAGACTTCACACCAGGAGCAGACTGTGTAGTTTTTTTCTCCTCATGCTTGCTTCGGAACCGCAGTGCCAGAAGTGTGGGTTGTGTTGCTGCTGCTGCTGATGTGTTCCAGCCAAAAGTCCTTGCCGGGGGGCAACAGGCACGCCACAAGGAAAAGCGTCATCGAAACACCAGCGTATTCTCTCTTCAAGTAGAGGCAGTACTGGTGCTGGCGAACGGGATGTGAGAGACGCCGTTCGATTTCACCTGCACGTCACGGAGATTCAAATTTCAAAATTATTTTCCATTTGTTCTTCTCCTCGAATACGATCTCGTTATTTAGACTAGTGCTGTTTACCGTTGCGCCCTTAATATGTAGTGCTGCTTCGTTTCGCTCTCTAGACCCTACTGAACCGTTGATACGCGAAACGCGGCAGCAGCATCGCCAGGAACGCATTGTGTTCCGTATTGTGTCTTCCGCCTGAACATCGCTGCCTCACACTTCTTTATTTCTTTTTAAAGTTCTCCCGCGCAGCACTTACAGGGAGAACCCAATCTAAAAGACGTGCCACCGCCGACGGAAAAACTTGCAAAAAACGCCGCCACCATGCGTACAACACCACGGGGTGCGTATTCGTTCCCGCTTCTTGGCACGCACCGCCACAACTTTAGCCAAATCGCAGCTGTTTGCATGCGGACCGGCGTGAAATCTGAAACACGCACCCGTTCCACCCACGGAATCTCATCTCGGACACCAGGCGGCGACGACAGCTTCAGATGGAGCGCTGCCCGCCTTCGTCTTCCCGGGTTCGAATCCCCGGCGGCTACGGCAACTACCCCGGCAGAGACCCGGAGTCGCCGCCGCCGCAGCAGCAGTCGGACGGCACCTCGGGCGGCGGCGGTGGCGGCGGAAGGCGAAAGAAGCGTGCTCAAGCCCCTTGGGGGGGGCTGTTCAAGGGAAAGGTGGGTCCAACATGCAGAGAACATAAGTGCTCTCCATGTGTGTTGACGGCGGGTGCCGATTGGTCTGTGGCACGGTGTGTTCTAGCTGCTACTGCTGGGGGTACACGCGGTTGGGCTTGGCGTGGTTTGTTGGGAGGCTGGCTTCTCGCAGGGGAGAAAGAAATGTAGGATTCAATCAGAACATTTGTTAGAAGGGGCGGCTACACAGACAGCGTAACAGGCGGTGCTACTGGCGGCTACACAAACTGCGAGACGTGAGGCAACTGTTGTTTTGTGCATGCATCTCATTCCGAGGATAAGAACCGGGACGAAAATTCTGATGGATTGTCAGACACGGGAGATGGCGGGAAAGATGCAGCCATCCCTTTCATGCTGTCACCCATAAATGAGGAACAATTTCTTCAAAAGTGCAGTTTTCGGCCGCTCGGAAATAAGAAACTACTCTGCGCCGCGGCGATGCGGGAATGCGGGACGTTGTGGGGACTTAATTTTCCATGCACAGTTTCGCGACCAAGTCTGCGATGGAACAATGCTGGTCGGTATCCTCGCCAGGATCGACGAACGTGGCCGCTGAAAAGTTCATGAGCATGCTGCTGTTGTAGTTTCGTCGCAGAAGTCAGCACGGTTAAAGTTTATTTTTGGGCCAAGGAACACCCAGCCATCTCCACGGCGATATTTCTGACGAGATCAACGATGACCTGCTCCAATACTCTCTGCTGCTGCTGCTGCTGCTGCTGCTGCTGCCGCTGCCAAAATTCCGCATTCCCCCGACAGGAGGACGTAGCGCTGCCGACGGCCCCATGGACGTTGGGGGCCCCGCCGGATGGAAGGAGCGACGAGCCACCACAACGGCACTGGCAGCAGCAGCAGCAGCAGTGGCAAAGTCAAAGCGAAAGCCAAGCCCAAACGCCGGCGTGGGCAGGCCCCGCCGCTAGCGGTGGGGTTGGGGGCGCGGCACCGTCCGGCGGAGTGGGGAGGGGGTACGGCCCGCCACCCCCGGCGGGGCACGTGTTCTCGTCGCCGCCGCCGCCGAGACGCCGCGCCTCCCCTCTGGCTGAGAACGCCCCTCGCCTTACCGTCATTCGAAGGGATGACTACGGCAGCGGTGGTGGCGTTGAGGTCGGGTCTGAAGGCGGCCGGAGTGCGACGGGAGGGGCGAGGGGGGCACAGCAGCAGCAGCAGCAGCAGCGAGGACCGGTAGGCTCGCAGGTATCACAGCGATCGGTGGGAACGACGCTGTTGTCAGCGGCGGCGTCGCCGTCATCGTCGTCGTCGTCGACCCACGGCGGCGTGTCGAGGTGGGGGTCCTGGGGCATCGGCCGCAGCGGAGGCATAACCGCCAACGCCGACAGTGGTGCTCTGACCTCGAACCAGGGTGCGGAGAGGACGGCGCTGCTGGCGCCTGCCAGTTCAAGGACTGGCGGTGGGAGCGCTAGCGGTGGGAGCGCCCGGTCGAGTGTTTTCTCGGGAGAACCCCCGGGAGCAGCAGCAGCAGCAGGCGAACGGCCGAGAGCGAGCGGGAGAGGGCCCCCCCGGAACGGCGAAGGTTTCGCGGCGGAAGGGAGGCCTTCCCCTTTCCTAGTCGCGCGTTCCACGTCCTCCTCCGTCTCCTCCGGCGGCGGCGGCAAGAAGAGGTCGACGTGGAGGTCTCCGCTGGAGCAGAGCGCGGTCAACCCTTTCTCGGCGTCCTTCGAGACCGCCGGCGGCGACGGCGGGGGCGGTGGCCTCCAGAGAGAGAACAGCAACACGTGGTGGGCAGCAGAGACGGGCACCCAAAGCAGACGCCACTTGGCTGGAAACGTCGGCGCCGGCGGTCGGGGAGGCACCGTCGCAAGAGGGGGGGGGGTGTTGTCGGGCGCTGGTCAGCCTCTCTTGCGTCGTGCTGGTGCGGGCGGGGGTTACGGATCTGGGTGGGGGGACAGCGGCGTGGGGGGGGGGGGGGGGGGGGGAAAACGGGGCCAAAATTTTTTCGGAAAACCCCCAAACCCCTTTTTCAAAAGGGGCCAGGGTTTAAACCCCGGGAAAGGTTTTTTTTTTTTTTTCCGGGGGGCCTGGGGCCGCTTTCCCCCTTAAAAATTTGGTTTTGGGGGGGGGGGGGGGGGTTTTTTTCTTTTGGGGGGCCCCCCCCGGGGGAAGCGGGGGGAAAAAAAAAAAAACGGGCCTTTTTTTTCGGGGGGAAAAAACCGGGGCCCCCCTTTAAGTTTTGGGGCCCCCCCCGCTGGGGGGGAAAAATTTTTTAAAAAAGGGCCCTTCTTTTGGGGTCAAAGCACCTTCAAAAAAAAAAAAACCCCCCCCCCCTTTTTTTTTCCCAAAAAAAAGTTTTTTTCCCCGGTTTAATAATTGGGTTGGGGGCGTTTTTTAAAATTTTTTTTAAAATTTTTTTGGGGAGCCCCTTCCCCCCCAAAAAAAAATTTGGTTTTTTTTTTTAGAATTTTTTTTTGGGGCCCAAATTTTTTTTCCCCCCAATTTTTTTTAGGGAAAAAAAAGCCCCCCCTTTCCCCCCTGTTTTTAAAAATTTTTTTTTTTTTCCCCAATTTGGGTCCCCCGGGGGATTTGGGGAATGATTTTCCCCCCTTGTTCCCCCCTTTTTTTGCCCCCCCCATCCCCCAAAAATCTTTGTTGGGGTCCCCTGGGGTGCCCCCTTAACCCAAAATTAATTTTGGTTTTTTTCCCCCCCGGGGGGGCCCCCCCCCCCAAAAAGTTTTTTTTTAAGGGGGCCCCGGAAATTTTTCCCAAACCCCATTAAAAAGGCCCCCCCCCCCCCCCCCCCCCCCCCCCCCAACCCGT